TGTGGGGTAGCCCCACCACCCATGGCTGGGACCAACGGGGGAGAGCCTGGGGAGCACCTCAAGCACCTCGGTGGGCCATGGGCACCCCGAGGACCATTGCAGCGGGGATAATTTTGGATGCCTGACGGAAAACAGGCTTTGCAGGGCTGCCTCCCTTCCAGCTTCGGTGCCTGATATCACAGCAGGGACATGGGGGGCGACCCCCGGAGCGGGTTTTTGAGGCAAATCTCTGCACCCAGAGCCCTGGGTGGGTCACGGTGATTTAGTGCAAACACTGACAGACAGAAGAACAGCCGGACAGATGATAACCGCTCTCCTTCCCTCCCACCCTGCCGCAGTCACACCCCAAACCCCCCCCTCACCCCTCCCCGGCTCCCTGAGGCCTCAGCCCGGCCTCGCACCTGCCCCGCAGCCCCTGCCTAGGCCTAGGCCCGCCCTGCAGGCCGCGGGCAGGGCCCAGCCCCGGCCATGTTCCCAGCCCCGAGCAGCCGGGGCCGGGTTCCCCCTTCCTCACCCCCCAGCCCCGGACTCACCGTCAGGCCGGGACCGTGGAGCCGGGGCCGGGCCTGAGCCGGGGCGGTGGAGCCGGGGCCGGTGCCTGCGCGGCGCTGGCTGGCAGGAAGGGAGCGGGCGGGGAACGAGGAGGAGGAGGAGGAGGAGGAGGAGGAGGCGGTGCCGCACGTCCTCAGCATTTCCCGGCTCCCCTCCTGTTAAAGGAGCGGCATCGCCGCTCCCCTTCCATTCCTAGGGGTTCCCAAATGCATCCCAGTGCCCCCCCCATGGGGTCCCCCACTCGTGTGGGGCGCGCTGAGGAGCCCCCCACGCTGAGGGTCCCCTCATGCAGATCCCCTCACGCAGACACCCCTAGGTTGGGGATGGCATAGGGCACAAAAAAACCTCCTCTTGTGGACAGCAGGCTCCAAAAAGGGCTTTTTGTGCCCATTTTACAGATGGGGAAAGCAGGGAAGGTGCAGGGGAAGCCGGGCTCTGACACCCTCCAGCCTTGGTGCTTGTGGAGAGCGGCCAACACATCAGTGTGTAGTCTGGCCTGTACCCTCTTGCTCCTGTTTAGTTATCAACATAAGCCCATTGACCTTAAATTTATCATAATTGCCTCCAAATTACCTGGATCTGTAATGTAAATCCCCCCAAGAAGCAGCCCTGCGCACAGCATGCACCAGGATGTGTCAGGGCTGCAGTCAGCATAAACCTTACAGAGATTTTGTGGGGTCAGACTTGTGAAAGTCCTCGTTTTTCCTTCACCCTCACGTATACCTGTCCCATAGTGCTCACACAGCAGGTTTCTCTCACCTTCAACCTCACAGCCCCAAATGTGAACAGGGAATAAAACAGCCCTGTGTGCACAGGGAAATTCACTCTTTTTGGCAGCATCTACTTGCAAGGTGCAAGTTTAAGGCAAAACCTGGCTCCTTGGCATCGCTCAGGCAGCCACTGCAGTCAAAAAGTGCAGAGCCAGGTGCTTCAGCTGCAGGAGGTGCATTTTTTTTATTATTTTCTTCTGCTTTTAGCAACATACAGGCAATCGTGGTGCCGACTGGAGAACGCTTTTAAACCACACGTTGTGTATCATCGCCCGGTGCGTAAGGCATTAAACTGTTCAGATTACTGCAGGCTGAGAAACCCGGTGGCAAAACTCACTGGAGAGTGACCGCTGTGCAAATCAGCCGGCGAGGCTAACGACGCTGCCTACCCCAACTGCAGGGAGGAAATAATGCAAATCATCGCTGAAATCCCAGCCACATTAGGCAACCACTCATGGGGAAAAAGAAAAGGGTTTTGAAATGCCGCAGGAGCCCCAAGTCATTGGTTTTGTTGGGATTTTTGCTTCCTCAGATCGCGGGGAAAGTACTTCAGACCTGTGGACTCAGGGCAGGCCCAGGAGGACGACAAGCTGTGTGCTCAGTGGGGCTGGAAGTCAGAGAGGCTGAGTATTGCTAATTTAGCATTTTATAGGAGAGCATGAGAGATCCTTATCGATGCCAGAAATGAGCACCCTGCAAGTCTCAACACCTCGCTGATTCAGCCTCTCTTTCCTGGCTAGGGAAAAACAACGATGACCAAATTTTTCTCTTTGCCTCTGCTTATTTGCATTATTTTTATTGCACTGTTTACAAGCGTGAATTCCCACACTTGGTGGGAAGTGAAAATTAATGTATCACACACACGTGCACCAAAAAGATTTCAACTTCTGCTAAAAGAAAGTCACAGAGCTTGCTACAACTTTGTTCTCAGAGTAGTAAATGAGAAATAACCCCACTGCAGAAATTCGAGCTATGCAGAAAAAGACATTTGATTCAATCCAGCTGTAAGGGAATAAAAACACATCTGTCCTAAGCAGCATTTGTCAGAAGAAACAACTCTGGGAACTCCTGTAATAAGAATAAAAACTCTTAATAAAAAAGAATAGGCTCAAACATAGCATTGTACATGACCCAAAATCAACAAGGCTAATACAAATTCACATAATCCACATGTTATCTCAGTGTGTATATATATATATATATATATATATTTTTTTTTTTTAATGGAGCTGAGATGGCCAAGGACACATTTTGTATTACAGAAAAGCCAGCTAATAAAGTGAATGGTTAGAAGCTGCCTCAGAGCTCACTGAAAAAAAAAAAAAAAAAAAAAAAAAAAAAAAAAAAAAAGCTAAGATTCTGCGATTCTGCTGCTCAATTTTTTCACATTTGCAAAAGATAAAAAATGAAGTCCCAATGGGAAATCCCTTTGGGAAACCCCTTTCCTCCCCTGCCAGGGCTGCTGCTCCCATGGGAGACACCTGACCAGCATGCGTGTTGGCTCCTGCAGCGCAGCTCCTACACCCAGCCTGGCAGCAGCAGTTGGTGTCTGCCACAGCCGCCACGCCTCGTCCACCCTAAGCCACGCTGGAGCCCATCGGACTCTCCTCTGTGCTAACACGTGTGAGCAAAATAAAACAAGCACCCAAATCCTTGCAAGACCAGGGCCTGCAATCAGCCTTCACTGAATAATCCCTACTCATTTTCAAAAAGAAAAATTTAAAAAAAGCAACAGCTTTCGCTGGAAGAGCTCACTGTAAAGGAAACCCTATTTTCTGTGACTCCATGGGTCATCGGGGCTGGGCCACAGAGGTGGAATTTGATTTCTAATCTGGAGTTTTCAAGCCCTCAGTATCAGATATAGCTAAAGGGATCACAGGGAGGCTGGGCAGAAAAGCAGCTTTCCAAGCAACGCAAGATTAACCTCTGAATTAACATTGGGAGTTCTGTTTCAAAGCAGTTTTAAAATATTCCTCTTCTTTCTGCCTCTTTCTTGGTAGCATTGTAGCAGAAGAGGATTTTTTAAGAGCCGGGCATCATTAAGCAAAGCAAATGAAGAAATGACACAGAAAGCACCTCTCCTGCTGTAAAACACTTCACATGGTGTAACCCAGTAACAGTTTACATCTTTTCTTCCATTCCAAATTCAGGTTTCCAGGTGCTATTTACACTGTTCCACATTGAACTATAGCTATATATGAAATATATATATGTGTGTGTGTGAACTATAGGTTTTAAATTAATACTCTTCATCAGTGCCTAAGGAATAAATATGTTTTTCTTTGAAAACAAAAAACAACAACAATAAAAATAAATAAAAATAAATAAATAAATAAGAAGACGACCCATTTTGGGGTTTGTTAATATTAAAATATCCTGTCTGCAGCTACACAAGGGATGTGGTCATCTGCCTGGTGCCACGAGTGTCACGCTGCAGGGGGACTTTGCCCTCTGGTCCCCAGATTGCCTCCACTGGTGGTAACAGGCACCTGCCTCCCAAGGCTGGCTGAATTGTTTGTAAATGCCTGGTCTGAGCAGACAGCCCATGAATGGCAGAAGGATCACCTGTGAGATCAAGCAACAATTCCTAGCGGTGCCAGAGCCTCACTGTGCTTCCTGCTGTGAAATGCTGTTTTAGCTCTTCATGCTTAAAATGAACGTGGATTCTTCTCTTCGCCTCTGTAGCTGATCTTTTAGGTGGTGACAGGTTTCTCCCTAGTGAGCTCAGCACCCTCCCATGCTGTGTCTCGACTCAGACACCCGAATATCACACCATTTGTAAGTCCTGGGGGAAAGGAAGGGTTAAGAAGCATCTCAGGTGCTCAGGGGAAGATAGAAAGGCACCAGAAAAGAGGCCAATTTTTTGTTTTCATCCAAGTTTTCATCCAAGGGGCCGAAAGAAGGCCTAGAAGGTCCTTTATAAAAAGTCACGGAGAAAAGCATTACTGACTTACAGGGAAAAACACAGCCATTAACAAATTGGGTGAGAGCTGGGACAGATGCAAGAGGTCTACGCCAGCTGCATTTAGGAATGTGTTTAAGCCATCTGTCTTCATACACTCCATTTGTTTGGGGTCACAGCACTGCCCACACCACTCCGAGGGTAAGGGGACTGTGAAAATACCTGGGGATAAATGTGAGCACTTTTTAATGATAATACACAAAACCCAATGGTTCTGACATGATTTGTGTTTAGAAAGCAGGCGGCTTTGGACCCTCCCCAACACAAGCCCATCTGGGTTCCCAATTTTCCTGAAAACTTTGCTGAGAATACCTTAGCTCTACCTGAGCCCTGCTGAGTGTGCTGAGTGCAAACAGATCTCAGTAGAGCTGCTCCTGTATTATTGACTTGGGCAAATACCCGCTGAAGGGAGGCCAAAGCAATCAGAGCATTTAATTATTTCTGACAAGCCACAGATAAGTGGGCTGAAGAAAAAAAAATGAGGAAAAAATGACACCTTCATCAGGCAGGGCGCTGCGACCAGTCAGCTGCTTCTACAGCATGCAGACACCAAAAACATGTAAAGATATTAAGGCTTTCCATAATAATATAGTGGATTGTAGGGGAAAAAATAACTTGCATTCCTCTTCTATACATTGAGCATAGAAGCTAAGGCGTAAGAAAGCGTGGAGTCGGTAGGCGAGTGCCACAACCCATTCAAACATGCTCTCGTTAACAGAAACTGCAGAAGCAGCAAGTGGGAACAAGGAAAACCCAAACAAAAAAGCCCAAAATGATTTAAGGTTGGGTTTCTGCAATGCTCTGCAGCAGCATGTGCCCGCCGAGCTGTGCCCGTACTGCTTCATTACCGCTAACGATGTTCATTGGCAGGCTACAGCAGAAGGGGTAGAGAGACAGCAACATCACTGCCTTAACAGTTAATTACGTGTTAAGGCACAAAAAGGTCAAGGCAGGGGGATTGGAGCGTCTGCTGACATCTGGCAGCGTTTTGGGGAAGTTGGGTTTCTCCCGAGGTCCTTGTTGACTCAAGCACGCTGATTTGCTCGCCGTTAATCGGAGGAAGTGGTAATGAGAACTGACTAATCACTGAGCTGCGCGCCCCGAGGACTCATTCCAGTGTCAGTCATTGCGTCGTGCTGAGCAGCCAGACAAAAGTAAGTCTTACTGGGATTTCAGCGACCCGTTAGCACCCTTCCTTGGCTCGTGGTGTTTGAACAATATTCATCCGTCCTCCCCTGCGTGATAAGCCAGGAAAAACTCTTGTGCTGGTATATTTCAGCTGACACAGCAGCGAAGGCATCGCAGGCTGTGCTCTAATTCCTGGAGAGCTTGGACCGGAGGTCCCAGAGCATCCTAGCACCATCGCTCATGTCTTCAGTGTTGCTGCGACCCCTGCAAACTAAATTAATAGAGGTCTGTTAACACCTGCCTATCTGCACGCCTCTCTGCTTTTCTGTGCAAACACACTTGAGTGCCATTACTGTGTTGTTGCTCCAGATAAAGCTTAAAGGATCAGTATTTAATTGGAGCAGTAAGTTCAGGGTATGAGACATGGTGTTTGCGTTAGGGCAATTTGTCACAAAACTCGGAGGGAAAATATCAGCAGTCAGATGATCCATTGCACACTCACCTCATTTAAATGCAATTCAATCTAGACAGGCCATTTGGCACAAAAATTAGAAAGATGACTTAACAAAAGCACTTCTGAAACCGGGTGTCAGATATATGTGTGTGTGACACTCGAGGGGGGAGCTGTCCAAGGAAGCCTGTAGCCATTAATTGCTAGGTAGCAATTAAGGTGTCAGCCAATGTTTAAAGCTCTCCCCTGCCTTCCCTGGCCATTTTAAAGGCAACACAATGAAAAAGAAATAATAAAAATAGAGCAAAGTGCTCTCCCCCACACCGCAGATCAAGCGTGAACCCTTAAGAGCACGGCTGGGCCAGAAGTGGATTTCTATGCAAACCACACACCGAATGCCTCTGCTTAATCACTCAGTTGCTCTGGGCAAATAGGAAAATGAAGTGAAGATAACTGCACAGTTCTAAAGTCACCATTCAGCCCCTCAGCTGAGACAGATGGCTTTTACTGATGTTGCTTCCTCTGGCATTCAGAGGAGGTTTTGGCAATCCTTTCTGGGTCTGGTTCTCAGCAACCCTGACGTGGGGGCAGTCAGTGCCTTCATTGCACATAATGCTCCACAGAACTGCAGAAGCCAGCAAAAAAGGCTCTTTTCCAGCCACTTTACCCCTTTTCCTTTTGGCAGAAGTGGCTTTCTTCACTGGTCCAGCAGTCGATGCACACCAAATGTTGGCCTCACCTTGTCTCTACCAGCAAGCATGGGAGATGCTCGCTTTAGCTGATGAACACTGAGAATAAACTGGTGTTAGCAAAAAGTGCCAAATCCCCCATCACCGTCATTCGCAGGGATTAGGAGAGCCCCAGTTTGGCTGGGACAAAGACGAGGTGTCCTTACCACTGTGTGACCTGGGCTGCATCATCTGGTGCAGGGATGGAGAGAGAGCACAGGGTGATAATGGGGAAGTTACAGCACTTCTTCCCAGTCACTCTGTGAATCTGGAAAATTAAATGGGCCTGATTCTGTTCCTATTTACACCAGCATAGCCCAATGATGACACACTTAATTACTCACAATTAAATGTCAAATTGCTCACTATTACTCATTGAATAGTCATGGTGTTTTCTCTCCTTCCCTGGCAATATGTCTAATAGCTACTCTCACTGTCAGGTGTTGGCCAGGCCTAGGATGGAGTATTATGGGACAGGTAGGTACAGGAACACGATGGTCACACTGGTCAGAGACTGATGTGCTCCCTCTGAGCTCCTTTTTGGGCTGCAGCTGCCTCTGGTGAGCCTTGCCAGCTCCTGCATAGCCCATGGACCTCGCTGCAGCTCTCCTGCAGCCCTCCCTGAACCCCTTTGGGGTCATGTGCAGCACCTACATCCCTGGCACAGGGACCAAAACACAGCAAAATCAGACAGAAGGAATCTGCTCTGCAACCGGACTGATCCTGCCGTTGGCACGAAAGCCTAGAGCAATGGGGTAATTGGAAGATGCTGCATTTAGAGATAACTGGTACTTAATAAACGAGTCTTTTCTTGGAAGGTGATCCCGCTCTCAGCTGCTCTTTTATCTCCTCCAAAGGCATGGCTTTAATTCTGTAGGCAGCGAGGGCACCTGCAGATGCAAGCTATACAAGAGACACCACGCTCTTCGGGGACAATTACAGCTATAAAAGTTTAGCATAAAGCTCAGGTGAGCAATAGCAGAATGCTGCCAGCCACGGGCTTTTAATTCCCAAAGTGGCTCCTGAAAAAGATAAGATAGAGCCCAACCAGATTAAGTAACTTCAAAGCAAGCAGCAAAGCATTTACAGGGTGCTGGAATAGAAGGCGTCTGTCGGGAGCATTAATGAATAAAACAGGTAGAGCTTCCTCACTGATCTGTTCCTTGGCCCTTCCAGGCTTTTGGAAGCCTCCCGTGATTAGTACTGTCTGCTAACCAGATTGTAGCATCCAGATAATGCAGGAAGGTGCGCTACAGAAACAGCTAAGGGACTGATACAGGAAAGTCAGAGAAGCTCTGCAGAATAGCCTTCTCCAATCAGTTATCTGAGGAAGAACGATACCGAACCGCTCTTCAAGAGGATGCTCTTATTGTTGTTACAAAGCTCTTATTGTTGTTACAATCACCAGCTTGCTCAGGAAAATTAAGCAATTTGCTAACTGAGAACTCGTGACGCCTCATCATTACAGTAACGCTGTGCTTCAGGTGACTCACCCAGCCCGAAGCTGGCTGCGCCGTTTGGGGCCGAGCAGCGGCTGCTCCTGAGTCACCTCGGCCCTGTCTCGGGGCGGCTGCTGCTTCCCAGAGGGAGAAAAAGTAAAATAAATGAGGCTTGAGACAGAAAGAATCTTGTCTAAGTTGAGACAGGGAAAAAATAGATGTGCTTTCTAACGTTGTTTGACCTGGATGATCAGAAACCCAGCAGATGAGTCTCACAAGTGCCAAGTGATGCATCTGAAATTAGCATCCGGCCAAGTCATGGCAGGGGCAGAGTCTCCTGCTGTAGAAGGCAGAGCACCATCTCACAGCAGGCTTTTCCCTTCTCCTCTGCCTACAGGAAGGGTAAATGATCCTCGACCCAGTGAACAGAGGGGGCACGAAGCCCTGTGACTTACCCATAATCGCAGGGGCTCTGCAGCAGGCGTCGCTTCCCGCTGGTGCCCTTGCATCTGCCCCTATCCCAGGCAAGAAGCAGCAGCGACATTTAAAGACTTGTATTTGTGTTCACCTCTGATGTAGCCTCTCTCCATCACTTAAATGCCATGGTTTGATGTCCCTATCTCCACTTCATGTCATGCAGACAGGTCAGACCCCAGTGCTGAAGGATGAACGTATCTCCAGGGGCTTCTGCAGTTGCCTATACACCTGATATTGTGTATAAATGCTGACATTGGCTGTGCATCAAAGGAATAAATAGACTGATTAGAGATTTAGTACTATGGCTGCAGTGCAACCAGGGAACACCACAGCCACCACAGTACTCCGGTTTCCTAATTTAAGCACAGCAATTGTGTTCGCGCGCTGGGGGAGTGCCAAACACTGTCCTGCGGAGCTGTCTGCAACCACTTCAACCGCCAGTCATCCCCAAAGGGGATGTTTTAGTTCTGACCATCATCAGCTGGTCTGAGCCAGCTCCACCAGCCTCTGTAACACCCCATGCAGCCTCTTGGAGAGTCCTCTCCTCGCTTGGCTTCCTGGCCGCTGCAGGACGGGCTGCGTAACGTCGAGCAACCTGCCTGAGGCTGAATTGTTCTGGGGCCAGGGGGATTTGGCATCTGCAAAGCATCAGGGCAAGGCGAGTCCCAAAAGCACCATGAAACCAGCCCAGCAGGCTGTGCTGAGGAGGGAGGGATGCTTGTCAGCCACATACACTCTGCTTTGTGGATATAGGATCCAAACCCCATCCTCCACACCCCTGGGGTGGCGAGAAGAGCCTGGCAGCACCTCCTGAAGACCCTCTGCACATGCAGACCTTGACATCTTCTTCGGAAAGGTTTCTTCAGCCCAGCCAGATGTCTGCAAGCAAATCTCACACCGGTGAGCAGACCTGTAAGCAGAGCAGCAGTTGTCACCCCCTACATCAGCCCAGACAGGGAAAAGGACCTGTCCCCAATTGTGCCTCTGCAGAAACCCATCCATCCATCAGCACACAGCAACAGGACGGGAGGAACAAGTTGGGCAGCCAACATCGCGTCAAGAAGCTCCCAAAAGAAGCTGTGTTGGCAGCCACATTGCACCTAGGCCCTTCCTTAGTTTCTGGGAAGTGTTGGCAGCCCCGATCCAGCTGGGGATGGGCAACCTCAGTGCAATGCCTTTGTAATTTGGGGCTGCTCTCACAGTCAGAGGGGAGCCAGCTCTTGCTGCAGGACCAGCTGCGGTTTATTGCACTTAATGAGGCAGGTGGGAGAAATTAAGGGCCTGTGGATCACGGCAAGCTTTATCTTTACACTGTCTAAGCATTAGACCCCTGTTTTTCTGCAGCCCTGAAGGGGGGAAGCCCAGACTCCAGCTCTGCTCACAGGCTGATGGCAAACACAAAGCAGAGCCCCGATATCTCCAGCACCTCCCCAGGGTGAAGCACACCCCAAAAGGCTGCTTGTGTCCCCTCGGGGGGGATCACAACCCACAGGTTTTGGGGCAGGCCCTGCTCCCAACGAGCTGCACCTGGACCCTGCTGCCACCCCCTGCCTTAAAGCTGGGGCCGGGAGCCTGTGGTAGGGGCTTGTGCCCATGGATGGCGTCTCGCCGCTGGAGAGGTACCTGGAGCACTGCAGCGGGCAGGTACTGGGCTGGGAGAAGGGGAAAAAAAATAAATGAAGGGATTTTAAACAAAAATGGAGTTGCGTTGGCCGGGAATCGAACCCGGGTCAACTGCTTGGAAGGCAGCTATGCTCACCACTATACCACCAACGCCGCGCTGAAGAGAGTTTCCCGCCCATCTCTCAAGTAAAGCGTCTCCTCTAGGCCCTCCCCTGCTTTCCTGTGGTACTACACTGTTTTTTTTCCTTTCTCTGAGTTTTTTTTCATATCTTTGAGCCCCTAAGTGATTTGTTTATACGGATGTGGAGCTGTTGGAGTACGTCCAGAGTGTGATCAGAGGCTGGAGCTCCTCTGCTGTGGGGACAGGCTGAGGGAGCAGTGCTCAGAAGGGGTAGGAGGCTCAGATCTCTTCATGCTGGCTGGCAAATCGTTGCAAAAATCTTTTTTTATCTATTAAAAACCTTCCTCTGGCAGAAGGGACTGCTGCAGGTGGTTGTAGAGATAACTGGGAGAGGGCTGGGCTCCTCAGCTGAGCCTCGTGTTCACCCAAGGGACACAACTTTTTCAGCTGTGTGTACTTCTTTTCACTGACTTGCTGCCTCCTATCTTAAACTATTTTACAACCCAGAAAGTAAGTGCAATTCAAGCTGCTTAAATCCAGAGATCTCCTGGTGGTAGTCAGCAAAGCCCCCTGAACTTGCCCCATGAGGTGTGTAACATGGTGAAGTATAACCAGGGTGTTACAAATGCAGCTGAATTTGCTGTTTCAGATTTGTCAGGGTAGCTGATAGCAGAAGATGAACAGGGTGCCATTAAAAAAGGCAAGAGCTGTTGTTAAAACAGCTGGATTTGATTTATATATATCTGGGTCTTGTGGACTACTGCAGTGGAACGAAAATGGCTGTTTCCTCCCCAAACCTGGTGATCTCAGGCAGGATCTGTGCATAAAATCTCCTTTCTGGAGCTGCTGGGAAGTGTCTGAAGCAATGCAGCTGATGGGGCCTTCAGTGAAGTTAATTAACCTGGAGTCTACAGTAATAACCCTTGGCAGCCAGCCCAAGATAAACATGGTCTTGTGCCCCCCCTTAGGAAGCCCCTGAGCATCTGTCTAACAAGAGGGCAATCTTCCCCAGCACTTAACCCTATAAGAGCTTTTTCTCACCAGCTTTCCATGCAATTGTTCTGAGAAAGGAAGACTTGCTTTCTGTTTCTATCTACTTTAAGCAGATTACCTCTTATTTCTTTATTTTTTTAGTGGTCTAAAGCTTCTTGTCTTTTGTACCATTCATCTATTAGCTTCTTTCTTTAAGCAATACCCTAAACTGTTTTGCTATTGTTTTTTGACCATTATTTTTAAGTTGTCTGATGCCTCTTGGTATGATACATTAATAGTCTTGCAAGCTTGCCGTGACAAGGCTTTTTTGTACCATCTTCTGCACATCATGGTTGGCAGAAAACTTTCCTAGCTGAGTCCTGTATGGATAGGTCTTGGTTTATTGGCAGGTCTTAAAGAGATTGTGCTTTCCTTCTCCTAACAAAATAAATAAAACCTTGAATAACTATCCCATAATATTTTGCTATTGTAAGCAACCATCTACTGTTTTAAAACAACTTGTATTTGACACAGGTGGCTTAAGATGTGGATCAGACTTGCCAATTCCTGGGTTCTGCTCTCCAAAGAGCTGAGGTTTCATTCAGTAGCGCTCTGCCCCAGATCTCATATGGGGCTCTACATCTAGAAGCCAGCTTTACAAACAGTTTTGAACCCCCCAGGTATTCATACTTTACAGCTAGACCAGCTTGTATCCATATTTACACGAAGGGTTCTCTGCAATGATTTGTCACAAGAGTTTTCCAAGCTGCCAGTGCTTTCTCCAGGCAGACATACTGCAGAGTAACTAGGTGCAGAGACCTCGTGTGCAGAGCACACACGGCTGTGTTAACTGAGCTGATTAGCACAGAGCATAGAGCAGCACTAGCTCAGGGCTGCAGAGCATTGATCTGGAAACCCTGCTCCCTCCGGAGCTCAGGCAGTCGCTGCCAACTTGAGGGCCTCTGTCTTGTGTGCAGTTCTCTGTTCTGATTTGTGCTTCAGTTTAAGTCCTCGGTGCTAAAATGCCTAAATGCACATAAAACCTCTTGTATGGATCATCTACTCCAAGCTGTCACCTGCTGTGGGTAGCAGCAGCAATCTCTTTCTTGGAAGAAGCTTTCCACTAACTAGAGGCTTGTGCCCACATGAATAAGGGAATAAATTCCTAAACTCTTGCCTTCTCAATACCACAATGCCTTTAAAACACTTTTAATTCCTTTTTAAGTGATGCTGATAAAGGAGGGCATTAGTATGCAAGAACTTGCTTGCAGATATGTTGAATGCCTTAATCGCTTGATCTGGGAAGGATGCTGGCTTTGCTGACTGCGTCTCGCTTGAATTAGTCTGGTAACCTCCTGCAGCTGAATGCTTAATTCGCTCGTGCGTCTGTGAACTGCTGCCCTCTATTGCACAAATCTAACACAACGCTGACACCGTCCCCTGGTAGCAGGGAGAGGAAACAGCAATATCTGTATAGCGGAGTGAAAGCCAGCCAGAAAATGCCAGCTGTCTTCCTTGGAAAAACTCACGAACAGTTATGTTGGTTATGTATGTAACTGAGGCACGATAAAGGCTGTGAAGGGCGAAGTGCCAGCATTGTTCCTCCAATTACTGCTGGTATATACCTGACTTCTCAATTTGTGGCATTACTGATGTGTTCTAGACTGCCTTTGAAGTGTGGTGGGAAAATGAGCGTATCCACTATAAAAATCATTTGGGGGAAAAGTTATCTGTTTTTATATGCTGGCAGACAAGCCAATGACACCCTTTCAAATCTTAAGACTATTCTTTGTTATAATACTTATGGGGAAAAATGATTGAAACTTCTTGATTGAATAGAAAACGTACCTTAATGTAGTCTCCCAGTTGAAGTAAATGTTTTGATACAGGATCCTTAGTGACACACTTTTTCTCCATTCAAGGATGACCTCTCAGCTAGTCCTCAGCTGTTTCCTCCCATGAGCCCTTATGAAGTGGACCTTCCAATTCAAACTGAAGATGGATTGTTTGGTTCTCAATTTAATCAGCCCAAGGAGCTTCCTGCGGACTTCTCCTCAGTGGACCTCAGCTTTCTTCCAGATATTACTCAAGATAAAGAACAAAACCTATCTGAAGATGGCCATGGAATGCAAGAGAAGCTTGATGGGTCAGTATCAAGAAATGAGGACAGTAGTACCTTCGTGAATGAAAGCAGCTTATCATGCCCAGATGCAACTCAGCCATCCCCTGAAGAGTCCGGTGTGTGTCCCCCTCTGACGCCAATGACTCCTATGACCCCAGTGACACCTGCTTCTGCTTCAGAAAGCTCTGGCATAGTTCCTCAGTTACAGTAAGTTTCTGCAGCATATATAAGTTACAGGAACAGTACCACCTTCACTGAAGGTCAATCTCACTGAAAATTAGCTGTCTTTCTCTTGAAGAGTAACATATTGCTCTGACTTCTCACTTACTGGAGAATGTAGCAAGTGTGGTTTGGTCATAAATAAGCCCCCCTATAAAACTAGGGAGGGGGAAGAGGGTGGGCATGGTTATTTTTCTTTGAGAGGTGGAACAAATGAACAGACAATATTGGAAGGCAACTAGATACTGTGCTGAACAATGCAAAATAGCGATGGCATGGAACAATACAGCTTAGCAAAACAGAGGAGTGGACTTGATAAACATGCTGGTTGAGTAAGCATCTGAAATGCCTCTGGCTTCTGAAGGGGGAAGACTCTCCTGGGAGACAAGAGAAGTCTCTCCATAGGAGAAGCATTTGGTAGAAGGATTTACTATATAGTATGCATTGCTAGTTACTTCAGTCTGCAGGACAAGACAGAAAACACTTTAAAAGGTCTCAGTCCAGCAAGGAGAATGCGAAGGATGACAATAGACTCCAAGGGTTTAAAGATCTGTCTGCTCTCCTGAGAGAAGGAAGAGTCTGAACTGAGCAAAGGAAAGGGACATGAAAAGAAGTGAGAGATCCTGACCTTTAAAAAGATCTGATCCTGTCTGGGCTAGAGCAAATATAGAGAACTTACACCTCTAGAGACTAACATACCCCTACCTACCTTGCCAGTGCAGTAATAACTCTGTAATTCTCAGTAATGGTGCAATTCAAAGCAGTTAAAAAAAAAAAAAACTTCAGTGATGTAGTTATTGGAAGACGCACAAATTTAGTATGCAGGGACTAATAATTTTGTACCTTGTTATATTTCCTCCCATGAAAAGCTAATTTTGATATTGAATTACTTAAATTCTGCCAGAATCAGCTTAGTACTAGAGTGGGAAAGAGGAAGGCAGGAAACTAGTTGATGGCAACTATTAATTGGGCTGTGACTTTGCGTTAGCTAATAATGTTGGGGTTTTGCTCTGTAATGCCTTGCTTTTGTAATAAGAAAATTCCCTTCTCATTCCTTAGGAATATAGTGTCAACTGTGAACTTGGCTTGCAAACTAGATCTGAAGAACATAGCTCTGCATGCCAGAAATGCAGAGTATAACCCAAAGGTAAATCTTGAGGGCTAGGCTTTATTCCCAGCTCTCAGTGCTGCTGGACTCTACCATACAGATTCATCCTGAGCTCTGTACCTTTTCTGTCTTTTCCCAAGTCCTAACAAATTCTGCAACTTGGGTCTCTTAAAGAAATACAGGGGACCCCAAGGAGATTTATTCATTTTTTTAATAAAGCCCTTGCAATGAGATGTTACCAAGCTGTTTAAGAAAGGAGGTGACTCTCCTTTCAGCTTGAGCCAGCTGAGATGGCTCAAGCATCCCTGACTGAGGGAGGAAAGATCTGCCCAAAAACTCTTGGCTATAGGAAAGAGCAACACTGGAGCTGGGCTGGTATTGCATATTTCTAGCAAGTGACTTATACTGCAGAAATTTACTGGGAATAGGTGGGAGTTTCTGTAAATGACTTCAGACTGCTCCACAAAATGAAAGGCAACAAAGAGTGGTCCTGTGATGGCTGTCTTAAGCCCACAGGTTGTAGGGAAGTACTTACCACCCTGAAATATATATAAAACAACACTTCTGCAAAGTAAATACATGTTGTGCTGAGCTTTGTGGAAGTGATAATTCTTGAGAGAATGAATCGATGTGTGGTACCAGCTGAATATCTCTGCTTGACTGTGAGCTTTTCCTTTGAATTTGTAGAGATTTGCTGCGGTGATCATGAGAATCAGGGACCCACGAACAACAGCCCTTATCTTCAGCTCAGGAAAAATGGTCTGCACAGGAGCAAAAAGGTGGGTTGGTGTTTTTTGTTTTTTGTTTTTTTGCTTTTCTCTCCTCTAATGTCATACAGCTGACCAAAAGCCTTGTTTAAATTATCTAGCAAGAAGCTTGCTATTAACTACAGAAAAAAATGAAGCACTAGTCTTGAAAACGTCTATTTTTTTTTTTCATGACAGGAGTTCAGTAATTACTGAACTACATGCTTCTGCCCCTGAATATAGATTGAGCTGAGCCAGACATTAGCAAAAAAGCTGCTAAAATGCCCAGGAGTTGTTAAGGGGTTATTTGCATTTCTCACTGACTTTAAAGTGAGTTGGGACATAGCTTGTGTCTGTCAAGTCTCTCTTTGGTGTCTGGCTTCACTAGTCAACACATCTGCCTCCAGATAAAATGGGAGCTGGAGAAAATCAAAGATTTCTGTACTCTGAAGGTTTTGTCCTCAAGTTCAACAGCTGCCTTGGTGTATTTATTTTCAATGCATCATCTCATTGATTGGGTCTTAACTTAGAAAGCTTCTTCTCTGGCCCTCACCTAGCTAGAAGACTGCACTGATAACTGCAATGTCTCTCCTGGATCAGCTTTAATCTGAGGGATGAGAAACTGCTGTGCAATTCTTGGACAGGGGAAACTGTGTGACATAGCATGCTCCAGTGTGCTCAGTTAAACCACAGGAAAATGAACACCAAAGTGTGTCGTTCCTTTTAGTTCACTGAAGTGGTTTTGGGGATAGAATCTCACTATTTAAAGTATTAGCATATCTTTTTCTGGAGTACAGATTAGCATGGTGGTGGCTCTAACCTGGATTCCAGCTTCAGAGCAGAAGAAAGCACTCAGCACAGCTGCTTCCCCCTTCTGCTCTTCCCTCAGTGAAGAGCAGTCACGGCTCGCAGCGAGGAAGTACGCGCGTGTGGTGCAGAAGCTGGGGTTCCCTGCCAAGTTCCTGGACTTCAAGATCCAGAACATGGTTGGGAGCTGTGATGTGAGGTTCCCCATCCGGCTGGAGGGGTTGGTTCTCACTCACCAGCAGTTCAGCAGGTACGTGGGAGGGAGAGGTATGGCACCACGTAGCTTGGAGCATTGTCTTTGTAAGCTGTAAAGAAACTCAAATTCTGAAATCATACAAGCCTGGCAAAATGAATGTAATAATTAACTGGGTACTGAATGTCAAGCACATCTTTTGCTCACCAAAACTGGTTCAGTGGACAAGAAGTGGCTGTAGGTAATATGTTAAAAATACAGATAGTAGGGCTTATTATATTTTTTTTGCAATAACTCCTGTTCTGAGTGGGGCACAGGCCAAAATGACCCTCTGCTTAATTGCTACAGTGACGTACTGCAGCTGGCAGTAAAGCTTCCAGAGCCTGAAACTGGTGCAATGCAACAGGGATGGGCTCTGCGGAACTTCCCTCCCTGTGGTGCTCACTGCTCCCTCCTTGCAGGGATGCTGTTAGCAGCAGCTTTGGAAACCTCGTAACAGAGCACACCCCATGCATTTGAGCACTTCTGGGTAAATGGGAGGTACACTAGAGCTGGTTAAGGTGAAGGATTTGCAAATTGCAAGAAGCTAACTGCTGCTTTAGTTAACAAAGAATCTATTCTGTAAAAGCTCTTTGTCAATTAATATTGTTTGCCAATCCCGTGTTGCAGCGTATCAGCTACGTAGGGAGAAATGTACAGCAGGAACTTTTGTTTAATCCCAGTAGTACTGGGGATCAGAGTTCTACAAGTCTCCTATCATTGCCAAGCGCAATGTCAAAGCATAGGTAGTATATTTCTTCACTGCAGACTGTGAATAGGGAAAAAAAAATGATTAAACAATTCAGATTTAATTGAAGCAGCTCTTAAGCTACTTGGATCTATGGAAAATCAGATTCAGAAATGGCTCATGCATTTAAAAGTAGGCACAGAGAACTACCAGCTCTAGTTGGGTTTACTAGGTTTCTCTTCAAGACATTTAGACCCTGACCAACCTTTCTCTGGCTAGCTAGCTAAAATCTGTAGGTTTAATTACTCAGCTGTCAGCATGGCTAAAGAGTACTTCATGCATATGACACTGAATCAGTATTTGCATTTTACTAATCTTACCTGCTTGTTTTTGAAACAGCTATGAACCTGAACTATTTCCTGGCCTTATTTATAGGATGGTCAAACCAAGGATAGTGTTGCTTATCTTTGTGTCTGGAAAAGTTGTACTGACTGGTAAGTGGTCTCTTGCTCTATTATCTGTAACCAAGTGCTACCACATCTTCCAAGGAAGTGTTTAAATTGAGCATTACTAAACTGATATCTTGCCGCAGTAAAGCCACTTAGCAATCTTTGTCATGCCTACTGCTGCTTATCTGTGTTTTCTGCGGATAATAACACCGGTATTGTTGCACTAGAACCTTATATTGCTTCATATAGTGTCTCAGCTTTCCGTGTCATTAAACTTGAGTATCTTTATTTTATTCAAAGCATAATGCTTTGTGCCAGCGTACTGAATCCCAACAGGAGGCTGACATGCCAGTAACCACTCACAATTGCTTCAATATGAATATCACAATAAGCAATTTAAAATTGGACAGGAAGCAAACTTCTTAAAACACTTCACTGACAACATGTACTAAGGATTATTAGAGGAAAGGGTGGAGACGTAAGAGTCTGTTCCAGACAGTTTGGCAAACTCATGAGGAAAAGCCTTATGAGTAAGTGTGCTCAGCAAATATCTGTACCTTGGATCCCATGGCAAAAAAAAAAAGCTAAACTGTGAGTGCATGTTTCCAGCACATTCTGTTGTAAAGCTTATGAAAATGCCTTTACACAGCTGTACAGAAAGGTAAATGGGTACTTGTGGTTCCCAGAGGAACCTAACATTACATGTATATTCATGACAGAGCTTTGAGGTATGTGAACAGCAAAAGAAGCCTTAGAGTTTCTCAAAATCATAGATCATGAGCTAATTGAACTGTAGAGCAGTCAGGATGAAGTTTAAATGCTTCCCCCTCTAATGCCCCACCACCTTCCTTCTGGGCCCACTGAAATCATACTGGCTACCTCCAAACAGAACACGTTTGGGGATATACTAATACCCTAGAGTGCAAAGCATGCCCAGAAGGACTAAAGCTAGTCCTTGCCTGTGAACACTGGGCCCTAATTGTAATGACAAAACTAAATCTGTTAAGATGAATTTCTTCCCTAATCCCAAAATGTTCTTGTGGTACCTCAGATGATTTAGTCATGTCTAACCATATCCTACGTTCATGGAAGGGGAAGAGTTTACACATCTGTCCTGAGTGCAACTTAGTCCAATTGTTAGTCCATCTAAATGCAGTTTGCCTGTCATTAATGCCTATTACACTCATGTGGTAGATAAGTATCACTGGCAAGGACTGTTCCTCCCTGCTGCAGTACTGGTATTAAAGATTTGCTTGCAGTAATGTGGATAAGGATGGCTTAGAAATCACAGGTGACCTAACAAAGCTTAAAGCTTCTTGGAACTGGGAGAGAGGAATTATCGAACTGTGAATGAATGGGATAAATGCCCTTCATTTCATGTTTCCACCTTTCTAGTTATCAAGAGAAAGAGCTGTTATGGTTAAGCAGATAAAACTCTGATTCCTCTGACTGGCTTTATTTGACAGACAGTGTTTGGCATCTGTCAGGAGGAACTAACTGCTGTTTTGGTGCTACAACATAAAACTAGTCTTAAAGCAAAGCAAGCTATAAATTGTTCTTTGAGGTACAGAAGTAACATGACAGAAATTCTGCCTTAAGCTAACATTTGACAAGAGTTCTTAAATTTGCTTTTAAACTCCTGCATTTCTTCATGGATTCTAATCTCATCGTTAGATTTGAGGTGCATTCAGTTATTCTCAATGCTCTAATTCTTAATGTGTTGGTTTTATTTTTTGAATGTCTTTACAGGGGCAAAAGAGCGTTCTGAAATCTATGAGGCATTTGAGAACATCTATCCCATTCTAAAAGGTTTCAAGAAAGCATCATAACGTGGCCCGTAAAGAAACTAACAATTTACCAGTTTGTAATACAAGGCATGGAACAGAAGCCAAGGGTATTCCTGGACCCACTTGTACAGTTGTGGATTATTAAGCAAATGACATATGACTGCTAAAAGTGCTGATGCTTTGCTACAGTTTGTGAAAAGTTTTTTCATGAAGATTTGCTGTCTGTAATCCACTTGAGTTCTGACAACTTGTGTCAAGCTGAGAAATTTGCCAAACAAATGTACTTTTAATATAAAGCATATTAAGGTTGCGCTTATTTTGTAACGGAGGCCTTGTGCCTCATCCCTGTTAAACAGATGAATCAACAATGTACTTCAAACTAGCTTCATCAAAATTCTCAGCTTTAAGTACTGAAGGTTAGCTCCTGTAATGAAGTACTTTCATGTTCAAACTCAAAATATATTTTTGTCTACAACACAGCTTACAAAATCCAGTATGACTTGACTCCAATGTTTTGAAGACAGACAATGAATGCAGAGGACATCTACTGACTCCCTCTAATCCCACAGGTTGGATAAACAATTATATAATGGTGCTGATACTCTTTATAGAGAAGATATTCAAGGACCCTGACAGTGTTGGAACGTACCTGGAAAGGAGAACTGGGGTGGGGGAGAATGAAGCAAATTCTGCAATTTGTCTTACATGGGTTAAAAAGTGGTACCCACTTGCATTACTGAAATCCTCTCAGATGATGGGAGGCTTGCTTGGCCTGAAAAGCAAACCTGTTAATTAGGAACTACCTTTAAAGTGGACTTGAAGAAAATATAGAGTCTTGGATGTTCAAGGCTTAATTATCTAGGTTATTTAATCAGAGCTCAGGCAATGGCACTACATGAAAGCATTTGGTAATTTAATTTTGTCTCTCATCTACAAGGGAACTCAAGGCTTCCTTTGCTGAAGCTGTCATGCTCAGGTGGGTAACGTGACAAGGAAGAGTGTAAAGATGATCCCTTGACTGTTCTGGTACCTCCTATGATTCCAAAGAAGCAAAGTTTTTTATTCCAGAACAGGGCTGCTGGTGTTTGTGTTGTTTCCTCCCCTTGTTTTCTACCAAAGGTGGGATAGATCTGTCAGGAAGCTCCCTGAGCCACTAGAGGTTGCTATTTGATGACTTAAGCATAACCCATGCTAAAGGCTGCCTGCCCTTCCGATAAATACCCACATTATAGGCAACAGCTTAACACAGGACAGGGCGTCATGGGCTTAGTTTTGCTGTCACCAGTTCACTTCTGATTTGGTGCGGATGTGACCTCAACTTGTCTGTGATGTCTCACATGTGCTTTCATAACTGTCCCTTTGCTCCCCTGGAAAGAAAGCTTGAAAAACTTCATGCACTTCCTTGTGATAAACCGGTCTTAACTATGTTATCAGCTTCTTTGTCACAATCAAACTGTGTATTTCCAAACTCAAATCTATTCTAAACAGAGGCTTACTTTTCTGTTTGTTTTCTAACCCTGCAGACTTTCCACAGCTATGGGCTGAACTTTTATTTGCACTGTAGCTGTAAAAGCTGATAAGCTTGAGTTACCAGAATCCTTGCAAGTGAAAAGCAACAACCTGTTCTTATTGGGGTGTTGGGAGAAAGCTTATCTAAGATGAGCCTCCTTCAAGGAACAAATCTGCTTTTTCATTAAGAGCTAGCTGAATAATTTCACCAGAGAAGTCAATGCTCTTTAAAAGTGTGGATAAAGCTTTAAAGATAAGAAATGGTCTCTGTGCTTTTTCAGAGCTACTGATAACTCTGTTTGCTATGGTAACTTGTCTTAAAAACAAGTATCTGGGTTCTTTCTGTGCAGTGCTGCTCATGCTAGTATTTTGTAGTACTTGAATACAAAAAGAAGGGGAAAAATAAAGGCTGGCTTTCTTACTTTTTACAAAGAACTCATGTCCCAGGTTGTGACAGTAGTGCTTTGAGTCCTGACTTGGGGTTTCTTTACTTTAAATTCCCACTTTTCTCCCTAGCCTCCCTCAGAGCACTGGCTCTCTGATTCTGGATACCAGCTGATAACACCCATCTCAATCTTGACAAATCTTGACATGTGGCTCCATACAGGGACTGGGGCAAGGAAATCTGCTAGCCTGTTGTTTTTAAGGATGTGTATTAATCGTTTTGACCCCTTTTACGCAAAGGTTGATTCCTGATACTATAAGAACTACTCAAATAATTACCCAAACAATAAGTATTACCCAAATAATTTAATTTTGGGTAGCCATAGCTTCTCCTGGAGTACAGGGCTGTGAGGTGCCCTTCACCCCAGGGGCACAGCCTGTAGGTGCCATGGGGGATGCGTGCTGGATGCTGCCCTACACCCTTTACTCCCCTTTTTTCCCTCCACTTGCCCCACTTTCTTCCCTAACCCTCTGCACCAGGACTGCCTGTATAACCTGGGCCGAGAAAAACACCCACAAAACAGCCTTTATATACATAATTTTATTTATTTATCGCTTCACACCGCTGAGGGGACCCCCCTCCCCTCACAAACCCCCCCTGAGGGGCCGGCCCCTCAGCGCCCTGTTCCCACAATGCCCGGCGCCACAACACGGCCCCACGTGACCGGGGCGCCCAAGATGGCGGCTCCCAGCGGCTGCCGGCCGCAGCCCGGCGGGCAGGGGGGAACCGGGGCGGGACCGGCACCGGGACCCGGCCCCGGGGCAGGGCCGGCGGCGTTGAGGGGTCCCGAGGAGGACGCCGAAGGCTTGTACGTGGCGGTGGAGCGCTGCCCGCTCTGCAACACCACCCGCCGCCGCCTCACCTGCGCTAAGTGCGTCCGGGGCGGCGATTTCGTCTTCTTCGACGGCCGCGACTCGGAAAGGTACCGAGGGGGGGGACGGGGAGGGGTCCTCGGGCCTGCCCCGCCGCTGAGTCCCGCGGGGGAGGCCGTGGGGATGCTCCTCACACGCCCCCATGGGGTGGGGGAGGCCCCTTGGGTTCGCTGGGGGGTCCCTGGGGTCGCCCCCCCCCGGTAATGGGGTCCTGGGGAGCTGCTGGGGTTTGTTTGGGGGGTCCTCGGCCCCCTGAGCCCGGAGGTGGTGAGATAAAGTGAGGGAAGGGGGCTGGGGGCAGCCCAGGGGGCTGTGCTGGCTTTGTGAGTGGTACTCGGCTGGTGAGGGGTAAAATGTGTCAAATAATTGTAATTGTGAAGGGTTTGGGTGGTGACACGGCCATACGGGTGCAACCAGCGAACTGGAGATAACTCCAGACAACTAAGGGCAAAAACAGTGGGACGCTTGAAATACGTCTCTGTTCTCAGAAGTATACCAAAACAGCAGTTAAAACAGTAATTTTCCAAAATTGTTTACCGAAATCACGCAAGCAAACAGCACCTCTCCTTCTTGTTCCTGTTCATATAACTAGTCCTGATCGCGGGCCCTTTACAGAATCCAGAAATATTGCACTTGAGTTGATCACGCCCCTTCCTGCCCCTTTGTGCAAGGAGCTGGCTGCAGGAGGGCTGCAGAAGTCGATCAAGAAGCAGGTAGCCCTGTTACGTGGTTCGGATGCTCGTTTCCCCTCTGTAGCTCATTTTTGACTGTGAAACAAGCCGTCATTTCCAGCACGTCCACCCCGGATTCTTAAAAAGCCTGCCTAGCGCTGTCTCAAGAATAGCCCTAATTTTTGGCTGTGTTTGTGGTCCTCGATTTGTAGCTTCGTTAACAGCTGCTGGGAGTGATTTCTCCAACTATTTCAGGAAGGCAGCGAGCGGTGTGTTGTGTGGAAGGGTCCTCGCACCAAACACCCTTTGCCAAACGTAAGAATAGCCAGGGAAACAGCCGTGTCTTTCTTCCTACCTTGGTTCTCTGCAACAGCTCCAGGCAGCTTTTTATGGCAGGACGGTGTTTTCCTGCCATAAACTCTTTCTGTGGGTGTTTGCACAACAGGATGCATGACTGGACAATGATGTGCTTGTCTTACATTTAAGCAAATTGACCTCCTCAAGCATAACCCAGATATAGAAAGCCAGCTCGCGCCCAGATCTCTATCTGGGTGAGTGGACCCTTCACCCCTGCCAAGTTTCGTTAAAGTTGATGGGAGTGGGCACGAGGTGGCAGCCAGCATGAATCAGCCAGCAAAAATGAGGCCTGAGTCTGCCACTTTGATGGGTTTTCTTCTTTTGCCTCGGAGGCTGTGGTGTGGAACCACAAAGTGGATTTTAGCCCGTCTAAAATAGATGAAAAACTCGTCTTTGTGTGAGACTGCTCAGGGTTATCGGCCGTTTCCATGAAAAAAAAAAATTGGTTTGGGAATTTGGAACGTAAGCCAAGTATTTTCTCCTGCCCTTTCTGCAGCCTGAAGATTTTGGCTAACCATCAGGCTTCGTTACAGAAATCCAACTGCAGCATCCTTATAGTGGAGCCACTCTCATCCTGTATAACCAAGGCTCAAGAAGTTTCTCTACACATTGGAAAAACGCAACCATGAAGAAGCAGTCCTAGCCAAAGCACCAGAGGCAACAGCTGCTTTAAAAAAATCTCTTCCCCTCCTCATATCAGCGACTGCTGTCACCGCATCCTCCCGAGATGCGTTAACTGTCCCGTTCACCTTTGGATAGAAAACATTGTGATGATTAAGCCGTATTTCTTGACTGTAGGAAAAGTCCCTTTTGTTTTTCTCCTCCCTTTTTTCCCCTTGTTCAGGACCTTGGACTCGCTGTCTGTGTAATCCTCTCTTCTCTTCTCCAGCCTCCGCTCAGGCAGCCCCCCTGGACGCTGCTTTTCCCTGAGCTTTGCATCTCCTGCTGCTTAAAACTCTCCTACGGCAGCTCCGTGTTCCTGGAGTCACGGATTAACAAAACAAGAACAGCGTCAGCGTGATCGATGGCAGCAGGAAAAGTTCAGTGTAGGGACAAAGCTTCGTAAAACTCAGGTTTCTGCTTCTTTCAAAGATAACAGAATTACCGATAGCCTGAAAGTGTGCTTGAAGTGTTTTATCTGCGTTGTGTAATTAATCCTTCGAGTGACTAATGGGAAAAGTGAGAGAGAAACAGCCCGGCATCTCAGGTCAGTTTTTATTGTTTCCTCTCTGCCAGCAGCGAGGGGTTTCCGTGAATTTCTTGCGACGTGAGCGCGGCGAGGGAGGGAGCAACCTTTAAAATCATGGCGTGGTCGTGCAGGGACAGGTGCAGGGAGCTGGCTGGAGCTCAGGCTGTGTTTACTGTCGGCGGTATTTACTTGGTTACTTTATGCCTTCTAGTAGCACCTGGGTTAATTTTAGATCGGCGCCATGGTCGGGCCTGGAGGAGCCCGGCAGGGTCACGACAAGGGCTTTGCTGAGGGAGCCGTGTGAGAAATCCAGCCCTGGGATGCACAGGGCTCCCAGTTGTCTTTTGGAAGTGTTACAGGCTGGAGGAAAACGTCGGTACCTCTCACTTGTGAGAAGTCAAAGGAGGTTACCCATTGTATCCAGTGGTGGTCTACTCTTTTCTTGTTTTTATTTCCTCAGAAAACAATAAATATTTTAACATTTTAACATCAAGAATTATTTCAGATTTTCACAGGACTATTTTATGTGCTAGTTGCTGTAAAAGCTACAGGAAGATTACCCCCATGTAACAAAAATCACAGCCTGTACCTGTAAGGGGGCCAACTGAGGAGCTGTCAGGATTAATTAGTGAAACACAGCTACAATTAAAGATGAGTAGTCCGGAAATCCTGCAGTAGAATGATCACCGACATTCTTCCTTTCATTAGTAACGTGTTGTGTGTTCAAAGCATCTTGTTGTTCATTTCAGGACACTTCTTCCTCCCAGGAGTTTACCCCAGCCTGTCACAGAGAGAAATTCTCAGTTCCTATTCAGTGGCTTTTTGAGACACCGGAGTTTTCTCGTAGTGGATGTACCTGTTGCTATCCTCAGCTCCTGCAGCGTTAATCAATTCCTAGAGATTAGGGAGTCCTTTTTTCTCTTTTTCTTTTCCTCTCTGATTATGTACACATGGAAATAAGCCAGGGAACCGTAGGAAATCTCAGGTTAATCCAGACTGGAGAAAAAAGAAGCATCTTATGGATAATTTTAGATGCAGAGTCCTCCCCTTCTCTCAGTTTACATTTCATGGGAGTTTCTCTAAGAGTCCATTCAGAGCTTTGTTTCTTCACCAGGTTGAAGGGCTGTGGATATACAGAATAAAATGAGTTACGTGATGCAATGCAATTAAAAAAGGGGCTGGATAAGGAGATGGAAACGTCTGCTTCGGGGAGAGCTGCTGAAGAAGATGGTAGGAGCTGGCTGACACAGTTGCTGAAGCGCGTGGCGAGCTGTAATTCTTGCAGGCTCTCCCAAACATTCCTGCCTTCCCTCACCAGAGAGAACTTAATTTAGTCCCAGGCTCTTGACAGATCGACTTCCCACTAGTGTGCCGGACACGATTTGGGAAATCAGCCTCCGTGCCCGTTAATTAACCCAGCTTGGAAATGAAGAATCCCCAAATTTCCGCGGCGCTCCCCGTGTGGCTGCCCAGCCTGGCCGAGTTATTTCGGGACGTGCCCGAGGTCAGAGGTGCAGGAGGTGCGTGGTACGGCGTCGTAAACAGCACGCTTGTGCAATTTCCACGATGACTGGTGGGTGAGGACACGCAGGACAGACGGACAGACAGACACCGAGCAGCCAGGCTCCGGTTGCACCGCATTCCTCAGGCGCACGCGTGGCCTCTGGCTTTTAGAGCAGCACCTGCGTTGGGGATTGAGCTGCTTTGGAAGGAAAAGAGAGAGTTTTGGTCGTCTGCGAAGACAGCAGGCAGAAGTTTTGTTGTTGTTTTCGTGCTGCTGTCATCTGGAAGAGCGATTACACACTTGGTAAAACCGAAGCCAGTTCTACGAGTTCTGGAGCAAAATATACTGAATTATTTCTCCTTGCATGGATTTAACCCCAAGGCACACGTTTGAGGTGTGGATCAGGATGGTGCTGTGGCATGGCAAGCACAAAGGAAAATCGGGAGGCCGTGCACTGGCAGAACACAGCACACACTTTCTGTTTTTAGGTTGTCTACATCCCTTGGCTGTCTCTCTTGCTTTATCTTTGTCACTTTGTGCTTCACTGTAATCTCTCAATATGCATTGTTCGGACACTGTTTGCTTTAAAAGTATTTCTCAGTGTGGCGAGGAACATGCAGGTGAGCAGAACGTGGCTATTTGTACTCAGAGGATGGAAATGCAGGATGATGAACCCGAAAAAATTCCCTTCTGATCACTTTTTTTGGCAGTTCCCACACCTCACATCCACTGGGGCAGACCTCAAGCAGGCATTTGGGTCGGGCACTTGTGACACCTGGTAGAAACAAGTAGAAGAAAATGCAGCTTATGGCAGCTAATAATAATAAAAGAAGGAAAAGCCTTGAGAGAGTACTGTCCTGTCTGGAACCATCGCTGAGTAAAATCTGAGACCCTTCCAGGTGAGAAGTGAGAAAAATGCAAAGCTCAGCGTGTAAAAACCTGCACTTCTTGGTACCAGAGTGGGTAGTTCCACTAATACCACCTAATGCCATCTCAGGCTCACTGTGTTACTGTTAATTTCTCCGGTGATTAAAAGCTTTTCAAGCAGTGTATGTGTTTCGTTGTACACAAAATATTGATGTTTCTAAGCTATAAATCTTAGAGAAATAGAAGGTAATTAAGGGTAATGCTTACAAGTTTGATAATACAACGTGTGGGTGTTTCCTCAGCTTAGAGGGTCTGTTGCTGTTCCTGGGAGACAGGTGCTCTAGAATTCGGCAAGAATTTCATATATTGAGCCATTGCTCACAAAGATTAAGACAGATAGCTGAGGTTTGGAGACTCCCACAAGCTTCAGCCTTTTTATTGTTTCAGACAACTTACAATACCTTCATGCAAAATAGCAATAAAAGTGTTTAATCTTTTCCAGGTTCTCAGACAAGAAAGAAAGGCTGATGCATCTTAAAACCAAACAGAGAGAATTCCAAAAACAGTAAGTCGTAGTCATTAAATGAATATAAATTCTGATTCTTAAAAAAAAAATCTCTCTGACACGCTGTTGCTGGAGACAGATGTAGTCGAGATAAGTCAAATAACTTTCATTCATGTTTTTCCTCTAGTGTTTTGAAGGCCATGGAAGGCAAAGAGATAACTGATCAGCTGGTGAGTTATTCAAAGCATCCCATCATTTTTGAACTCTGAATCGCTAGATCGTATTGTTTAAAGTTATATTTTTATATTTTACCTTGAGGGCATGGCATTGATTTCCTAAAAAGCCTGTTGTAAGCAAAGGCAAAAGGGGCTCTGCAAGCTGAGCACTCCAAACCCTCAATATTTTTAATTTCCTACTAGATATTTGTTCAATAACTTATTGTACCAATTGACTTTATACGAAATATTCTGTTTCTTTGTGGCATTCTTCTGTGCACAAAACGGTATAAGAAATATTTATTTATTGGTCTGATTCAGTTCAGAACATCCTGCTCCTCTTGCACGAAAGCTGCTGGCTTTGTTGTTAATCATTAGTCAGTGTGTTGGAAATGGTTTGTGCCCGACGCTTGCCGAATGTTCTTTTGCAGAGATGGAAAATAATGTCTTGCAAGATGAGGATCGAGCAGCTGAAACAGACCATTTGCAAAGAAAATGATGAAATGACAAGACGTGAGTAATGCCTGTGCCTTTGTAACATGTCAAACTGTGCCTTAAAGAGGGAAAAGTCAATCGCAGTAGATGTGTTAGTTTTTGAAAATAGTGAATTTCCGAGGCAAATCACTGAGTGGACTTTACCCCTTTTACTGCTTGCGTTTTAATTAGAAAACAGTAGACATTATTCAGCCGGATGGAGATAATTTTGCAACAGCTTCAAAAGTAAATGCTTAGCAGCCTATGAATTTGGCTTTGTCCCTGGAGATGGCTTGATTCAGTGTAGCGTCTCTGATCGCTTCCCCTTGATAAAAAGGAGCAAACAGCTCTGCAGCTGCTATGGATTTCATCTAAGTGCTGAATTTTAACCCACACCTGTCTAGAAATCCTAAAAATCCTGTTGGAGCAAGACCACCACTGAAATACGCCATAGGCTGCTGAGTTGCTAACGTTCAGCAGCTTCGGTTTTGAAACTCATTAAATATTTTACACGCAGGAGATGTGTAGAGTCATTTTCCAGAAAAGAATAAGCAGCACTCCTCACAACCTACGTGTAAAGGAGAGATAGGAAGCATGTGCAGGATTGTATTGACTGAATTTGAAGCATTTTAATGACTTGAGACTCAAGAGGAACCATACACAAAGTGGAAGCACAGGCGTGTAACTGAGAATAGTTATAAAGGAGTAGCACAGGCTTGCAGTGATAACATCAAAAACGCTGAGGTGCAAAATGATTTTCATTTAGTAGCGAGGATGGATAGCACAGTATGAAATGTATAATAAAAAAAAAAGATGAAGGAGAAGGCAAGCAGGCTAGTTAAGAGGAAAGAGGGTGAGTAACTGCAGAGAAGTCTAAAATATTCAGTGCCTTCTTTGCTTCATCTTCTGACAAAGAAAATGCGATCAGGTGTTTAGCCAGATTAAATTTGAGATTGAGAGAGGACTTCAGGCCAAGGAAAGAAAGCAGCCAGTTAAATATTATTTTGATTGTGTCTGTAGGGCCTTATCAGATTCACCCCAGGGAGCTTAAGGAGCCAGCAGCGGAGCACCTGAGAACACATGAGGGAGAGAGGATGTCTCAGGGAACGGAGTGGAAGCAGCAGCTGTTTGCAGGAGTCTTACACCGATGACACAGCTTCTGAGCACCTTGTAGGTACCTGAGGTACCTAGAAGATAATTAAAAACAGTCAGCACTTTTTGTTAAGAGTAGGTCACGTCAGATCAACCCTTCTCTGTGGGTCTAGTGGAGGGAGAGGCAGAAGGTGCAAGATACCTTGCCTTTGGGCTCTATCTACCCCAAGATGTCTCACGAGCAGGCAAATAAATCAGTTCTGGGTGTAATCACTGCAAGGATGCCACAGAATGCTAGCAGGGCTACATTCAGAGAGCAGTGATACTTGTCCAACAGAGGAGGTGAGGCAGGTGGAGCCCAGTTCTGTTTGCTATTTTCCATAATAGCTCGCATGGTAGAACAGAAAGTGGAGTGGAGGAACCGAAGGTGGGTGACGATACGAGCTCAGAACAGGATCAAATTCAAAACCATGCAGGTAAATTGACTGCATCGTCTGAAATGAACAAAGTTCAGTGCACGTTGTTTAGGAAAGAGAACCACATAAACCTCTGGTGGGGAATGCTGGCAAGATTTGACAGGATGGGACCTGGGGAATTGCAAATTAAATACCAAATAACAAGCTAGTGCTGCTCCAGAAAGGTTCAGACCTCAGTCAGGGTTATGCTAACACGGGCGTTGTATTTTAGAAGGAAGCGATTATCCTGCTGTGCTCAGCAGTGGCGTTGCCTCAGTGGGAGTCTGGAGCCCATTTTGAGCAATTTAAGTAAGATACAAATCAACTGGAGAAAGTCCAGAAGGGAACATTAGGAATAAAACGCAAGGAGTGGCCAAGAAAATTGCAGTTGGGCTTAGTTTAAAAAAAAAAATAAGAAGAAGAAGAGCATTTTTTCAGTAGATAGAAGATTATTATGAAGGGAATAATAACTAATTGTTCTCTTTAGCCTGTAGAGAAAGGAGAAGAGGAAGTCAACGTGACTTTGCATGAGGAATTTAACCACCTTTTCTCAAAGTGCAGCTCTGAAGGTGGCAAAACGTTAGAACCAGCTGGGGCGTGGAGCTCCTCCACTTTTCTATTATTCTGTTAAATGAATTAATTCTTAAATAGTTCTAATCTGCAGCTTTACTACGTAGCCAGTACATCAGGAGCTCAGCCTGGCTCACTCTTAGGGAGGAGACCACGTTACAAAACGCAAATGGCTTCTTTCTCTTCTCTTGGATGTGGCGTAGGTGGGTTTACTGAAATAGGAAACATTTCTGGATTGTTGGGCTCCTGCTCTTTCAGCTGGCTCTCCTGGGTACTTCAAGAATTGGTGTTTCTTAAAATAAGGTTTTAAATGTGTGTGTTTTGCCTTCTGCCTGCAGAGAGCAATTGGAGGAGGTGATCTTGTGAATGCCCGGCGTGGCTCGCTGCTGGGCAGGCAATGGGAATGTGTGGGGCTTGACGGTGTCCTGAAATACTTCTGGGGACAAATTTTAATTGCCTCGTAAACTGGGTCATAAAGCAGAATTGCTGCGCTGAAAAAAAGGACAGTTGTTTCTGCAGCAGGGCTGCTGAAGAGGAAACGTGCTCGCAGTGTTCTCAGATAATTGCTGTTGGCCCTGCAGATAAGGGAGCTCGCTCGGCGCAGAAAGTAGCCTTGCAAGTAGAACATGAATGAAAATGGAACAAATTAATGTTTTATTCCTCCTTTGTTCCGTATTCTCTGGGCAAAGGGAGGGTTTGGGAATACGAGTGCAGGCATTAATTGATTTGCTGTTGATACTACAGGAGTGCTTAAAAGAAACTGGCATGTAGAAATTGTTGGTACTGTTGAGAGAAAAATTCTCCTACAGTTCCTCCTACAGGACCTTATTTTATGGACCTGAGGATTATTAGTTCCTGCCTGCCCGGGGAAGCCAGCCTCACCAGCTTTGATTTGGGTCTTTCCATCTCCCACGGATGAGATCATCCTTCCTACCAAACACTGATCAGATAAATGAGTAGAAATAACTTCTACTAAGTTATTTCTAATGACTTATTAATGATAATAAGCTATTATAATAATAGAATGGCTATTTTAATATATAATTTCAATATCTAATAGCTATTTCAGCAGTCCTGAGCTTGCAGTTCCAACTGCACAGGTGACAACCAGGAGGAGCAGGGATGTCCTGTGCTGACCGAGCGTGGCTGGGCACGTACCAGGGGATGGGAACCAGTCATGGATCCCATTTTTTTTTATGTAACTTCAATTTTTGTGCATCCCCTCCGGGAAAGCTGATGTTTTAATGGTCTGTAACGTGGCTTCGTGGAGTAGCAGATGCCACGGAACATTGCTATTGTAGCTCTGGTCTCATCTGCGCCTCGCAATCCAAATCCATCAGACAAATGCTGTCAGGCTTACTGCCTGCCTTCTGTGCAAGGGGCAGTTAGCCCATTTCTTGATTACAGGAAAGCGAGGAGGCTGCTGTGCTCTAGGAGAGCATGACTAATGCTGCTTCTCCTCAGCCATAAAAGCTGAAACGGAGCGACGAGTATATGGGGGCTCTTATTCAAACTAGGGTACATTACAATTTTTAAATGTGCATTCGGAGACATTTTCCCGTGCTTTTGAAAGACCGAGGCAGTTAACTCGCCCTCTGCAGCACCATATGTTTCCAGGAGTGTTCCTGCAGTGAATTATTTTATAGGAGAATCAGCAGATGCTCTTGAAGAATTTTTCTTCCGACTCTTAGCGTGCCTGATGCACGGGGGAAATTCAGGCAGCTGCAGCTTTTCAGAAGCGTAACCACATTGGCCATTTTGTGACTGGAAAGGGAGTTTTCCCTCGTGAAACCAGTGCCACTGGGATCCAAGTGCTTCAAGAGGACGTACGTTAGCAAAAGCCCGAATAACACAAGCTAATAGAAGCAGTGGTGCCAGAAATTGTGAATGGAGATGCTATCTGCACTAGATTTTGGCTGCAAGCAATGCGTGCCTTTTTGGCCAGCGTCGTGCGAGCGTGTACAGTCAAGCTATTTCTGTCATGGTGATTACCCCAGAAGTTTAATTAAACTGTGAAATCTTGGCTTTTCTGCTCCAGATCCAAAAATAGCTGGGTGAAAGATAGGGAAAGATTAATTCCGATTTCAGTCCCTTTTGCGATGTTCAGAAAAGATTAAGAAGTTGTACCACTTAGCAGCTGGAAAGCGTCAGTGGTGAGGCAAGGTTTTCTGTTTTAAGCTGCTGTAGATCTTGTTTTCTATAAATATTAATCAAGCCTTTCTCAGGCTCGCTACAAGTACCTCACAGCTCGTTTTCTGAGGCTAACATCTGCTGCTGCCTTCACAGATGCAGAGGGGCTTCTGCGAATCAAAGAGGAGAACCAGAAGCATTATCGCAGGGCTCAGCGGCATCAGGAGAAGAAGGAGAAGATCCAGAGGCACAACCGCAGGCTGGGAGACTTGGTGGAGAAAAAAACCTACGACTTGAAAACCCAGCACGAGCATCTGGCAAACCTTCGGCGGACGCATATCCTGGAGCTAACATCAGTCATATTTCCCATCGAAGAAGTAAAGACAAGCATGAGGTAGGGGAAGGCTTATCCTTTTGGACTCGTTTTTCCAAGCTTTAGACACTCAGAGGTGAGTCATGTAAGTCTAAGCTAGACACTCTGGCTCCCTTGGCATCTGTGGGGAGAAGGAGGTGGTTTCCAAAGGCAAAGCATCTGACCTAGAGGTAGAAGTCCAGAGCAGAGGAATGTGGGGATGCTAGCATCTCCCCACTGGGAGATCTGAGATATGTGTCCACTGTTAACCTTAAAAAACATCATTAAAAATCCCAGAACAAAGTAGTTTGGGGAACAAGGAGTTTAGCAGGAGTGTTTCTACAAGCATTTTGCTCTGTGAAATCTGATTAAGTGCCTGCCAAGTACAGTTGGTGATTGTATTTTTGAACTTCTTTTAAAAACTCTCTGTTCTTCTCTGGCTGCTCCAGAGATCCTGCAGATGTGTCTTCTGAGAGCGACAATGCCATGACCTCTAGCACTGTGAGCAAGCTTGCAGAAGCCAGGAGAACCACTTATCTCTCCGGGAGATGGGTGTGTGATGACCACAACGGGGACACCAGCATCAGTATCACAGGGCCTTGGATAACCCTTCCGAATAACGGAGACTACTCAGCTTATTACAACTGGGTGGAAGAGAAGAAGACTACACAAGGACCAGGTAAGGAGCCAGGTCAGAATTAAAGGAACACCACTACAGAGATCAGTCCACTGAAAGCCTCTTCTGCAGGAAATGCTCGTTGGGACCCAGTGCATGGTAAAAGAGAGATAAAGTTAATTATTCACAGTTTTGACATGGTTCACATGCTGTCGATTTAACAGGAATTCCAAGAATTACTATTTTCTACCGGCTTCTGACAGATTTCACTGTAAATGATTGCTGGATTCAAGCAGTTCTCGGTACTGACAAATGACATTTTCCAGAGTAGACTTCAGGAACACATTAACACACCCACTGAGGCTTCATTTATAATGCGACTTTCACGATGTTTTTATTTCTTTCAGATATGGAGCATAACAACCCTGCTTACACCATCAGCGCTGCATTGTGCTATGCAACCCAGCTTGTGAACACTTTGTCTCTCATACTTGATGTAAATCTTCCCAAGAAGCTCTGCAACAGGCAAGTAAACGCAAGGCTCTGAGAAGGTGGATCAGTGACCACTTCTGAATGATCTTAGCTCAGTTTGGTTTTCTGAACAAAGTCATTATTTGGAACAGCTTTTATGATAATAGTTGATGGCTCTCCCCTTTTTTTTTTTGATGCAATTTAATTTCACAGGGAGGTCTAGAATCTAGACCACAGTTAATCCTCCCTCCCATCCTCTCTTTCTATGTCCTGAGAGCACAGCCCAGCCATCATAGTTCAGAATGACAACTTGCTAAGCAATTTATTCAGCGTCCTCACACTGGAGTGAAATACGACAGTGCATGAATAGCACTTTTCATTTTATGAGACCCTACTGTGCTTTACAAACTCAGCAGCTCTGAGTCATCCTGAATAGCTCCACTGCATTAAGAGATGTAGAATGAGGCCTTATAATACGGCATGACAGCAGGGTAATTTTCTCTGGGCTAAAAACACTGATGGGGAATGTAGCTGGCTGCCAGACGTTTGGGAGCATGCGCTTGTATAAACCCCAGTTGTGATGTGCAGAAGTAATTCTGGGAAAGCTGTGGGTTTGGTTCAGCTTCCAGGGGTCTCAGCTATGCTGCTGAGATTCTTTTAAGTGTTTAAAATAGCAAAGGCCAAAGGGAGGGCACAAACGTGTAGGGCCTCTGCAGTTTTTTATGCTATTATTTGGTTGCTCGGTCATCGCAGGAAGAAAAGGTTGGGAACAGGAAATGAGGCAGGATTTTAAAGGAGAACCAAAATGGCTTGGTCACAGTGGATCTTTGAGTTTGTGTATGGTTCACACCACCTGTCCTCTTGGAACCAGTGAGACTCGGGCAAGCTGTGCTTGTTGATAAAATTCTAAAGGTCTCACAAGGTGAAAAAGCAATCTCCTGAGTACTCTGTAGCTGGTTGTACAGCTTCAACAAGTGCTTACTGTGAGGATATTTACTCCAGGGTTTGTTAGGAAGCCAGGGTACAGAATGCTGATGCCCCAGTACGTGTATTGTCACAGCCTTTTGCTTTGTGCACACATGTGTTTGTGGTCTTCCAACAGCGAGTTCTGCGGCGAGAATCTCAGCAAACACAGGTTCACGCGAGCAGTGAAGAAGCTGAATGCCAACATCCTTCACCTTTGCTTCTCTCAGGTAGGGGGAATGAACGTATGGATTCTTCAAACAGCTTGTAAAATAACAACTGTGCCTGCAGGTTTCCTCCAGTAACTGATCATGGCTTTTTTTTTCTCCATGGTAGCACGTAAATTTAGATCTGTTGCACCCACTGCATACGCTCAGGAACCTTATGTACCTGGTGAGCCCAGACACTGAGAACTTGGGCAGGTAAGAAAAGCAGTTTGTGAACACACCTGTAACTGAATCCCTTGTGGAGTTGCGTTTGTGTTGTTATTCATGGGGGAAATACATTTTTTCTGCTTTTATTCTGCTCTATCTATGGTTGAGTCCTCAGCACGTCAGGCTGGTTATAAGGAGGAGGCAGGAAAAGGCAGAAAAAGGGGAGTCTGAGAAGGAAATTATATTTCAGAGACATCTGTATGCTGTGGTTGTGCATGTAGCAGGCTCAGCTGGTGGCGTTATGATTGTGTGGGCTTGTTTCTGAACTGCAGGAACTCCTTCCCTCCAGAGGACAGCAGCACACGTCCCAGGCTTTCCCAAAATATTTTCAGTCAATGAGCACCCTAGGCCAAAGTTCACACTCAAATTATACTAATTTCTGTGTACATTAAGATTAAAGACAACTTTCCTGTTAACTTAGCATGTGATGAACATCAGTTTCTGTAGGCTGCACATGCCGGGCTCAATATTCTCCCTTTCTTTTTACAACTTAAGTGTAAGAAAGTCAACATTGATTTCCTCTTGGGGTAATCCAGTCACTTGTGCCCGAGACACTCTGCAAATATTTGTTTATTCCACTGCTTTATTCCCCCTCAAACACACAAGTGTTCCGACATCTACTTTTCCACTTTGTTCTGGTGTACAGGACTGGTTTTATTTAAAAACCTCACTAAGAGGAGCTGAATTCATGCCTCTACAAACTTACCTTGTGTTCAAGTCCATCCCTACTTAGTCAGCCCAAAGCTGTGGGGAGCCAACTTAGCTCAGGTTGGAAAAAATGATGTGCTTGCTGCTGCTTGTCTGGAAACAAGGAGAGGGCAGGAAACACCCAGAGAGTGAAGAGTCCTGGAAAGCAGCTGCTGTAAAGGAGAGAAGTGCCACAGTGGACAGAAACCTAAACCTGATGGCTCCTTAGGGTTTTATTTTCCTTCAGACTTCTGGACCTAGAATTGCCTGATAGCCTCCTTTATAAACTACTATTTTCGCATACATATAATTTTATCAAGCTTTAATTGTTTGGATTAACATTTTCCATGCTAAATTGCTGCCTCAGGCTTCTAGATAAGGTTGGAGAACCACAGTGGAGAAACCCCGTTACCCACATCAAATTCCTGCTCCTGTTACACTGAGAATCTGTACGAGCTTTGTGCTCTGGGCTGAAATTTGTTTGACAGGGACCTGCTGGCTCTGAGGAATCAGCTTTTCACTGCCTCCGTGAACCCCTCTGGCTGCCCACAGACTTCTGAAACTGTCTGGAGATGCTCAGTAAAGATATTTTGGATTTGGTCTCCCTGTTCCCTGGCGCAATGCTGAGCGCCTGGGCAGGATGCAGTTGCCTCTCCAACCAGGCAGTGGCAGCAGGGAACTCGGAGTCAGTGAGGAGGAGATGAGTTTGGGCAGGAGATCTGGAGATCTGGAGACCCCTGAAAAAAAAAAAAATCTCGAGATCTTGCTGGGGGCAGCGTGTTAGCGAGCTGTGCCGGCTGCGGGCTGCAACCCACACCCTGCCCTGGCTGGCAGAGCTGGCGTGAAAAATAAAAGCTGTTCCGCATCGAGCCGAGATTCCCACCAGTGGAGCTGTGAGTTATTACCCACAGCTTTTCTTCTGCGTGTGTGCTTCACCATTCTGCCAAGGTGAAGGAGCTCTCCCGTTGTCCCTGCTCCGTGGACTGGAACCCAGCTGTAAGTCCCTCGTCGAGCTGCTGTCCTTTTATCGTGGTCATAGCGTAGTTATCTCCGTAGCCACCGAGTTTCTCTTAGCCAGCTGATAAAGACAGAGGTGTTTTAATTCTCCTGCATGGTACCCACAGGGCTGATATCATTCTGTCCCTGTTCACAGGTCTGGGCCTTTCGAAATCAGCGCTGATCTCGAAGACTCCATGGAGTTCGTGGACCCCAGCGCCGCCGGCGAGACCGATGAGAGCGGGGACGAGCACGTCAGCGACGAAGAGACGGACCTGGGGACAGACTGGGAGAACCTGCCGAGCCCCAGGTTCTGCGATATCCCCTCGCAGCAGGTGGAGATGCTGCAGAGCCAGAGCACGCAGGCGTCTCAGCCCATCGCCAGCAGCAGCGCTGGGGGCATGATCTCCTCCGCTGCTGCCTCGGTGACCTCGTGGTTCAAGGCGTACACTGGACACCGCTAGCGAGGATCCTGGGATCACAGGATGTGAGGAAGGAAATCCCTCCCCAACAATGCTGTAGTAAACCTTACGTATTCAGTTAAGTAGTGCCTGGAACAAAGAAAAGGTCGGACTTCACGTTTTGTAAACCCCAAGAACCTTTTTCTTTACCCGATGACCGTGGTGTCCCCCTTTTTGTAAATTGGCTCCGCTCCATCCTCCCGACGGGTTCTGTCAGGGCACTCGGTGGCTCGGTTCTGTCTGCATTGTTGAGTGGCGAAGAAGAAGGACCCAGCAGGCTCCAGCTCTGCTTCCTAGAGAAGAAACAGATTTTGGAGCGTGTGGATCTAAACGAGCACAGAGGGAAGGCTGCTCGGTGTTCAGGCTGGACAGTGGTGCAGATGCAGCTCACGTTTTCTTAACTCCTTACAGGGTTTATGTTTGCGTGTTTTAAATCTGTCTTGCATAGCGCAGAAATGCATATTTCTAAATTTTTTTCCTTCAGGACATGGAAATTATGCATTTTTAACATGTTTTCTAATCTCCGTTGCCATATTTTTAATACGAAGAATCAGCATGGGCAGGAAGTCACACAACAAATTGCTCTTTTACTTTAGGTTTGGTTGTGGATCTTGGCCCAGTTTCGCCATGGCAAGCTGGCTGGTTTCATGCTGGTTCCACCGGTAGGTAGTCGGAAAGTTTCGTGTCGTGCTGCCCGAAGCACACAGGCTCTTTACTCCTAGTATCATACACCAAAGAAACACTGGACATTCTCTTAGCTAGACCCACATTGACGCCGAGACAGGATTGCAATAATACCCATCAGCTACACCACGTTGCCACTTTTGAATCGTAGAAAAACCTCATTTCAGGCTACTTTGACGAAGTCCCGCGTTCTCCACACTACGTGCGTTGTGAACCCTGTCGCGTTTGACGTTTCTGGTGGGGTTTGCTCTTCCCTTGGTTCCTGAATGCCAAGAAGTTGATTTCATTTCGCTGCAGAAGCGCTCCGGGCGCGGCTGGCCTGCTTGCAAAGCCACGGGAGGCGTGATGCTGACCAGAGCTCCTCGCTCCCTCTGCCCCGCGGTACGTACGGCTTCAAGGTGGCTTCTGCTCAGCGAGGCTTCCCATTTACGGTTTACATTTTACAGAGCTGGGACGTTTTGACTTCTCCGCGGGGCAGACTCGTGTAGAAGCATCCTCCCACCCCTCCGAGATGGAAGATTTCAGCCTGGCGTGCTGGCACATCCGAGGCAGCGTCCTCCTGCCTGGTGGAAACCCCAGCTGCAGGCTGCCTTACCCGGCCCTCCCGTTCTCTGTCGAGCATGTGGAGTTTTTTTGGGACATTTTGGGACGGTTTTAGGATGCTGTGGGTCCTCCCCAGGCCAGCCAGCGCTGCCACCTGGCTCCACCGAGTGGGTGGAAGAGCAGCACTAGTGCTAACGCCCCGGTGAGCTCTGCACCAGGGGACACCAGCTGAGTCCTGTGCCTCCCAGCCCTTTCTCTTTGGCAGCAGGGATCCATTGTTGGTAGTTTTTTTTTGCTGGCGGTGGCTGTTTCTTGGGTTTTTTAAACCAAAGACCCTCAACTCCGCACCCACAGCGTGCGTGTGGCAAGGCGGGGGCCCCCTCGGTGCTGCCAGTTGGTTGTTCTGAGCCCAAGGTAGGTTCGTGTTGGGAAACAGATGAGAAATCAGCCAAAATGCTGTTGGCTACCGTGGTCTGAGCAGGGACAGGGACAGGGACAGGGAGAGGAGGCTTCGGTCACTGCTCAGCTGCCAGCACTTTAGGAACCCGTCGCAGCTCTGAGCAGCCAGCACGTAGCAGTACTGCGGGGGGGGGCTCTCAGCATTGCACAGCCCGTTTTGGATCCTCATTTATTTTGCACTGGACCCCACCATATCGATATCTTCCCCCCTTTTTTTTTTCTTTTCCCTTTTTTAAGACACATTTCAGTCGCTTTTTCATCGCTACCTTTGCCCTGCGTAGAACCCTAAAGGCCAGGCCGCGATTCAGCTTTGTGTGCTGTCCTTGACTTATTTAGGGGAAAACACAAACACCACCCCCAGAACCTTTGAAGCCATATCCTTCCTACCCATCATGTTCTCCAAATAATTTATTTACAACCATGTCATGCTCTGGAGGTGCACAACGGCACTGTGAGGGCGTTCGAATGCATCGAGAGAGCTCCTTGCGAGAGAGGGTTTTTAACAGAACAGATTGTGGGCTTTGTTGTTTGTTTTTTGTTTTTTTTTTTTTTAAAGTGTTTTGCACATGTGTAGCTAAGGAAGAATTAATTGTGTGTGTCCAAACCTTGAGTGCAATCGACAGGATTAGTTTTCCAGCTTGTTTGGGGGGGGCGAGGGAGGGAGGGAGGGAGGGAGGCAAGTATCTGTAATTAGAGATAGTTGGAGACGGCCAGCTGAGAGTTTACAAAACAATTTGCGTAGCACGAGTGCAGGGATCTCATCCCAGGCCGTGAGCAGCGACCCGGCGTGGCCCACGCGAGCTGCCAAGGAAGAGACAGTTTTGGGATCCCAGCCCTCAGCCGAAATCGGGCACCTTTGGTGGGTTTGGGACGGGAGGTGCGGGGCTGGCAGAACTCGGGGCCTCTCTCTGCGACTTCCAAACTCGATGTAACTAAACACGATTTTTTTTTTTCTAAATTTTATTGTATTATTGCAATAAATCTTTAACAGGAATTTTTTTTTTTAAAGTTGTCTGTTTGTAATTGTTACTCCTGCGTGGTTTGTTCTTAGACATGCTGGGGAAATACACAACAACCTTCCAGCCTTCAAAGCCTCCCGGGCACCAGACCTGTTACAGGGCGATTGTAAAGCATGAAAATATTTGATATGAATTAAAAAATAATAATCTTATTTAAATAACTGCATCTCTAGGGGGCAGGCAGAGAAGTCCTGCAGAGCACACACCTCTGTACATGAGAACTGAGACGTTGCCACCTCCAGGGCTGGGTGCCAATTTTTTGTACGTTGCCAAATGCAGATGGGGGTCAATTTGATATTTCATTTACTTGTTATTTTGGTTGTTTGTTATTTTAGTTACTTGTTATTTCAGTCATTAGGTTATTGGTGCACACGTTTTGGGGCCAGTGACCCTACGGGGAGGACGGATCCCTGGGAGCCCACAAATCACTCAACTGAGCGGCGATGGGGAGCTGCGGGGTGCCGAAGAGCCCAGCTCCAGGGAGCAGAAACACAGCAAGGAAAGGGGAAACGCTGCAGAAGGAGGCAGGATGGAGCGAGAAACCAGCCACAAACCTCAGCCAGGGGCACTTTTGCTGGTGCTCGGAGCCCCCAGGAGCTTGACGACCACTTGGGAACGACAGAGGCGTGTTTTAGGGATGTTTCTTCACAGGCAGAGCTGGAAACGAGCCCCAGCTCCAAGCACTGCGGGCAGGGAAGTCAAATCTACTGAGTGAGTCCTCCAAAGCCAACGCTGAACATTTTTTAGTATCACCTTTTTGGGTGATTTTTTTTTTTTTTTTTGGAAGTGCTCATCCCACATCAGTGGATGAAGTGTCCTCTGCCTTGAGCTTTGAAGGACTAAAAGCTCCCCGTGCCACCGTTTTATTCTCTGGTTTCCCTTCTGGCAGCCGTGGTCAGCGAAGGTGACCAGAATCTCACACCCCGGGCCAAAAAAAGAAAAAAAAAATGACCTCACTCGCCCCTTATCTAGTTACAAAATATTTTCCTCGGCTGCTTCTATTGCAGCCCGCCGGGGACGTTCCTCAGCGCCGCGCGGGTTGGCTCAAGTTTTCCAGAGTCTTGGGTGGGGGGCAGGAAAGCTGCCTCTTCCCCTTCTTCCTTCATCGAAACGAAGCTGAAGGGCTTTGAGTCCTGCTGGTTTGGGCAATCCGGCTCCTTCCAGGAGGTTTTGTTTTGTTTTGCTTTGTTTTTTCTGCTCGTCCTGGTGCAGCCTGCGAGGAAGCGAAGGCGAGCAGGGGGATCTCACTGTTCCCCTCCCGGCTGATGGCGAGGCGGCCGCGCCCTCCTTCCAGCTTTCTAATTTCGTTCCTCCTGCTTGTCATCATGCCTGCTGCATTGCGGGCAGGGCTGAGCAGCGTCGGGGAGGGAGCTGGGCACTGGGTACAGCAGGGAGGGCAGGGGAAGGAGCAGCCCCAGGAACCTGCCCCAAATGCGCTGTGCTCACCCCAACACCTTTCAGGCAGCAGGGGCTGGGTTTTCTTCCCCGTACCCTGCTAACAGCAAGAATTAAAGCACTTTCCTTGAGAAACAGCACAACTCCAGGCCCTTAAAACGAGCTGATTCATGCTGCCAGCACAGGTGAAGCGGGGACACGGGCACAAATCCCAGCCTCCGCAGCCAGCTCTCCTCTCCCGTTGCTCCGCGTGGGCTCGCACCCGAGGTCAGGGAACTGCAGGCTGGGGCAGGAGGTGCTCCAGGCGTGGTGAGTGCTTCCACGAGTCCATCCTTGCTCGGACAGGGCAGAGAAATGGTGAGGGCACTGCCTGCAGGGAGAGGAAGGACTCGAGGCGAAGGCACCAGCCTCATCATTCAGCTTCCATCAGTCACCGTTCGGCAGCACTTCTGCCCCAAACCTTCCCCTGTCCCTGCTGAAAGTGCTGGTGCTGGCACCAAAAGCCAGGACAAATTGCTGCAAGGATTCCTTGCACAAAGAAAAAAGTCAGAGGGCAGCCAACTTCCAGCAAGCCCCAGGAATTCACCTTCATTCCTCCTGCCCCAGGCTCCATCCTCAAGCCGAGGATGCTGCCGCATCAGGTGGGTGAGAAATGGGACTGCAGAGGGAGAAAGCAACAGGAGGGAGAGGAAAAAGCTGGAAGCTGAAGGTTACAGCAGGGAGATCTCAACGTAAAGCAGCTGCTCGGTGGTACAGGAGGGGGATTTTGCTCCACTGGAAGCCCACAGCACCAGGCGGCTGCCTCGTGCCTTAAAATTTTTATTTTAGGGTAGAAGTTGCACAAGACAAAGGCAGGTAAGGCAGATCTGGAATGCACGTTTTATTTAAGTAAAAAAAAAAAAAAAATCAAAAAAAAAAAGAAAACCAAAAAAAAACAGACAACATGGGTAAGGTAGGCAAGAACTTTTTATATTCTGACTATACAATAATATTCATCTCTTTTTATTCACTGCCAAGGCTACTATAAGGGATCTGCTCTAGGCTAATTCGTAAGGTCGTCCAGTTAAATTGTTTGAAGGGTCTTTAAACAAGGTGGCCTTTACCTATTTAGAGTTTCCTCTTGGGAACATTCATATATTATACAGGATATACAGATTTCGAAAGGAGACACTTAAAAACACACACAACTATAGCCGCAACACGATGGGAGCTGCATTGTAGTGAGGACGTTGTTCAGCCAGCTGGAGACTCGGTATGTACAATTAGGGTTTTTTTTTTTTATAGCGTTATTTACAGGGATGGACTAAAAGCTCTCTCTCACCTAACAGGTAAAGGCTCTTGTGTTTAAGGATGTGCAGTTTCATAGCCCTGTGAAAAAAAAAAAACAAAAAAAACAAAAAAAGAAAACATGATAATTATGTACACTGTAAACAGCACAAGGCATGAGAATCTCCTCCTCCCCCAAACAATCTCACAGGAAAAGTGTTTGTGCACTAATATTCCTCTTCCCCTTCGCCCCCGGCCCCTCTGCTCTTCTTGTGGAGAGCCCGGTTAAAGCTGTGGCAGGCGGGAACCCAGTGATTGTCGTGCAGCCCCAGCTTACAGCCCGGGATGCCCTTCTGAGACCTGTGGCAGCACATCCAGTAGCCGGGGCCGTAAGGCAAAGCCTGACAGTAGGGTTTGGGGTGCCAGCGGCACAGGGACACGTCCCCTTTGACGTATTTCTTCTTGCACTGCTTGCAGGGGTCCTCCCTGTAGCGGGGGTCGCGGACCCAGCGCGAGTCGGCCGGCCGAATGTTGTAGTACTCGATGAGGAACTTGAAGTAGTAGCAGGTGCATTTCAGGGCCACCAGGCTGCGGGTGGGCAGCAAGCCGAAGATCTTGACGATGATGTGGTGGGGCAGGAAGGCCATGTACTGCTGGGGCTCCAGGAGCTGCTGGATCTTAAAGCGGGTCTCCAAAAAGTCATGCGAGACCTGCCTCTTCAGGCAGGAGGCCTCGAGTGCTTGCAAAGCGCCCTCAGGTTGGGGAGCGGAGAGGGCAGGCGGCTCCGGGGAGAGGTGGGTTTTGATGTATGCTCGGTCAGACCCTAAAGCATCCTCGTCCTCGTTTCGGGATGCTTCTCCTGCCTTTTCTCGGGGGCTTTCCCGCAGCGGCTGCTGCTCGTGCGGGGCAGGCTGGCTGGGCTGGAGGAAGAACAACCTCCCTGGGAGCTGATCTTCAGCAGAGCGAGAGAGCTTCTCCTTCCTGCAGCCCTTCTCGGTCTTGGTGACCGAGATGCTGATGCACAAGGGCTCCTTCCTGGCAGGCCGCGGGCTCTGCTTCGGGACAATCCCGGCCTCCTTCGATGCACACTCACTGCTCTTGCTCTGCGAGGCATCCTCGGGCACCCTGGTGGTGGCCGGCAGGGGTTGGGGAAGCTCCCCCCGCCTGTCGGCATCGCTCCTGCTCGCCGTCAAAGCCAACACCGCCTGAGCAAGTCCCGAGCCCGCGCTCCCCACACGAGCCTCCAGCGCGGCAGGGAACGGCTCCGCGGCCTCACACCCGGCCTCGGCCACCCCAGCACCTCCCAGCCCCTCGCCCTGCCCGAGGACAGAAGAAGAGGAGGAGGAGGAGGAGGAGGCGGCTCTGCCTGCCTCGCCACCGGGCTGCGTGCCGCTGGCCAGGAGCACCCTCCCCACGTTCCTGCGGAAGCTGTTGTTGCGGGACAGCCCGCCGGCCTCCCGCTCGCTCTGTCTCCTCAGGCACTCCGACTCCAGCCTGGCCACCATGTCCAGCACACGCACCGGCTCTCCCTGCTGCTGCTGCTCACCACAAACCCCCCTCTCGTGCACCTCGCACCCCCCGGCGGAGGGGAAAGCGTCCGAGCCGGGCAGCGCTCCCTTGGGCCTCACAGAGGGTGCCGGGGCGCAGGTTTTCGCGCAGTCCACCAGCAGAGCACTGGCTCGTTGCTCCAGGAAGGCGACCATCTCGATGACCGACAGCGAGCGGCCCGGGAAGGCTCCCTCAGCACCGTCGTTGTGCACGGAGCAGTGCTCGATGCCGCAGGCGAAGGGCTCCGGCGGAGCGCACCGGGCGCCGGCCTCCCGCACGCGCTCCAGCTGGATCTTGGCTTTTTTCAGATCCAAGGATTTTTTCCGGCGTTTGGCCGTCCTCCCGTCGATGTCCCAGGTGCTCTTGATCTTCATGGAGCCCAGGCGGTTGCTGCCGCTGCACTGCTGGGCGGCGAAGAAGGCGATCTTCTCCTTGGTGTTGCCGGGCTTCACCACGGCCCAGACGTCCAGAGGCCCTTCCCCTTCTTCCCCCTGGTGGATGGTGGCGTTTTTCTTCTCCCTGGCGCTCGGGCCGTCCGCCGGACACTTCCCGCTCATATTGCACATGTTATTGGGATACAAAACCCCCAGGAGCTTTCTCGAGGGAGCCAGGAGGGAGGGTTTGGGGAAGGTGCGGTCGTTGCTGTATTTTTCTTCGGGTGCTGCTCTCTGGCGGCTCCCAGGTGGGCCTCGCAGGGAATCCTGGCTTATTTCTGGAGATCGCTCTTTCTTCTGTAACTTGAGATATGGCTTTAAGTGCATACCAGAAACCCTAGAAAGAAAAAAAAAAAAGAAAAGAACAGAAAGGGAAGAAATTATAGTTGCAAAATACGCCTGCCTGGAATTAGAGGAGAAGGCCCCGAGTAGGCACCAGCATGTCTCCAGCCCTACATCAAGCAGCCCACACCTCAAAAGAAACCACATGAAACAGGAGCAGCAGCAGCCGGGCTGCGATGCTCACCCTCGGAGAGCTTCCACTCACGGGGATTAAAATCTGAAGGGTGGCAGAGATCTCCCCGCTAGAGAAATTTGTTTCTCCAAGGAGAAATCCTAAAGCGCAGTGAAAGCTGAAAAGGAAAGTCAGTGAGTGCAATTATATTGATTAACAGAGAGCCTGGTAGGTGTCCACGTTCCTAAGACCACCTGAAACTAATTCCTTTAGCCCATCAGGGTTCCTGTGCTATCCATAAGACGCCTGCTCCAGAAAAGTGGCAGGAGCACCAAGTACGGATGGAGAACCCCTTCCAAGTGAGCTCCTGCATGGTCAGGACCCTGACCATCATGGACAGCCCCGGGCTCTCCGTTCCTAATTTCTGCTACGCCCCCGTGCTCATCTCCAAGGCAAAGCTCACAAAAACGCAGGAGCCCAGGGCCCCACCGCCTCGAATCCCAGCACCAGGAGGCTTCAGGCTCTTCCCCCAGAGCCCCCACGTGAGCACGTTGCAGAACTAACTATAGGTTGGGTTTCCATGGCAATCTGGGAATCGTTACATTAACAAATCCGGCTCCATCTCAGCATCGGGGACAAGAGAGCTCCCGTCACCGTGGGTGCACCCACCTGGCCCCTGCCCCTCGCAGGAATTGGGGCACTTCCCGATTTAGGCTCCTCTGCGACATGCAACGGAGCCGTTCTGGTTTGGGTTGGATGCTAAAAACTGAAATCACGTCCTAAAATTGGAGCTTCAGGGTGCTGAAAGGGATGGGTAAGAGAGAAAGGGAACTCAAGGCTGCCATGAGTTTGCTGGAGCCTGGTTTTCCGTAGGGGCTGCGTCATCTCTGCTGCACCTCAGGGCTGGTTGGGGTCAGGCCACCCATGGGCTTGGGTCTGAGCTCAGGAAGGGAAGGTCGGGTTCCACTCCCCAGTTTTTGTGCCAGGGTGTTGATGATGAGCCCGGTTCTGGGTTACAAAGGGCTTTCTTGGAGCCACTTCCAGGAATCCGGCCTTACAAATCAGCTCAGCACCCTGCGTTAAGAGGAGCTGCAGATGAAGCTGAGATTCAAGGTGCTCCCCGAACCAGAACAGGACTAACCTGGTTACCCCAACGTGCTCAGAGGACACGTTCAGCCTGCAGAGTTGGTTCAGCTGCTCAGAGCTATTTCTGCTCCGTGGAGAAAGACAAAGGGCAGAGCTACACCTCACCTCCTGCGCATCGCTCCTTTAAGGCTCTGGTTCCTCCTGCCTTGCAGTTAGTCCCCGGCTAGGCCAACAATACCTTTTAAGGGTTAGAAGTTACGATTTACATCACAAAATTCCGCCTTAGTCAGAAATTTTCCTGCCAGGGTAATTGCCTCATTTGAATTCAGCGCTCGGTGCAGCGCTTTCATGGATCCGGATTTAAAGAAAGCCTACACAGAGCAGCCTCAGACAGCCACCTCCTCCAAATTTCACAATGAAAGTTCCCTTCCCTGCTGCCCGAAAAGGGATTTTGGTTACAAACCTTACCTGAAAGCATCACTCTGAAAAAAAAAAAAAACAAAAAACGAAGCCTCAGCCCCACCACCACTCACGCTCTTTGCTGCAAACATTAAAAAGTTGGGACTTTGAAACACGCACAACTCCTTCCCCGCGTGCCAGCTGCACGTTTCCTTTCTAGCTCCCGGAATTAGAGCACGGATCCCCAGCAGAAATTGCTTTGAAGAGCAATTCGAAGAGATTTGAAGGCAGAGCTCGGTGTGTTCCCCCCCCCCAGCCTACCTGATTTCCACACCACTTCAGTGCTGGCAAGCAGATAGTTGTGGCAGCTGCAGGTGAAGTTTTTCAATATTTTAACACCACCAAAAATAGTTGTTAAAAGGTGAAGTCGCTGACAATTCCCTCTGATGCTTCAGCGTGATTTCTGGTTGCTTTCCTCCGCCCTTTAACTTACCGAGCTTGCTAATTTTATCTTTAGAGACAGCGACTCCTCGGCACTTCACCGAGGCAGCAGTAAAAGGTTTCCAATCCCCAGCGTGCCGTTTCGCAGCGCTGATAAGAGATAATTCTGCCAGGAACCATCAGCACCGACCCAACCGCCTTCTCCGCTGTTATTCCATCCCTAAGCCAGCGGAATAAGAAGGGACACGGCTTTTTTTGGTTTAATTTCTAATCAGCAGCGCCTCAGGCACGCAGGAAAACAGGACACTTGCAGCTCTGGAACGACACCGCTGGTTTTACAAGCTGTAACTCCAGCTCATTTTCACTACAGCTTGCTGGTTCCCACACTGGATTGATACATAAATATATATATAAAATATATTTATTTCTATATACACCTTTATTCATGGACACACACCTCTCCTCTCCCTATCGAAGGGGAAATCCAGCAGCTACTGCACCAAGTTGAGCAGAATCTTTCTGCATCCTCCTTCCTTTATATTTCTTTTCTAATTCACAGCAGCCTAAAAATAAAATCTTGCCTCCAGTAGAAGCTCCAATGGGGGAAAACTCAATTTTCCCAGCTTCCTGGGAGCACAGAGAGCCTACATGTCCCGTCCTGCACCTCGGGCTGGGCTCCCACAGTGCCCCATGAAGCCAAAAGGTTTCCTCTGGCCAGCAAGAAGCAGCACAACAGAACCCACTCCAGCAGGCACATTCACACTGGGTTTTCTGGGCAAAGCACCGGAAGGTTTTATTAAGGCGAAAATTTCCATCCAAACCCCAAAGTTTCCTGTGAATTTCTCTCTGTAAACACTAACTGCAGTAGGCAAGAGCTCCCAGGGCTGCTAACTGTGCGCGCCGTGCCAACTCCAGCTCTGAAAAAACCCTCAGGACATGCTAACACCAGGCACGGGCCAAAAAAAGACGAGGAAGAAGAAGCCAACAACAATGAAAAGCCACACCAAGCATAACCTCTGGCAGGGCACGTCTCCTCCCTGGCATCCCTTTTTTTTTTCCTGACATAAAGCTGAGCTCCTCAGCGCAGATTTGGGAGGGCCGAGCACCAAGTTCAACCCTGGTCAACCACTTGTTGTTTCTGGAAGGGCTCCGGGGGTCCTCTGGGCTCACTCTCCAGCACCGTTTCCATCCCCTTGGCGCTGCTGGGGCAGGCAGAGCAGACGGAGAGCTGCTTCAAAGGCATTCCAGGGATTCTGCCGGGGCGGGAAAGTCCCAGCAGCGTAGCAGCCAGGCTGGACGATGCTCTGCTACTCACTGCAGCTCGTTCTGGCGCGTGGCGAACGTCCAAAGCTTGGGGAAAGTCGTGTTGGGAAGCTCGATGCTCCAAAACGGGGCTGGTTCAACCTCAGCAGCTGTGGAAGTATTTTATTTCTAGAAAACCCGCTCCTTTGCCGCGCTAACTTCATCCTCAAGCTCAGCATCCCCCCGTGTCTGTCTAACTGCCTCCTGCATCAGCCAGAGGATTGCTGCAGGCTTTGCAGGTAGACAAAAGGCTGAAGCGAGGAGCAGGAGCAAGGCACGCACGCACGGATCAAGGTTGGCCCAAGACAGCAGAGGAGCTAAACGCCAAGTAAATGCCCAATTCTTAACCTCGGGTCCCCCACAGCGTGTTCAGCCACTGTAGGAGTTCAAATAACTTGTGGGGTGACGCCACTCCAATATTAGCTACATGCACGAGATAAGAGTCGTGCAAAAAATGTCTTCCTCAGCAAGAAGTTGCGGGTGACAGATTGCACGTCCCAGCCTGATGCGCAGGCAGCTCAGGTTTGAGGGCTCCCACCCATTGATAAGGTTTGAACAGACTTCCGAGTAAGCAGGTTCACACGAACCGTGGTGTACTCCACTGCTTCCTACATTATAGGCAAGAAAAAAGTGACATTTCTTCGCCAGTCCTTTGTATAAAAGCTCTTACCACCACTTGAGTGATGTAGAACCAATTTTTGCTGAGCCTCAGGAAGCTCAAGTCCACGTCCCCTACTTCCCAGCCATATCACAGATGACACAGGGATGACCAAGCAGAGGAAAACAAAGCCAAGTGAAAGATCTGGTGTTCAAAGTTACTCAAAGCTGGGCTAAAAACATTTAGCTCAGAGATGGTGGGATAGCATACGTGCCTGTGGTGCAACAGACAAGGACAAGGAGGGATCACAGAGGTGGAGTCATTTGTAAGGAAAAAAAAGTGTTGGTTTTATCAGGCTTCTGCTGAAAGCTGCTCAGAGCAGCACAGACATTCCCCAATTCTGCAGAAATAGTCATGTTTCCTCCTGGAAATGTTATCTTTCTTGATATAAGCCTTGTTCTCTTATTTATTGCTGCTACAGGACCAAGATCCTTCTGGGTATGATGGCACAACAGAATTCTTCGAACACTTCAACACCGAGGGATGCTACTGAGTCTTCGGTTTTGTGCGCACATAATGAGGACACGTGAAAGGTTGTAGGAATTAACCTTGGATTGCACCATCAGTGAGAAACTCAGAGCTCAGAAGACAGAATAAGCAGAAGGAGACCTGAAGGCAAGTCACCGGTTTGTTCTTTTGAAACTCAAGACCTAAAGGAGCTGGTTCACAAAGGGAGGATTTCACTGCAGACAGAGCAGCCCAGGAGGCATTCTCCAGGAACCAAAAGGTGTTTTCATTACAAAGAACACATCCCAAATAAGAACTAAAGAAACTCTACTTGAACATATTCCCTTTTCCAGAATGATACACGAAACAACCACAAGTTTCAAATCGCCAGGTCAGGATCACCTGGAAAGTTAAAACCTGAGAAATCAAAATGTCTAGGAATAAGCTTAAGAAGTGGTGCAGGGTTAGTCCCTGAAAACATACAGACAAAGAAATAGTAAACCTACTATAGATAACGGTTATATATATTATATATATATAATTATATATTATATAGACATATTTATATAGATATATAAAATATATAATCGTTATTATATAGATAATGAAGGTTCTCCAGTTTGTGAGAAAGGGTAGGGAGAGAAACAGGACTGCAAGCAAGGTCAGGGCAGAGGTCAAGAGGACTCCAGGTTCAGCACAAAGCACTGAATTTGAGTTTGTATTCTTTTCAAGAGGGGTGCTGAGGATGATCACGAGGCCACAAGCCAGGGGGTTGATTTGAAGAAGAACACTGGGAGATGGCAGGGTGGGAAGATTCAGAAGCATCATGAAAATTGCAAGGAATGGCTCCTTTCAATTTTAGATTCCAAAACAGATCCGTAAACTGCAGGGCCAGGAGCAAGATTTATATAGCTCTTGAAAGGCAACATTCAGCGTTAATAAAACATGTGGTGCTGCAGGGGAGAAAGAGAAGGGAGAGAGATCCCAGCACCTCCAGGCCTGCGAGGCTGACTTCAACACAAAAAGGTGTTCTGCAAGAAAAGAGGATCACAAAGCCACAGATAAACAGGGGGGGGGGGGAAGGAAGAGTTCAATATGCAAGACTAACCTGAAGGTTCTCCAAAAAAGATCTCTCTTGAACAATGCCACGTACTGTGGTTTATTGATACGGGCTTCAGGGGGCACAAGGAGAGTTACTGGTTAAAACAGATTGAGAAAGAAAAGGTAAAACAGACAGAGAAGCTGGCTTAACAGCAGACAGTCCCAGGTGATGCTGAATAATAAAATACCAGCCTGGAAAGCAAAGCCATGCCTCCGGAATCAGCCTGGGGAACGATTTGGGTTTGTTTGGATTTGCACTACGGCACCGAGGCAAACCTGTGATACATTCAAGGCATCACTTCAAAGCCCTCCTACAAGGGCTCCTCTGGAGTTCAGCACAGTTTCTGACTCAGAGGAGATTCACCCAGGCTGAGAAGAGCAGCATTGTTCAAGAAGCTCCTTGAAAACATTGGGATCATTTTGTGCAGCAAAACCAGAGGTGAGAGAATACAACTGCATTTCCCTGACTGCAGGGAAAGAGATAAACCACTGAAAATAAGTGGTCCTTATGCAAAAAAGTAAAATAAAATAAAGACAATGCAAGCTCAAACAAATCTATAAGCTGGCATGAATGTTCAGTCTGGGAATCCGAAGAAGGATCCCAGTTAGTTCTGTCATCTTCAGTAACGGCTGATCTATGGGGGGAGAGAAGAGGTGTAATTGTTTTTGGGCTGGAATTCTGAGTTTACAGAAGGGATTATGAGATACTGCTTGGGAAAGCAAGGCGCTGAGCAACCCAGGCAGTCTTTTCCAGCACTAAATTACTACGAGGCTAACACAGCAAGTATATGTTGTCTGCATAACCACAAGGAACAAAGGTTAAAGTTTACTTTAAAACCACACAAATTTTGGAAACGAGAAAGCTGGCTCTCCTCCTCCAGATTGAGGAAGTTGAAGAGTCTTGGTTTCAAAAAATACTTTTTTTTTTTATTTTCTCTCTCTCCAAGTAGCCTGAACTCAACCAAACTAGCACGTTCTTGCATTTGCATAAGCACAAGTTGTTCTGCACGGTGTTCCTATAACGAGACACAGTGAGAGGCGTTCGCTTCATTGTCACATAAGCACAAGTGTTTGAAATCAATCGTGCACTTCTTCTGAATAAGAGACACAGGAGAGCCAGCGACACAAAAATTTAAGCTTAAACTAATCCAATTACTTACTCCGGAGCGAGACAAACCACAACAACGATCGCCAGTGTTTCCACTTGCTGTAAGCTGACTGCATGTACCAAAGCCTACCAGGACAAGCCATCCTCCAAGTGAGTTTTACTTCAAAGCCATATTCCCAAACTAATTTACAGCTGTTGCTAGAAAATATCAAGTACAAACCAAGCGCAGCACCAGCTGTAGTTAGCCTGTAGTTGTCATTATCAAACTGAAAGTGTCAAAAACCACTTCTGCCCTTAGGCCATTACAACGTTTCACTTAAAGAGTATCCAAAAGTAAGAATTGAGACCAACAAAGTGACACGCGAGGCGACAAGAAAGTAAGCAGAAGGCCAAATTGGTACCAAGTATTTAATTATAGGCGGACCAGCTGGTCTCCTCGTACCGTTTGACTTGATGGAAGGTGGAAGAGGAGGAATTCAGCGGTTCCCTGTGGAGGCCAGCTCTGCAGGAACTCTTCATCGTAACCACCTCTCCAGCTAAGGCACGCCGTCACAGCCAGTCCATCCTGGTTCACATGCAAGGCTCCCTCATCAGCGCTCCTTGCCCCGCACAGAGCCTCACCGTGTCTCTCCCACCTAGGAACTGAAAAAAGAGGAGAGAAACAAGGAGACTGGGTTGGAGGATGGCAGCAATTTGAGGCACGGATGATCAGGACAAGGACCCCTTCCCAAAGAGGCGGGGGGGGAAGATATAAAACATAAATATCTATATGCGTAGCACACATATATATGTGCACACCCATTTATACATATATAAATACGCTCACATCCACATATATAAACGTAAAACAACTTAAACATCTTATACTTAACATCACGCCGTTAGTGCAGCTGGAGCTGAACGCCCCCAACACCACCTGCCTGCACTGTGCTTCCCCTGATATTTGACCACAGCCCCCCATGGGACGTGCTGTCTTCCCAGCAAACCGGGCTCATTAAGATCTCCCTGCTCGTTAGCACGGTGCCAGGCTTTGGAGGGCAACTAGCAGCACAATTTGACGCTGGCCAGGAGTCACGTTAGCCTTCTCGTCCCAACGGCAGTGGCCGATTTCATCAAATTTAAAAAAAAAAACGTGCCACCACAGTCTCCAAAGCTCAGGGAGGCTGCCCTGCCTTTGCATCACACGCAGATAAGAGAGAGGATTTTGGCAGAACACGGCTGTGCTGCAATATCTCTCGCTCGCACTGGGCTGCCGCCTTCTACGCCTTGTCCTTGGCGCAGCCACTCTTAGCGGCGCTGTGACGGCCTTTGACGGTGAAAGAACAACAAGCAACGCGTTGGAACACAAAAGGAACAAGTGACACAGCAAAAGAGCCCTGGAAAAACTCAGATATTCAAGCCTGGGTTGCCGGTAAATTGTTTTAAAGGTTGCTCGCTTCCTTCCCTCCGGAGGTCCAAGCGCAGCGATGCCAAAATAAAGGCGTGCTGCTTGAAGATGCTAACTGCAGAGCTCTGACCCCACAGCATTTGGGATTTAGGGCAGCAGGTGGTTCTCCTTGTCAGCAGCTTTTGCTCTTAGTGCTGCCCACTCCTGCAGCAGCATCTCCACGACCCTGGCATTGCAGGGGCACAGAGATGGAGCCTCTCACGTCTCCCCTCTTTTAGCAACATCTGCCCAAGAAAAATCTGCCCCACAGGGGAGCACCTACCTGTGCACAGCTCGGTTACTGCCTGGCCCCGGTGGTTTACAGCTCAGGGCTGCCACTAAGCGCTCCTGGCCTGGGAAGCCCTCTCCACCTTGTTAGCCACACGTGAGAAAGTGATTCCGGATGGCTTCCCCAGCAGGGCGGCAGGAATTGGTTTCGATCCAGCCGACCTGCCGCCTGCTAAAGCGGTTTCCCAAATCCTCTAGCGATGGGGAACGAGAGGTTAATCATTTGCCTGCGTTTGAGCAGGCAGGAGCCTAAAATAATAGCTAAAATATCGTATAAACACATTCCGGGCTGCGTGCAGAAGTCCCTGCTGAGCTCCGCACGACGCAAAGGAGCCGAGCAGACCGAGGTGGTGCCCTGGCAGAGCTGGAGGATGGGAGCGTGCCCCCTGCTCCACGAATTCAGGAGGACAAGACGTTAGGCTGACACCAAAACTCAAGGCTTTGCGGTTAAACACCCCCTTTGTTAGGCTGCCCAGAGCCTAAAGCAAGAACCGACCCGCAAGAATGAAACCCAGGCACAAAAATCACTCATTGGGGATGTTTTGTAGGCTGTCAAATGGATATTTACTAACAGAAATTCAGAGGACAAAGCATGTGCTTTATGAAAACCCCAAAGTTAAACACAAAATCATTACTTTCCCATCAACCACCAGCAAGAGGCACTGAGATTCTGACTTCTATCCAAGCTTTTGTCTGGCTTCTCCTTCTGGCTTTACTGACACCAGCATTTCAGACCCAGCAGGAACTGTATCACAGAAACATCCACACCCAAATAAACGCAGCCATACCACGCCGGGAATGCCAGGGCACTTCCAAACTGGTTAAAACTCCCGATGTATTCCTGGCTAAGCTCATCAGATGTTTTGCCTCAGTCCTATCCCTTTGCAGATCAGAATGAAAAAAAAATAATAATAATGAGAAGCTGAAAAATAAACGATAAAAAGCCAGAAAAAAAAAAAAAAAAGCAAACAAAGATCTCATTTGCAGCAGTTTGAGAAGCAAAACCACCAAACTCGTTCGGGTTTGGGAAGCCACAAGCTCAGTCCGAGCACAGGCATCACGCTGCAGGATGCCATGTGTTTAAGAAAGGAGCAGCACCTACTAGAGGAAAGCAAAAGCTGACAAAACAGGCACAGAAAGATTCGCCCGGGCACTGCAGCACCAGCACAGCTCCATACAAAGCAGGCTTTTTCCCCCCCTCCTCTAGCTGCTGGTCTGCAGAGCGGAGCTGAAATGGGCTATTAATGCCAGCCTGACAAATTCCTACTGTGTGAGCAGCAAAAAGCTGTGCCTGTGAATAAAAAATTAAAAAAATAAATTAAAAAAAGCAACAGCATCCAAGCTGGCCCAGAGATACTTACTGCCATTTAACTACCACAGCATTTCTGAACCGAGGCTGATCCCTTGCAGGAGGTGCTTCAGTCGTTTGCTTTAGTTTTGCAGAGTTGGGCACAGCCTGAAAATCGAAATGCACAGAGGAACAGAGCAGACGAGGAAAATAAGAACCTAATCTCGCTGTTCTCCCTTTCTGAAGCCACCCCCAAACATATGCCTTAATGCCTGAGATGTGGGAAGGCCGGGGATTTTGGCAGCGGGCAGCATCACGCTCCCACAGCAATGGACGGCGGGCGATTCATGGAGCTCCCCGTTTTATCATCATTTTGGAATTGCTGCTGGGAGAACAAATGCGCTCACCGAGATGGAATAAGGGATATTCGGCTGCAGTTTGGAGCAGAAATCCCACTGCTGGTAGAAGCAGAGCAGCCTCTGCCCGCCTGAGGGGACAGGGACCAGCTTTGGGATGCCCTCCAGCGGTGTAGGACCGAGGGCTGAGCCCTCCACCACAGCCAGGATGCAGAAGAAAGCAAAGGCAAGAATTTCTAAGGGAAACTCAGATGAATTAATACTGAAATACAGTCACTGGAAGGGACTTCACCAGTGCTGAGGCCATATAACTCACAGCTATGTTTGGCCAACACCAAACAGCCCGTGGCAGCCCCTGCACCCAAACCCTGTTGCTTTCTAGTCAAATGCAGCAAGGATTTGGGATTTTGCAGGGTGGATTCAATGCCGTGTTTTATTTGATGTCAAACCAAAGCGTTGCTGTTCCAGCAGGGGCAGGAAGAACCACTCTCCCAGCTTATTCAACCAGTTTGTTTCCCAGCAAGCTAAAAACGAAGCAAAAAGTGGAAGGGGAAAAAAAAAAACAAAACACCAAAACCCAACCCCACAGCAGAAGTCTGAAAAGAAGGGGGCTTGGGGAAAACCAAATTAAAACACAGCTAAAAAGAAAGGCACGGTAATACCAACCTATTGTAAGCACCTTACAGAAGGACTTTTTAACACCAAGTTCATCAGCTGGGTTTTATTTAGTTAACAGAACAGTTTTAAGCAGAGAAAACAAGCGTGTTTTAGCTAAAAACGTCTTAAGAGTTTTACAGTGACCTCACATTTGTGTTTCCAAGTGCAGCCTCCTGTCTATTTGCACACTAAAACCTGCTGCTACTGCTGCTTCTCCTTACTAAAAGCCAGAGCAGCCCCAGTGGCAGGCTCTCAGTACCTCTGCCCTCGGGTCTGCTCCCCACGAAATTCACCCCAGGTCTCCTCCAAGCTCCTGCCCATGTTCCTTTCCCCAGATTACACCAGAAAGAGCGGTTATTTAACCAAAATGTGAGGATTCCCACCTGTATTTGAATTGGGCAGGGTGTTGGGGAACGCAGCACGGCCTCACAGCCATTTCACTCACCCTAACTCCTGCCACGCCAGGCTCTCGTCCTCCTCTTCCTCCCAACACTTGTATCAGGGCTGTCCCATTTCCACCTGAAGCAGCTCCAGGGGCTAAACGAGGAGGAAATTAACCCCAAGAGGCAGGCTCCCTGTGCCCAGCAGGATGAGGTCCTCAGCAGCTGAGGCTGGGTTCAACCCTATCAAATCCACACCTTGAATCACGCTGGGAGAAGCATCCACCACAAAGGGGTTTCTATATTTTTTCCAGTCAGTGGAAATAAAGTTTTGAATGCAAAATAGAGTTTTGGAAGAGGGGAACAAGTGTCTGGGCTCCAAAGCAACATTTGACTGCTCGCCACCACCAAACATCACTACCTGTCGGAGCAATAAGCACATGAAGTGCTCGTCCTAACGAAGCTCTACAGGGAGAGCCCATCTTCCCCTCCAAGACTAGCTCGATAAAGAACGAAAGGTTTCCAATTCGTAGCTCTTGTGTTTTCTCTCCTTTAGGTGTGGTGAGTGTTGGAACGATAATGTCATCCCCTTTCCCCTCAAAAGGAAAATCTCAAAAGGGACGAAAAGGGAAAGATCAGCTCTGCTGCCCCTTGCTGACCCTCTACTGTAGTTCTGGAGACGACAAGAAAATGCTTCCCTTGCTCCACTATTCCTGAAAGGCTTCAGCTCTCCTGCCCAATTCGCTTAAGGACATCATCTGTCGTTCAACCAGGGGGGGAAGCTGAGAGCTGGCTCATTCGATTTCTTCTGCTCGATCCAAGAGGAAAACAAAACCGGGGAACCCGGTAGGTGCCAGCGCTGCTGCGGTGCTGGTGACAAACAGGCAGAGATCCCACATTACTCCGCTTTCTCGAGAGCTGCCACCCCCTTTGGCACTTGCTGTCCCCGCAGAGCGTGTGGTGTGCCCCGAATGATAAGCAGGGGGTGGCTGAACGTCCCCCAGCGGGGCTGCAGCTGCCGGGCTCTTGGGTTATAGGGTCCGGGGAAAGGCTGCCGTGCCCCGCATTCGGGGGGCCGCGCGATGGGTGAGCCAGGTCTGAGTTCTTTAGCATGTAAAACTCGATTTGTTTTGCTATGCAGATTGGGAATTAATGAAAGCTCGGCTGAAAGGCTACTTTTCTTGGGGCGAGGGGAAGGAGAAAGCTTCCAGAAGCCTTCCTATTATAGAAGCAATAGAGCGGGTTCCAAAAATAGTAGGCGAGCACTCCCAGAGCTCTGGAGACGTTGTGCCCTGGTTTTATAAGGCTCAAGTCTCCCTGGATCGCTCGTGTACGTGCGGGGAACGCTAGAAATGACTGAAAGATGCAGAAGTGACGTTAAATGGGGAGTTTTTAGGACAAACACCAGGAAGAGAAATCCAAACAGACCCATTAAACTGGGGTACCAACGGAGAGCGACCTGTCCCTGCTCCGGAGACGGATAAAACCAGGAAGCTGGCTCCTACCTTTCTCAAGAACTCAGCGTTAGTTTGCTCAAGAAGATCCCGATGATCAGAGCAATGACGTTGCAGATTAGGATTGTCAACAGCAATTTCGTCACCCTGTTTTGCTTTCGGCTGCCAGGGACCCTGGCCGGGGAGGTTCACCTGACTCAGCGTGGCACACGCCCGCTGGATTCGGTGACTAGCACACGGACCATCACACGGTGATCTGCCTGGCATTAATTACTCACTGGTTAGCCAGGAATAGTTCGTTAACGATCCAGCACTACAACACAACCCACTCTTGGAATTAAAGTCTCTTTTAACTGTTCCACGACAGCATTTACAACCCAGTGAGAATAAAATCGATTTGCAATACTCCTCTGACTACAAACTCGCCTTTGGATCTCTGTACCCCAGTATAGGACTGGCTGTTTTACTGGTATATACTGGCAAGGGTCAGGAGGAAACCAGAAATCTCATACTTGACACTATAAGGTAAGAAGTCCCCCTACACCACGGCTGTAGTAGTAACAGCTTCTGCACATCTTTTGGTGGGGTATGAAATGGCTTCTGAAGTAAAAGACAAAACCCACAGCTCACCTCAGATAGCCACAAAATGCACAAATCCAGCTCCTTCCTTAGCACTTTGTTAACAACGAAAACCCCACGGCAGGCCAGCTGGTATTTAACACCGAATTTATCAGCTTTGAAGTTTAATTTGCTGATTAGGGCCCTAACTTGTTTGGCCCAGCTTTCAGGGTGTCAGTTCTGCTGTCACATGCGGCCTGTCCCATGCACCAAGCACAGGTCCAGCAGCGTAAGCCCTACCTCGTTTCTGTTTATTTCTGCTGAATCTTTCCCTTTAACCAAACAGCTACGCTGTGGATTTCTCTGTCCTGGACTGCTGCAGACAATTTCCAACAAATCCCAGTCATAAAAAAAGGACAAAAGGTGGATTCATCCAGCCAGCCCACTGCAGAATTGAGAAGTTACGATATTCACTACGCATCTCAAAAGCATCCAGATTTTTCCTAGGGGTCTCCAAAACCATATTCAGCAACTGGAAGCCTTGCTACAGCACCAGAAACACGACATTAAAGATAATGGTACTTTTGCAAAAGTGTTTTTATAAATAACTGTGCTATTCCTGTACTTCAAAATGCCCAATTCTTTGCAATACACTCCTGCATCCGCCCTGTTTTTACATACTAGCATCTTCCACAATTTTTACCCCAATGTGTCTCACAATTTGTCATAAAACCTTACAATCCTTTCAAACTTCTGTTTAAACCAGGAGACTGCTGATGCCCAAACTTCATTTTTTCATAGAAAAAATATCTTTCATCTTGCCAGGACAATGTAAAAATGCTGAACTCATTTGAAATTTCTAAGTGAGCAGTTTACAAAACCTTTGTGCTTTATAAATTTAGGAAAACAGATTAAGTATACCCAACTTTGGGACAGATTACACGCGAGAGGAAGCTCAAACTATATTGCTCATAACATTTTACAGCTCAGGACGTTTCTGTTAAGGACAGACAACTTCTAACAGAACAGATTTATTAGGAGCATTTCAAAACAAGCCACCCACAGAAAGCAGACCACCATCCCTCACCGTCTCAACAAGTGTTGGATTCAGCTGTCCCTTCCACGGGTATCTTACTTAATAAAAAAATGCCCACAGAGAACAGGCTACAATCTCAGACAAAAAAAATAAAAAGAAAAATCACTCATTAGCATCAGGCTATGACATGGTCTACAGATGGATTAATGAAAAGAAAATGCTCTGCTGATGCATAAATTTGGTTCAGATGTATAGCCAGCCATATGCTACAAAACATATACCTTAAAACTCAGAAAATTTGCACCAAAAACCAGCACCAACTCTACCACAGAAGCCTGATCCTATGTATTTCCCAGCTAGCTAATTTGAGCAGCAACCTAGAACACCACATCCAACTTGGAGATGATTCATACATCCACATCCAAGTAGCAAGTCTGAAAGGGAAGACAGACAAAGTTTTGGTCCCAGAGGCTTAGCTCTTTATTTATCAGTTAATTCCAGCAAACTGCTTCCCCAAAACAGCCTTCACTTTGTGCTTCACTGAGGAACTCAAACTGCCTCAGAACTCCTGTCCCCAGTGACCAGCAACCTGAGAAACCACCAGTCTGTAGAGAAAGCAACTCCACACCATTATCATCATGTCCTTAACTACTTGTCTCGGTGCTGGTGACAGGGATTTTGGTGGTGGGAGACACCAGGGGTGGCTTCTGTAAGAGGAGGACAGGAGTAGGCCTCTGTAGGAGTAGGCCAGGGGTAGGCCATGTTGGAGATTGCCAATTTTGCCTCTTTATTAGAAGAATAATGATTGTGGTGCTGGAGATGTTGGCTCGCCACAGGCAGGATTAGGCCCCCCTCATTTCAATCCAGCAGCATATTTTTCACCTAGCACTGTGTGGTGCTAGTAGTGTCTCTCCAACGGCCCCAGGCCTGCAACATGGAGTCACACACGTGCATGGCACGGGAAGGGGACAGCAGGGTGTCAGAGCCTGCAAAATAAAGGTGTAATCCAAACCAGAAAGAGAAGGAATAAAACAAGCAATGCAGATCATGCCACTGCTCAGAGCAGAGCCTGCCCAGGAGCACACACAGGGAGAGAGCAGAGCATCAGCGAGCAGAGCTGGTGCCACACAAATGCAGTGAAGGATCCAGGGAACACCAGCCTGGACTCAGAGGATGTGCCTCACCTCTAAAATGCTCTGCAGCCTGCAAAACACAAAACCTGGCCGAAGAGACCAAAAAGGCTATTGAGAACTCCAAACCATGGGTGTGCGACTGGCGACACGTTCAGGCTGAAGCGCTGGAGATGAAGACAGCAGGCAGGCAATAGCATGTGCTAAAAATCTTTCCCAGCCAAAGTATCTGCTTGTTTTTATACAAATTCTTTAAAAAAGAACATACACAGAACGTCTTCTGCTGAATTAACTCAGCTACAGATAAGCTTGTTTTTTTGGCAGGTAAATGGCAGTAGAGACAGACCAGCATTAAGAACGGCATTTTTTGTATGATTGTTTCAAAAGGCCGTTGAAAAATCTAAGCTAATTTTGAAACCTACCAATTCCATGGATCTTTAGATCTTTTTTTGGCTACATTTTAAAGACTTCTGCCATTAATAACTCAGAGTTACTTGATGCAAAAAATAACTTTACATTTTTTCAAAGTCTTGTACTTGATATGCCTAGCAACTAACAACTAAATTTTCAGAAATTCCAAGCATAGCACAAATTCTGCCACAATTCAGTTTTCAAAGAAAAAAGCCAAAAATTTAGCAACTAAACTTCCGCGCGTTCAAGCACTCTGATAACTGGGAGAACTGCGTATCTTTCACTTTTCATCCTTATCTTCAAAATTCAGAAGCACGTACCTACAGCAGGACACCAAAAATTCTTGTTGCAATTCTTTCTGGGTAATTCTTCTTGGGTTTTGAAGTATGAACTTTCCCACAGGCTCATCTGAAAACATCAGGTCTGTTTCTGTTTCACACCACTTCTCGACTTTTTGGTGCACCAAAAACATCCTTATAAACAAGGCAAATGGGGAAAATATGCATACTCTATAGCTCAGTACTCCCTTCCCCAGTACAAACAAAATAGTCTTTTCTGGGTTTCCGCCTCTTGGATAAAACATTAAAAATACAAATGAAAATAAGGAAACAAATCAGCAGGAAACCGAGCAGAAAAGAAGAGTACCCCAAACTGTTTTTTAAGAAGGGTGGTTTAAGTGAACCAGATTTAGAGCTGGGGTTTGTTACTTTGCTGTGAAAATACTCAGCACATTTTTAGGCTTCCCAACGGAGCAGCCGGTGTGAGCACATCGTACAACAGAAGAACATAACCTTACAAATTAAACATGCCAGCTCCAGAGTTCCTACTCATCGCGCTGGCTTTCGTCAACAAATTGCTACCAAATCCCTTCCCTGAAAGCCAGCTGAAGCTTGCTAGCCTGAAAACTGAATTACTGAAGTAATAATCGAGCTGTATCAGCTTGATCTCTCTTCATTTAACATCTCGTACTAATTTTCTGTGAGCTTGCAGGAAATAGTTTCGAACAGCTCCCTCAAGAAAATAAGTTACAAGCCTTAGTTTTTTTCCATTCTGAGCCATCCCTGCACTATTTCATAGCTCTGATAATTGTACCACTGACTAACCTCCAACTGGGAATAACTGTTTTTATCATCAGTATTAAAAACAGTCCCTCACACTGTTAGGAATCTGGAAACTCATTGTAGCTGCATCCCACCCTTCAGCCTCTCAAAACACTACAGAGCAATGAAACTATGTGCTGAAACCAGAGGATCCCTGGGCTGAACAACTCCTGTAATTTCAGGGTAATCACAAGTGCTTCCTCGGAGGAGGCAGCCGTGGAAGTTTGATTATTGATTTTAGAGGAGCAAGTGACAGGAGATCATAGAAAGCCAGAGCAAACTTTGCATTTTCCGCACAGGACTGGGAAATATAAATTATCCTTAGGAGCTCAGCAGCAAGGTGTGTGCCTCACACGCTCACCTCGTCTCATAGCACTTGGGTTGTTTTTCAAAGTACAAAGATTTGTCTGCAGTTTTTATTTCCTGATACCCCGTTATCTTGGTTTGTGCAGATTAGCCAGGAGAGTGACCAACTGCTCTCGGAGAAGCAGCAAGATGCAAAAAAAAAAAAAAAAAAAACAGTGCAAAGAACGGTGGATTTAAAAACCAGATTTTAATTACCTGGAGGTACAGTTGCCAAGTAGACGGCAAAGAGGCTGTGCATCACATACAGACAGGAAAATCCCCCTGGGTTTATTTCACAGCCAATTACAGTGGATTAACCTATTAGTAAGAGCAAAAAAAATAATAAAAAAAATTCACACGCAAGTTTCAACAACCTGAAAAAACCATTGCCACTCGTACTTTGATAGAGAGGATTAGCAAGCTGTTTTATCACGCTTCCAGTCATCGCCGTCCATAAACACACCCTACGAGGGACCTCTCCCTCTTTTTTAATGCATCTTCTGTCATTGTTTCCCTCTCAGGGGCTGACATCCCTCTTGGCTTCCTGCTTGGAGCCTCGTTTCATACACCCATTAGGATTGTTGTCGGCGTTGACGAGAGGCATCCAGCACCTCCAGAACTCCTTGCACAAACTCCCAGGTGCTCGTATTATTCACTCCTGCCTCTGCTAGATGTCACCACGCAACATCTGTCCGACAGCACAGCGCCGCTGCACCCGAGAGCAGCTTTCCAGGATCGCTGTGCTAAATACTGGGTGTGCCTACTTTTGTTTGGTATCGAGTTCGTGCTGCTGGCTCCACTGCAAGAGCGAGCGAGCTCCGTGGATAGCACAGCTCTCCCCCACCTCCACAAACATCTGGTGCTTTTCGAAGTTCTCCAGACTTCCTTCCCCTTTTACCGTATCACAAAGCCTCTCTTTTTAGCCAGGCTGCCTTCTTGATAGTCCATCACCATTATCTCCTTGTTCGCTGCCGGAGCAGCGTGAACCACTAAATCTTGCAGAGCTTCCAGCCCTTTCAGCTCAAGGCCAGGCACCAAATCCAAGCATCCTGATTTAGAGGGATGGTTGCTAAATTCCTTCCCTGCCTCTTTTTATTTTTTTTAAACACTCTTCAGCTTCCTGTCCTGGGAAGCAACCAAACTGCTGTAAGAAATGCCAGGTTCTGTTAAATATCCTCCATTCCCGTGACACCGAATATTCAAAACAATTAGGTTACTTCCAAATCTTGCCCTGTAGCAGCCTCTATTCCAGAAAGCGCGGAGATGAGTGAAAATTACTTCAGCACGAAGGACTTGGAGCTGGTCGTTTGCTGAATCCCACAGCGTTTCGAGTTAGCATTCAGCCTTGGCACAACCGCCCATCCGCTCCGACACGCAGCACAATGTCACCCCTCAAAACCCCACTGTTCCACCCAAAGGCAGTTTTTTTTCCCCCCCTTTTTTTTTTTAAGGGTGCGTCAGCTGCTAGCTGAAAGTGGGAATGCTTCATTTAGCACATACACTTGTTAAACTGCTCACAGCATGCAAATAAAATACCGCATTGTGCAAAAGTCATTCACAGTCTCCCCGTCCGTAGATATGAGCAATGGAACCGCGTCCAGGAAAAGAGAAACTTGGAACAACGTGCAAATATTTCAGCCCCTTAGTCCCAGTATTCCCGTCCTACACTGAAGCCCACAGCACTGCCATGCAGAGGGGTGACCACGCTGAGAATCTGCTGCATGTAACGGGTGGGAAAACTACCACTCTCCGTCCTTGCCCCAGTACTGCACCCTTTTATTTGTAGTTATTGCTGCAAACTGCCTTTTTTTTTTTTTCCAGACAATGGTTGTGTTATTATAGGTACCTTCATGCCGTGCCAAAGCACATACACACAGCAATTCAGAACAATCAGCCTTGTTTTCATGGGAGCAAAGGTTGCAGCCAAATGAAATGGGTGGAGATCACATTAAACAATCTTGGAATCTGCTAATAGGATATAGGAAAATGTGACCATAATGCAGATGCAGAGTTCCCCTTTCACCTTCCAATGTTATGGATAAAATAAAAGCTTTGGAAAACCAATTAAACTATTTGAACAACATTAAGCAAGAAGAAGTGGTCTCGGTATGCTAACAAGAGGCTCTGCTACCGAGAAGTTCCTTAAAATCAAAACAAAACAAGCCGCCCTTTCAGAGGTCTGAAACCAACCAGCGAGTTTCCCAGCCCCAGAACACCACCTGCTTAAAAGATACAGGATACCTGCAAGACGTCTGCTTATCCACTGTAAACAGAAGCTCACCAACGACGAAGTGTTCCTGTCTTAAAGACATGATCAGATCCTCCTCTGAGAGGGGAATTTTTATAGTGAAACACCTTGCTTGGTCAGCCGTAACCTGCACTCCCCTTGTTTGCTTTTGAGATGTGCATTAGTCAGCTTTCTCCTTCACGAATCTGATCGTGCCTCTGCATGATCGTACACTGAAGTCATGTCCTTGAGTCTGTGACATCAGTCTGTTGCCATGGAAATGCACGGGGCAGTCCAAAATTCAGTATTATGGCATCACTGCGGGATCAGGCAGCAGATCAAGCCAACGCCTGAGAGCTGCAGCACAAACAGCCACGACATCCCAACCCAAATGTTAACGTGTAACTGAGCTTTATCTTAATATTCATAACCAGGCCTGGAAGCCTCTTATCGAGAAAGATGACCCAGGCTGTCATTAGCATCATGACGAAGAGGCAAGCCATGATGCATCAGTAAAAAAGGGCAATATTTTTTTCCAGGGATGGCCACCAAGTACGAGGGAGGTTCAGCTCTCAGAATAGAAGCTGCCATCTGCTCCCAAGAGCTGCCGAGAGAGATCAGCCCGAGGAACAGGGGTGGCCCCCTTGGCACCCTGAGCAAGTGCTAGGTCGCACATGGTCTTTCTAGAAACGAGAGCACGGTGTCACAGTGCTGTCACCCTTCTGGAGAAGAAGGCATTAAATAAGACACACTTCTTCAGTTCTGAGCTTTGGCTGTGAAGCAAAGGCCCGTTCATCATTAACCCAACCTATAACGAAGTCGTGTATTAGTTAAAAAAGGGTGGTACCTTCACAGGGTTGTTACTCCATGTAGGGTTAGGCATTACAGTTGTGTAGGTTCCTCGCGCACTCACGAGAAAGGCATTTCTGAAGAGCAAAAGGGAAGGAAAAAGGAAATTAGTTACACGTTAATGGCGTTACGACGACTAACCAGCACCTGAAACCAAAAAGATCCACCAGCCTAAGGCATAACAAACACCAGCCACTCACTGACCCCATGTAAAGGGCACCCGGGAACGATCAATACACTGCTGACACCCAGAACACCAATTCAAGGGATTCTTTGGTGTCAACTGAGCCAGCACACCCCAAAAAGAGCCTAGTAATTACTGCTGAAGGCGGCTGCCATAAGGACAGGTCCCACTGCCAGGCTAGGAAAACGCTTTAGCATCGTGGGACCCAGGCTGCAGGGACAGCAAGGAGCAGGCAGCAGCCGTGCTAATCCCTTCCCCTTACCTGTTCCTCTTTTCTCATCGAGCAGCCTGGTTTAGGGGCCCGGCTGCTGCTCTCCAGAGCCTCCCCGACACCCAACCCCAAAGCCCTGCAGCCCGGGCTGTGTGTAAACGGGGCCACTCCCCGCGCACCCGGCCGGTTTCAGTTCGCCTCCTTCCGCTTTTCTCTCATTAACCCGCACGTCTTCAGCAGCTCACCCGACGCTTCCTCCTACGGAGCTGACCTCCATCCTTCCTCTAACCTCAGACGCACCCACGGGTTTCTTCACAGGGCCATTAGCGAGCTGCAGGCAGCACTGAGAGCGCCGAAGGAGTGCTCTCAGCACCGATGTCGCCCCGGATCCTAACCCCTCCACCCAGCTCCCTGCTTGTAATTTCCCCACGCCGTGTTATCTAACGCCAAACACCAGCCTCGGGGCTGGGAACCGCTGGGTATTTGCCTCCGCCGTGCCACACACCCCGGTGGCGTTGTATAAATAAATTCCACGACCTGTCAGAGCGTGAGCCCGAGCTGGAGTCAGGGCCAAGCTGGATTCAGGGCCGAGCTGGAGCAGTTTCCAAAGGGCTGGTGTGAACACCTTCACTCGGTCCCTGCTGCTTGAGCAATGCTGAATTATGCAAGCAGCCACCGCAGGCGGCTCCGGAGCCCAGCACCACGACAGCTGATTGCTGCTGTGGACCGCGACTGCGGAAAAGGCAGCCTGTAAAAGCCTCTTTCACTTTTAAAAACAGACTAATTGCCAATTATAAAGGGGAAAAGTGGATGAGAGGCAAGCTGCTGCTCACAAATCCTTGTGCTGACAGCAAGCTCCACGTGCCGGTGCCATTTCTTGGCCACCAAAGCAGCCAGACTTACCCAGCCTCAGCCCTTACGCCCCACTCCCAAAGCTGTAGGGCCGCAGGAGTTCCCAACCTGAAGCCAAGTGGATTTCGGAGCAAAAATAAAGCCAGCAGGCTTCATCTCCATGGAGCTCCCGCAACATAACATCGGCTCAACGAGCTTCTCGGGGCAGAGGTCCTTATTAACTACCCAGTAAATTCAGATTAAAGTCAGCCTTTCCCTGCCCTCGGCACAAGGAGCAGCTGCACGAAGCGACCCTAAATCGCCTCCCAGCTGCCCAGGGGAGCGGCGATCACACCCCGAAGGCGAGGACAAGAGAGGAAGGAAAGGCTGAGGGCGCCTTCCAACCACAAATGGGGAAATAACGGGCAGAGATCCAAGGGCAGACAGCTACCCATGGAAGTGTGGTTAACAAAATTCAGGACACGGAGCGTGGGGAAGGCAACCTGCTACCTGCGTTGCCTGAAGAAACCATGGCCAAGGACGAGCTGGGCTGCTGTCCCCAACAGGCTGCTTCTAGACAGCACCCCAGGCCTGAAACTCATTCTCACTTACCCAATGCAACCTGCCAGACTCCTGTCCCTGCAAGATCAGTGGCTAAAGGTGAATGCAGAGGCGCGATCAGCTCCAGATTTCCAAAGGAAAACGTTATTTTTTTACCCCCATGGAAACAAATAAAGGCCTCCTTAAAAAAGGTGATGCTGTTGGTCTCATTAAGAAACCCACCTTGTTCTTAGCAAAGCGTGGATCCTCCCCAGTCCTGTCTTTCTCTCTGAAAGCCACTCGATAAATGCAAGGCCCCGTGCTGTAACCCTTTGAAACTCCCTTACCGTAACAACTTAGTGCTGCACTCGGATCTGTGCACAGTTTTCTACGAGATCAGCCCAGCTACAACCAGCAGAACCCAGCCCAAACTTACAAAAACCATCGATGTTAAAAAGCACGTTGCATTTTTCTTTCCCCAGACGTTTTAAACATCATCAGAGACCCGTCCCAGCGCGTTACCATCCTCCCATCACCCTGCCCTGAATCCCCACGCTCACAGCAAGGAGCAGCCAAGAGCGCTCCGCCTCGAGCCCCAGCACAGCGTTGAGCACAGACCCCGTTTTGGGGCAGTGACAGTCGAGTTAAAAAACAAACCCCATTTCCATCCGAGTCAAGAAATCAGAGACCAAAAATCGCGCCCGGCTCATGCTGCACGCAGCCAGCTGTCTCTTTAGGAACAGATCAGATTTAACAGCTCCACGGCAGGCCAAAAATAAAACGTTACCCAAAAAGAGCTTCAGCACTGCCCACTCCTGCCCAAGGGGACGCAGGCACAGGCTGCCACTCACCTCTCGGGCTCCCACCCTAAAGCAGCAGACTGTTGCTTTAGGACCTAGGATCCTCAGGACCTAATGCAGAGGGAGAAACTAATTAACAGGCACCTCTCTGGGAAGGAAATATAACCCAAATGCTTTATGTCTCAGCCCTTTGGGACAGCCAGCGTCAGTGCTGAAGGCCTTCACCCGGCAAAGCTCTGGGAGAAGGCTCAGTTGAAGCTGCCAGGTAAAGGAGAGCAGTGTTTTAGGGGATGTTTTAGGGTATTTGTGCTACAAAATGCTGCAGACACGCCTCTGAAATGTGCAAAAAGCCCAGGGAAGCGTCGTGACAGCTGCAAGAAAAAAAAATAATAAAAAAAAAAACTTTGCCCTGGCCAACATTCGCGTAACGAAATTACAGTTTCACTCCAGGGAAAAAGGAAAGAGCACTTAAGTTTTGTTTAGATTAAAGTGCTGCAAGCCACACCACTTATCTGCTATCAGAGCAGACTGCAGGGCTGCTCCGATGATAATTCAGTAATGAGGTAACTGCAATTGGAAGGTATGCAATTAGGTCCATCTCCTCCTCCTCCCTCCCCCTAGAAAGCAAGCAAGCAAGCAGACGTTATCGCATCTCCCTGCAGCTCTGCTACCCTCGCCACTTAAAATACCTACAAAGCAGAGCTGTCACAAGCTGCTAACGAGCCAGACCCAGGGAAGCACGCTCAGCATCTCCCCAGAAGGAAGCTCGGCTTCCTGGGATGTGTTCTCAGCCCCCACACAAGGTTAACGTGCCTGCTGCTCCAGTAAAGGCAGTGGTAAAAGGGAAAAGGACTGCTGCTCCTGCTGGCCTTTCCCTTGGAGCATCCTCACCAAGCCTCCTGGGTGAATGAAACCTGCTGAGGCTTTGCTGAGCCCAGCCTGGAAGTGCTGGCTGGTTTTACCCAAATAATTCGCACCCCATCTTACCTGAGGGAGCTGCAGGTGGTTCCTTGCACAGCTGAGGCTTATATATGGGACACGGCAGAGGCCCCGGACATCCCAAAGCCAAGCTGCATCTCCCAGTAACCCTCTGCTTCCACTCTGCAACTGATAAAATTCGTTCCTGCTCATCCCTCCTCCCCCCAGCCCAGTAACACCAATTAAACACCAAATTATTTCACTAAATATCCGACCTCCCCCAGCTGGCTGTGACTCCCCAGCAAAGCTCTGGGACCACCAACTTCTACCCTATTGGTTTTTGGTTTGGTTGGTCTTTTTTTTTCACAACACAACTCCTTTCTGGTGTGCTCTGTAAAACAAGGAAAGGCTCAAGACATGGGGAATTCCCCCGCCCCTAAAAATTAAAATAACGATAATTAAAGAAAAAAACAAACTTATAACCAATATTAGCATAAGCAGCAACATCTGTGAACTTTCTCTGTCTGGCTCCTCTACAGATGCAACGATTTTGCAGTCAGATTAAGTTCCTAGATGTTTTTTTTTATAACAAGTTCTACCAAATTTCTTAGAAATCCGCTCCCCAAAGACAAAAGCAGCATCCCAACAGGAGACTGGTGGGTGCCTTCACTTCTTCAGATTCATTCAGCCCGGGGATGAAGCTGTATTGAAGTTAACTTCATGCTCTTAATACACAAACCTTTCCTCTGTGGCCACATCTACTGATCCAAAAAAGAAAAATGTGGGGGAAAAACCCTTTTAGGGTAAGAACTATGCAAAATTCAGCAGAGATGTTTGTTACAGAGGTCTGTAAACTCCTCCTGTTCATCTCCCAGCTCACCCCGAAGCCTACAAGCTGCCATCTCACCGGCCACCACTCGAACAGTGGTTGGGAGCTGTCGGGGCACGGCAAAGCCATCATTAGGAGAACTGGTTGAGTCTCCTGCCGGGGCCATCTCGTGCATCAGCAGCGAGGGAGCGTGTCTCACCGCTCGAACCACTCCGGGCTCCCCGTCACAGGCCTGCAGTGGTGTGTTAAAAGAGAACTCCCCGTGACCGACATCAAAGCCACGTCCCCAGCTGCTTCTGCTGAGCCACCAATTTAAAGCGAGTTATTATGCGTCTTAATATGACTACATCTGCCCGGCTGCTGCTAAAAAAAAATGTGTAAGCACTCTACGAGAAATATGTTTACGTGTGTTTGTTTTTTTCCTTAATGCTAAAGCTGGATTCGGTGCCATCAGTGATCCTCCAAAAGCCAGAATTTCCAAAGGGCTGGCAGATTTACTTCGATTTTGGGTACATAAGCAAGCACTCTTTGCTTTACTTCATTCACTTGTTTGTTCAGACAGTTACCTCATTAAAAAAAGAATAAATGACAGGAGAGTGCCACCCTCCTTTAGGAAGGAAATTAAATTTAAAAAAAGAAAAGTGAGAAAACAACCGTCTGTGCCACACCTCACAGTAAGCTCTGATGCCCTGATGGTTGAAGACAGGTCTAGAAACCCACTTGCAGGGTAGAGACTTGCCTTAAAGGATTTTTAGGGTTCACTTACTGACTCCCTAATGTTCCCCTTGATCTACCACTAGCTCACACACACTGGTCAGCAGAGGATTGCCTGGACCTGCAGCTCAAGGTGCTGCCCCAGGCAGGGGGCACGTGCTGGCAAAGACAAATTCAGGAGAAAATCCCAGCTGTCAGAGGGAAAGCACACCAAAAGCTGAACAGGGCTGCTACAGAGGGCAAGGAGCAGCTTCGCACACGTGTTCACAGGGAGCTTCTCTCAGCCTCAGAGCCAGGAGGACAAGAGGTGCCTGTTTGGAGATGTAAACACGCGAGGACCGCAGTCGTGGAAAGAGTTTTCCAACAGAGCAGTTTTCCAACTTCATGATGGAAAGGATTTTTACACTTTGCAATAAAGACTTAGGTGAGGCAAAGCTCAGAACAAAGACCTTAATTAAGAGCTTTTTAAGTCAAAAGAGAGCTGGGTTGCCTCTAGAAGGCCATACAGCACCGGCACCCAAGCTGGGGAGCACAAACCCTGGTTGAACACCAGGGACCATCGCTCGATCCATACCAAATCCTGGTTCAACCCAGTCTCCAGACTCATTTTAAAATATAGCCTCGAGTAGGACACGTTGCAGAAAGCCAAACCACAGGCACAAGCTGTTCTTTGAAGCTTAGGTACAAGAGAAAATTGTTTCACCTACCCAGATGCAGAGGGATAGCTGCCTCCTTTGCCTTTGATGCTACAAGAGCTTTTGGAAGTGGTGAGCTGCCTGAGAAGGCCTCCAAAATCGCTTGCTGGGCTGGACAGCAGCAACACCCCAGCCTACAATGCACACAAACGTAATTATGCTGGGTCTAAACTTGAAGGAAAAAAAAAGAAAAAAGCCTTCTCAGTGATGTTAGCATGCAGAGAAAATAATAGCATGGACAAAGAAATCTCCAGAGTGACTTATGAACGAGATTTTACCCTGGCTTTCTGCCCGTTTGCAAGGAATTAAAGAGCCCAGCAATACAACCCTGATCATCCCAGGGAAGAAACTGCATTCTTCAGTGATCGACAGAACGGGAGGGAGGAGGAAAGGGGGACAAAGACACGGCACTGAAATGTCACGTAGCAAAATGGGAAGTTTCCTGAGGTACTGGGACAGAAAGCAGGCTAAGGCCACAACACAGGGAGGATAACTCAAATTTTGAAGTGAATTCAGCCTCCAGGAGGACATCAGCCAGTCCCTAACAGCTGACCACTAAAGCTGACAGCATTTCGTAGTGTAAAACTCCAATCACTTCAATATTTTGCAGATTATGGGCCGCCCTTGATTAGCTTCTAGCAAAACCAACCAGAGGAAGTCACAAGAAGAAAAGCAAACCAAGTAGAAAAGGTGCCAAACGCCTTGAAAAGATGAAAAATGTGCCCAGAACCAGCCTTTTAGTAACAGAGGGCATTTAGTAACCAGCTGTAATGATGGCTTTATATCCAAATTCTTTGTACCTTAAGAATTTATGCCAGGAGACCAGCTTCTAGCAGAATTAGGACCAGAACTGACGTGCCCTCATTTCCCCAAGGTTACGTTTCGACAACCTATCAACAACTACAACACATCAAGTGCTCTTCACGCACTCCAGAAGAGTGACTGAAGCCTCCCCTTTTAATTTTGTTGTTTTAGCATTCATTTTAAAACAATTCAACTTCAGCATTTTATTTTTTTTTAACTCAAACAACAGCAGGAATCCTGTGTTAGATCCCAGGTTGAAAGTTACTGGGGATGGCAGTATGACTTACATGTGTAAGTCACTGTAAGGAGGAAAAAAATATATATTTATTGGAGCTCACTAAATCAAAGCTTGTAAAACACCAAAAAAAAAGCACCACAAGACAAGCTAGAAGTAGCTCGGAGTTGCTAGGGATGTTTAAAGTTAATAAGATCCTGAGTTAAATGGCTGCCACTTCGGTTTGCCAACAAAATATGCAAATTTCCAAAGTTCATACATAGTAATTAGCACAGCAATAAGCAGGTCCCAACTAAGTGATGAAGTCAGCCTCGCTCTTATTTCTCCAGCAGATGGAATTAGCTGCGTGTGAAGTTATTTTTGCAATTGGAGATTGAAGATATTATCCTGAATATCAATGCTGCAAGTACTGCACCCGATAAATTGTGGTATCAGAAATCTGCAAAAAAACAACCTATTTCTTACCCATCGTCCTGGAAATGACACTAAAGAGGCCGGGGAGCACAGATTTAAGACATCATTTTTCAAGCCAACTGTGTATCTACCAACAACTTGGCTGATGTACTTTGCTGAGAGAACTTGTTTCAGTGTTAGCAGTCCGAACAGGTTCCTCCGAAGAAAAATGTCTGCTTTGACTAAAAATGCACCCTCTTGATGTGCTAATCGGCAGAGCCCAAACGAAAAGGTATCCGAACTGCAAGCTCTAAGGACGTGCTCGAACAGAAAAGTCTCTGATTTTTGCCCATTATTTCTCCCAAAAACAGGTTCAGAGGCATATCTGCCGTATATTGTCTATCACACAGAGTAATGCACAAATCCAGCCCTTCCATTCCTCCTGATTTGTCACTTTATGCTTAAACACAACCTTCTCCTAAGCAGGCAACTCGTGAGCTCCCTGCAGCAGCACGCCGAAGGACGCTGAACCGCGCGTGCCCTTGACCAAAATACTCAACCTGCGTTCCACATTCCCAATTTAATTTCTCCACGCGCACAACCCCCGGCTGCCCCAGTACAGCAAAGTCCTCTCAAAGACACCCAAAGACCCAGCAACTTTTCTCAGCGCTGGGCTGAACGAGCCCTGGTGTTTATGGGGGGCAGTCCCTGCCATGCTCGGGGGCACCCAGGATAAGCAGACACACCTCGAGGTCAACCCTAACCACAGTTACAAGAAGTGATGGGGAAGCCTCTTGTTTTGCATCAGAGGCACCAGCTTCTGAACAGAAAGGATGGTGCTAAAGGAAGCCACAAATCCTGATATGTTTACGCTGTTTTGTAGCTCCAGAAAAGGTTTCCAGAACCTTTGGATGCTGCTAGAAAAACCCCAAAGCTCCAAATGTTTAAAGGGACATAGAGCAGAGAAGGGAAAGCCTAAATCTAAGTCGTTTAAAAGGCAAATGTGCGATATTCTGGATATATATGCTATTAACCAAAGTCATCCAACATTAAAAATCTACATTCTGAAAGCAGTAGGCAACCCTGGCTGAAACCAAGCGAGAATTCTCCCACAAACACACTTCTGTGGCCAAATGAAATACTGCATGCAAGTAAGAACGCAAGCGCTTACACCTACCGTGGCTTTTTGGGTGTTCCCCCCCCCCCTCTCAGCTAGGGAGTCTCATTTATCTCAAAGCAATCAAAAGAAAACACTTCGACTTCTAAAGTGAGAAAAGCTGCAGAAACTAAAGCCCCACCTGGCAGGAACAAACAATATTTGAGAAATAAAGAGGAGATTCTCCACGTTAGGGGAAAGGATGAAAACACCTCTGAATAATTTACTTTGCATAGTCCAATGCCTGCCAACACAGCTCCACAAATCCCACGGTAGTTCAGATAATTCCCATTCCTAAAGCTGAAAAAGCTGGATTGAATATTAGCAACATTAATTGTGTGATATGCCCTGAATGATGCAAGAACAAGTAGTTAAGTGAACCACAGCATCTGCTGAATTTTTAATCACTGGTTGTTTTGCTGCGAGGCAGAGGAAGGTTGTATATCAGCTTCCAAGCGTTGCAAAGAATGGCACGTTAGGACACCAAGATTTCAACTGGCAGAAATTCAGCCTCCGTGCTACCAAAATGCCAGCACTTCGCTGTGAACTGCAGACGTAACAGCCTCTGAAGGAGGTTTTTTTAATCATGTGGAAGAGAACGCTATTTTCTGCACCCCAAGGTAAGAGTCAGCCGTTGCTGAATAATTAAAAAAATATATGAAATTTTCTTAACAGCCATTTACACGCCCCTCTGTAGTCTATTTTTACCCCAAGAACATTATTATTAGGCAGTCACGCAGCTGCCCAGCAGCAACGCTTTATGAAGGAGGCAGCAGAGCCTCGGATGTGTAGGAAGGTGATTTGTGTAAACATTCACCTCGCCCCTGTACTGCAACTGCAACAAGTCTCGGCATCCTTGAGCCATATTTAATGCATCTGCCTCCGACCCTCATCGCACTGATGCTGCAGAGACCCAGCTTGCAGCAGGTACTGGCTACACAAGCACCACTGACACAAGCTGCACCCTACAACAAGCCCACCCTACAAGAAAGCCAGTCCTGCTGTGCTTTCACTGCTTTTGATGCCAAAAGCAGCCAGATGAAAGCTGAACACCACCCCCACCGTGGTGCTTCTCCAGTTATGCTACAGGCATAAGGCTGCAACAGCAGGATTAGCAAGTGATACAGCAGATATTCTACAAGAAGGGAGAAAAAAATATGATTATGATCATTATTTGGGGAATAAACACATACTAATTCCTCAACTATACCCAGAATCTACATGATGGGCAGTTATCCTGATTCATTTGGGTGGGAGGTTGGGGGGGGATGACATTATTAAGAGAAAAACATTCATGTATTAAACACAAATTTTCAAGTCTGTCACACAGACTTGAATAGATTCTAACTTTACTAAGTTATTCGAGCCAAAATAGCTTAGGAAACAAGACCAGTAAAACGTGGTACAAATAAAAACAGAGCAGCCACATATACCAAAGCAGCATTCCTGCGCCTCCTTCCCTGCAGAGCTTACAAAACCAGGCAGCAGATCTCTAACCAGCCACTTTCGCTGGACTAAAACCTCCTTCAAAGCTTCAACGTCCAGACAGGAACATCTCGGATTGAATCCAAATAATCCACAAGGGACAAAAAAGCACTAGACTGGGTCAAGAGACACGCGTGCTTGCAAAGCCACGTTATCTTTAATGACAGCCTTAGTACCAGTCCTGTGTTTTCCTTGTAGGTTCAGCTACAAGGAGTACACGAAAAATTGCTCCTCTCACTACAAGCAGGTATCAGACCTGCACTGCCCTGATGGGCAAAGGGAATAGATGAAAAGACACCACTGGAATGATGAAACACGCAATATCTGAGGGTAGTAAAGCAACTGATGCTCGAGGATTACACTGAATCGCTTGTTTTGTTAAGCTACAGGGTGTCAAAAAACAAAATAACACGTTATGATGAAGACATTGATTCCTGGAACCTCAAGAGACAGCAGGCAGGTAGTATCTTGGGCCTACTACACTTTTTGGGGCACCTCTGTACCCCAAAAGCACAGCCTAGCATGGGAACTACAGGCAAGTCCCTGCACGCACAGGCTGTAGATGCGAGCTGGTACTCGAGCAGGCTGGAGCTCACGGTCCAGCACCATGGTACGCACCTGCAGCACGCTGTGGGACGAGCTTCCAGCTTTAAGGGGCATGCAAAGGGTGTTTTACATGCCTGTAAGAAAATCAGTGGCAGCTCGGCGCTTGACAAGTCACTCACGCCCGTTCACGATCCTTATCTAAATGGAGTGAAGATTTTAAAGAGCATTTAAGAGCAAGGGAAACACATAAAGCTTCCTCCTCAGCCTCTGCTTGTTCTCCAATTAAATATGAAAGAGACAACTTAGTCATACAGAGCGTGCAAGATGATTTTAAGACACTGGTATTAAATCAAATCCCACAACTTTTCACACCTATTAAAACGGGACTTTGTCATTTAAAGGGGAGATTTTGATCAGCGCGATGCAATTAACAGACACTGCCTTTGTTACCAGCCTGCTCCTGATGAAGCACAGACTCCCTGACATTCCATCTCTTCCCCTCAAAGGCGCTGCGCTACAGCAAAATTTATGGTTTTACCACGTAAGAGGAGAATTTGGGCATATTACCTTCAAAACCAGTCAATAAGGCTCTTTCACTCAGGCGCAGGGAAGGCGGGCGGCTGCTGGAAAGCAATACAGGGCACTCCCTTTCCCCTCCCCTCAGGACCAAAAACGCTGCATTCAAAACACTCCCATCCCCTGCAGCAAGGGATTAGCCATTTATTAAAAAGGAATCAAAACACTGTAAAAAAAAAAAAAAAGCTTCCAGTTAAGATTTCAAGTGCAAAAAAGCAACTCTGGTGCAGCTGGAGTCGCAGTAGGAATTCCACTGCTCACCAAAGAACAAGTTGCTCAGATGTGTGCAGGATGTCATTTGTCCGACTGTGCTGTTCACATCGCTCAAAAGGAGCACAGAAATAGATTTATTTCATTATTTTTTTCTCCAAGTGAGTCATTTTGCTGCCACCGCATTCGGCACTAACAACATTAACAACCTCCAGGCATTCACGGTTTCGACTTTGGACCTCCAAAACAGCTGCCTACCTCCACTTTTTTTTTTCTTTTTCCTTTTTCCTCCTTTTTTGGCTCTTCTCTAGGGGGTGACAGACAATCCTAAAAGGCCAATTATGTAAAACCCTTCAGCCGAGAAAACACGAAGCCCTACGCAAACATTCATTAAGGGCTCGCGGCTCTTCCAGCCTACCCCGCCAGCTCGCCAGTTCAAAGCCGCCTCGGCTATCTCCAGAGCCACCAAAACTGGATCCCGAGAGCAGCCTAACCCCGATAGCATGCGGCACGGCAGGGTGAACAGCTCGGCTATTTACCCAGCTTCACGGGCAGGTTTTACAGCCCGAGCTCCCGTGGCCGTGTTGGTTGTTTCCGAGCGGTGATGCCTACGGCCGCTGACACCTCGCAGGTCAAGGCGCTATCCCCACGTTTTGCGCTGATGTAAGGCGATTTTTAGGTTTTTATTCCCACTGGAAGCCAGTCATCCACCTGGGTTTAGTGAAGGAATTACAAGCCAGGCTCGCTGCTTCAAGCGAGGCCTCGGAGGAAGTAATTTGGGGAAGAAATCGCTTCCCCAGCGACTGGACTTTTCACCTTTCCTTCGCTCCTTGCACCACTCCCACGTGCAGGCGCTGTTGGAGGCACCACCCGCGGCACCCAGCCCTGCTAAAAACCGTATTTTTGGGTCACTTTGGGATTTACAGAGACCGCCACAACCCCTTCTCCTCAGGGCCAGCAGGCGCAGCGCAGCACCGGGGGCGGCAGCAGCGCTCTGCCCACGGGCTGAGGAGGCAGGGACCGGTCTCGGCCACCCGTGGGGAAGCCACCCGGGGTCAGAGCAGCCACCCAGGCCGGGACAACCCCGTGAAAACAGCCGGGGAACGGCATTGATCCATCGGAGCCCACGGGCGGCCCTACCGCGGGGCTGCCGCCCTGTCAAAGCGGGCGGGAAGGCCACGGGGAGCGCTGCCAGGGGAAGGGGGCAGCGCAGCCAGCACCCCCTCCCCGCAGCGCAGAGCGAGGCTCCCGAGGGAGAAAATCACCCCGAGGGAGAAAAATAAAACCCAAGGAGACCGAGAGGGCGGCTCGAACCGAGGGGAACCGGCCTTGGAGGCGCCTTTCCCCGCCGCGCAGCCCCGGCCCGGCGGGCAGCCAGCGGCCCCTCGGCGGCCCCCGCAGCCGCCATGGCCGGCAGGGAGCGGGGCGGTGCGTGCGGGGCCTCCCTGCCGGCCTCCAACCCACTCCCCCCCCGGCCCCAGAAGCCTACCCGCAGCGGGGCTGCCGAGCTCCGGCGGGGACGAGGAGGGGGCGTCCCGGCGGCGAGCTGCTGGGAGCCGCCGAGCCCGGGCTCGGCTCGGCGCGGCCGGATCCCCCCCCTCCTCCTCCCCTCCTCCTTCTCCCCTCCTCCTTCTCCCCAACCTCCTTGCACCGAGCAGCCGCGGCGGGAGGAGCCGGGCCGGCCCAGCTCCAATCCCTGCCCGGGGCGGAGCGGGGAGGGCCGGGGACTGGGAGCGGGGACGGGCTTCGCTTCGCCGGGGAGGGACGGGGAAGCGCCGCCCGCCCCCAGCGCCGTGCCAGGCACCGGCCGCCCCGCCGCCCTGCCGCGCCAGGCAGCGCCGGGAAGGGGCCGGGGACCCTCCTCAGAGCACCCCGAGCTCTCCTCAGAGCCCCCAGAGCCTTCCTCAGATCCCCCAGAGCCCTCATCAGAGCCTCGGAGCTTCGCCTTGGAGCCCCCCGAGCCCTCCTCAGAGCCTTGCTTCAGAGCCCCCCGAGCCCGCCTCAGAGCCTCGCCTCGAAGTCCCCCGAGCCCTCTTCAGAGTCCCCTGAGCCTTCCTCAGAGCCCCCCAAGCCCTTCTCAGATCCCCTCAAGCCCTCCTCAGAGCCTCTGAGCTTTGCCTCAGAGCCCCCTGAGCCCTCCTCAGAGCCTCAGAGTTTTGTTTTAGATCCCCCCAAGACCTCCTCAGATCCTCCAGAGCCTTCCTCAGAGCCCCCCTAGCCCTCCTCAGATCCTTGGAGCTTCGCCTCAGAGCCCCCCTGGCCCTCCTCACAGCCCCGTGAGCCTTCCTCAGAGCCTCAGAGCTTTGCTTCAGAGCCCCCCGAGCCCTCCTCAGAGCCCCGGAGCTTCCCCTCAGAGCCCCCCGAGCCCTCCTCAGAGCAGGGCCCGGGGTCTGTGAAACCTGGCTGCCTTCTCCCCAGCGCCATGCCCCGAAGTTTGAGGCCCTCGGGGTGTTTCGAGGGGTGTTTGCCATGGGGTGTTGAGGTTTGGGGTTGAACGCCGCTGTGGTGGGTGCTGTGAGGTGTCCACCGACACGGCACTGAAAGCAGCTGCTTGGTGGCACTGACATTCATAGCTCTACTGCAGTGATAACTGACTAAAAAAAACACACAGGCCTCCCCTGGTGACCAAAGGATCTTGTTTGATAGACCTTCTGGCTTTAAAATCTACTTAAGTCCCAGCTGACGGGCAAAAGGAGTTACTGGGATGTTACTGGGTGTGCTGGAAGTGTTTGTAAAGGGTTCATCCTTCAGGTGTTCTGTGACCCATACAGTAACACCCGCCTCCCCAGCACAGCGCCAGCCTCGTCAGCTGGCTTGTTCCACGGGTGTTTCCTCCCCAGCACAACAACTAAATGCACTTTGTCATCGTTTGTGTGGTTGCTACCCTTGGCAGAGAAAAACAAGCTCGTTTTCCTGGTGTGGCTGTATCCAGGAGGCACTGTGGCATGGACCCTGGACACTGGTTCGTCATGCAGCCGTCATCCTAGCTGTTTGCTGTGCTGTCCTGCCCAGGGAAACCCTCAGCCTGCAGGGAGAAAGAGACAGGAACCGGAGAAATCCTCACAACCAAGGGCACTGAGAACCACAGTGAAATTTAAAGGGAAGGCATTGAGAAAAGGAGAATTAAGTTGTATCACCAGATGGTAGCCTGAGACGAAGGGTTTCCTGTAAGAAGAAGCCTCCCCCCTCCTCAAAAGAAGATTTCAGCAGTTCATGTCTGCTTAGAGAGGAAGAGGGAGCAATGCAGGTCCCTGTGGGGGGACCACAGATGATCCAGGGTGAGAGCAGGACCAGGGCTCCCTGTAGCAAACCACAAATGCAATACTACAAGAAGATCCTCGAGACCAGCCTCAAGCAAAAAAGCAGTGTAACTGTGTCAGCACAGCACTGTGCCCCAATAGTCCTGCTGAAGGGCAGAGCCAAGGCACAGGATCGCATTAACACGGCACCTTGGATGGCTGAGGTCCCAAAATCTATGGGGTCCCTGTTGACCACAGCCACTATACACACAGATGAAGAGATCACGGGAAGGGAGATACAGGTAAAATGATTCGCTCAAGGTCAAATACCAGATCAGTGAGAGGACTGAAAACAGAACATGCAGTTCCTCATCTCTCCAGCACTTTCTCCTCAGGACCATAACAAAACCCCAGAATAACGGGATTTAGCTGCTGGTGACACAGTAGCTTCACATGTTCCAGGGGAAAATCATGTGTTTTGGTATAGGCCCACGGTGATTTTTTTGCACACGTGGAAAAGAGCCTTTTTACTAGCACAGCACCACAGTTCAGTGACGCACACAAGGACAAGATATCTCCAGATGACTTAAATGGGAATGAAATATGTGCCCTGTCATATTAGAAAAAGGCCCCACGACTGTACAGACCCAATCTTTTGTTGTAAGTTGATAAAGACAGATGAATGCCATTTGCTGCTAAGTGACTTCTAATGGTTAAATAACCTTACCCCCACCCCTTGCCCTCCCCCCCCCCCCCCCCCCCCCCCCCCCCCCCAGGCATTTAGTGATAATATAAGAAAGATTTTGCACATTGTTTAGCTTACATGGCCATCTGGCACTTTTGCATTTCAGTAGCCTTGAACATCGAAAAAAACAATAGATAAAGAAAACTTGTCCTATCTTATCAGAGACCTGGAGAAGTTTAACTCTGTCAGAGTACATAGGATTAACCAAGTCCCTACAGCTTTTCTAGAGTTTCCATCTTAATTAGTGGTCATATTCCACAAAGCTTTTCATTGTCGTACACTCTAAATCAGGCTGTTCCTTATCTCCTTTGTGTTTGTTTTAGCCGTGAGACTCTTAACTCTAGCAGTCACTTCCAGCTTCCACATGAGATGCTTCTGGGTGATGGAGACACATGCTGAGAAAAAAACACATATGGGTTTTAACCCAAGCTAAAAAATTACTGGAGTCTTGTCTAAGCTTGGGAAAGGGATGCGCTTTTGAAATCAAAACACAATGGCCTAACTCAATTAGAAACGTACTTAATGCTGCTGAAACATCATCTACCGCTGCACTAAGCGGTTTCTTCATCTGCTTTTGCTAAAGGGGATAACTGTACAATTCACCCACGGTAACCCACTCCACACATGTCCCTGGAAACACCACAAAATTTGGTTTCAACTCAGCAGTGGCTTAAGGTTGATCCTGTGTTTGTTCCTAGGTTAATTCCCGCTCCCCTCTTTCATGGAAGAAAACCAAGGTCTGAGCCTGTTTGGAAACAAATGTGATTTCATTAAGAGTGTGGCTTTGGGGCCACAAAGCTTGGAGCTTGAAACCAGCTGTGGGATGCTTTCACCTGTAGTGCTAGAGTGGGTAGGATTTTTGACTGAAATCTGTAACAGCAGGGAACATTCGGTGTAAACACGATGTAAATAACAGAAGATGTGAAGATATGCAGAGATAAAAACTACCCAGCCTTTGTTTCCAACCATTTGTGTTTTATGCTTCACATTATAAGATTGCTAGTTTGCATTTTAGACTTGATCCTGCGGAAGATTGGAGCTTATAAATGTGCCACGACGTCTGACTGTTAGGCTATCAGGCTGCCAGAGTGCAACAAAATACCTCGAGTCGGGTACCTCGCCTCTCTATTTATAGCCAGGGGAGTGTCAGACACCTCTCAAGGGCGAGTGGAAACTCCCACCTCCTGAGACCTGCTTGCAGGAGACATCAAAAAGGGGGACGTATTCGGCTCACTCTGCATAGCCAGCGTGTTCCTGCCAGATTGGGGTGGAGGGTGCACACAGCTGGGGTTTACGAGTCTACAAGCCCTCTTTGAAAGAACAGAGCAAGGCTACCATTTTATTTTTAACACCGTGGGCTGTAGGGGTTGTATCTGATGTGGTTTGTTGCATGTACTAATCTAGATGGTAGAGCAAATACCCAGGGAAGGGAAGGTGCTCTCCAAGCTCTCCTTATCCTGGTGAGACTCCAAACACGTATCTTCTGCCTGGTCCAAGCTGGATTTCTACCTGGTCCAAGCAGGTGGGATAGCTTACTCACTCCCCAGACATTAAGGTGTTGCTGGATCACTATTTCACACTCCTGTTAAAAATGTTCTACTGCATAAAACGAAATTCAAAAACAGATCAAGAAAATGCAGTGGAAGACGTAACTGTTTCCCAGTTGTTAGAAGGCGGAATTCATCTTCTATTTTCTGCTGCTGCAATTTGTTCCAGTTTTTAAACTAGCAACTGCTTTATGTTTCAGAAATGAGAACAACAGCCAGCGCACTGTGATGGCTTTGCTGCATAGCTCTTGACCAAGAGACTACCAAATAATTTGGCTGGAGGACTACTCTGTGCCCTCCCAACGTGCCATGGTCCATGCAAAGGAGTTCACCTGCTATGGCCTTTATCTCTTTGATACCAGGTGAATGGCAAGCATGTGATGTTTTGGACTATAGCTTTATATCTGCATTTGCCTAACCTTTCAACAAAAATACATTCAGAAATTTTAAGTATTTCTGGTCTAAATTTGGGGATAAGTTTTCCTACGTGCTCCATATTGCTCTTCAATAAGGGGCATTTATGCAAGGGTAGAAAGAATTACCCTCACAAAGCACCATATCCCATATCAAAGAATGACAGGAAGAGTAGAAAGAACAAGTTAGCGGATTTCCACGTAATGATCTTGGTACAAAATGTATCTGATAATGATAGTTATATTGTCAAGAAACAGAGAAATCCAAATTGGTTCTTTAAGCTTCAATGGGTAAAATGTAGGCATATTATCACAAAATCATCAGGACTCTGTGAGAATGACACGTTTAATCTTTCAGGCATGTATAATATCTGTACAGGATAATGAGTTTATATATTCATATTGCTTGTTTATCTCTATTAAATGGTAATGTGTTTATTCCCTTAACACAATAAAATCAGTAGCAATCAGGAATTTGGATGGGAAGAAAAAAAAAAAGTATTACCATGTTTTACCTTAAAGTGGGACTGCGATACTTTAAAATCATGGCATTACTCATATAAACAAACAATTACGGTGACCTAGATATTGTTAGTGGAAGGTGTAACTGCAGCATGGGAAGGAAACCCATTCTGGCTGTAACGTAACCAGCTCAGGTAACAACCAGCAAAGGTGCACGGCAGAGTCTGAGCTTGCCAAGGACCTGAGTCAGGTACTTGGGTTACCAGTCTGCACTGAAGTGTGCACTGCCACGTTATCGTTGATGTTGTTATCTGAGCTAGTGAGATTAAAGTCCAGGCTGTAGTGCAGTCAGACTTCCTAAATTCGGTATCCGCCCCCACATGAGTAGAAACTAACTCAACAAATGCTCCAGCCTAGGTGTTCCATTGTTTCAACACATATTCTTCAGGTTCTGGTATGCAGTATGAAAGAATGATTTTTGGTTGGAAGGACGACACTCCCAAACCATTTTTTTTTCCCAAAACCTGTGGTTCAAGATGTCTACAGTGATGATATCATAAGGTAGAACTGTGGAATGCCCTCAAATTCCAATGATTCAGGAAAAAAAAGGGGAGTAACAAAATGCACCAAACACTCAGGACTGCATTGCATTGAACTCTGTGGGCAGAGTCTACAGATACAAAGTCCTGTAGCTCTATTGTTTTATCAGATCTTTTTTATACCAGTGGGGAATCCAGCAGCAGTCAATAAACTCCAGACTGATCTTTTATCCAATACCTAACGGGGTAGTGGTATAGGAACAATAATAAAGTAAGTCCATTACCTCCTATAGAAAGGGGTAATGGCTTTCAACTAAAAGAGGGTAGATTTAGGTTAGATATAAGGAATAAATTCTTCACTATGAGGGTGATGAGGCCCTGGTGCAGGCTGCCCTGAGGAGCTGTGGCTGCCTCATCCCTGGCAGTGCCCAAGGCCAGGCTGGATGGGGCTGAGGGCAGATGGAGTTAGATAGGCTGTAAGGTCTCTTCCAGCCCAAACCAGCCTGTGAGTCTGTGATTATTTTATAGCAAATTAGTAATTTTAGAGTTCTTCTTGATGTTTAAAGTTTCTGGACCTCTGCTCTCCCCCCTGGCAGTTCACACAGGGAGCTGTGTGGTGGCGTTTCTCTGACAGCCGCACCTCATGAGGCACAGAGCAAGCCTGCAAGACGGAGCGCTGCTGCGGGAAGCAGCTCTGCCTCCTGACCGAACGGTCTTTAATCCACTCATCGCTGTCTTCTCTCACTGTAATCGTGTTTAAATAAAAGTGTACCGCCTGTTTACTGTAACACAGCCCGGAGACGCCGCATTTTTACGCTGTTTGCAAGGTATGGCCGTCATCCAGCACTGACCATACCCAGCACTCAGCAGTTTCCTGTCTGGCACTCATCTTTCCTCATCTGCCAACCTACATTTTGGCGGCGCCACCAAGCGGCTGCTTTCCTCATTAACACTTTTGACGTTTTAATTTCGCAGGTTTTTGTAAACAAGCGCAGCACGAGCTGCCGGGCACCTGAGGAAGACCTCGAACAGGAGCCACCCCAGCAAACCTGGGGTCGCTGTGACATGAAGAAAACGGGAGATGAGGGCTTAGAATAAACGTGGAGGATATGTGATGGGCTAGGGATACATTTTTTAAGTGTTTTGGTTAGGCGAGCCTTGAAACATCTGAAAATTCCTGCAGTGCTTGGGAGTCTCACACAGATCTTTATTCTTGCCCTGACAAAACTCATCAGGATCCAAGATTTGGCCTATGTTTTTATGGCTGACACCCAGCGGCCCGCCCTTCACGCGTTCCTGCACCGCGGGACCCGCTGACGGGACCCGCTGCGCCCCGCCGCCCCCTCAGCCCCCTCAGGCCGCCGCCATCTTAGAGTGGAGCGCGGCAACCCCTCACCGCCTCCCCTCCCATCCAAGCCCCGCCCCCTCGCCTCCACACAACCAATGAGCACCAAGCACAGCTCGGGCGGCGACCAATAAACACCCGGATCCGCGAGTTAGGTTCCGCCCACCGGCTGGCCGTTGGGGGCTGACCAATGAGAGCGCGCGGATGGGCCGGGGCTGGCCAATGAGCGCCGGGAGGTGAGATTTGAAAGTGAGCGGGGAGGACGCGGGGAGAGGGGTGCTGAGGTCGGGCAGGTACGGGCGGGACGGGGGCTGGGGGGGGCGGCTCTGAGGTGGCTTTGGGGACTCTGAGAGGAGTTTGGGGGCTCTGAGGGAGTTTGGGGGGTTCTGAGAGGATTTTGGGGGCTCTGAGGGATTTTGGGGGGCTCTCCCAGGAGGTTTCCCTCCCTGTCTCCTCCACAAGTCATCCTTGTGCTTCTTCAGCTGTAATTTAGCTCGCGTGCATTAACTATTTCCGAGTCTTTCCCTTTATATAAAGATTTCCCTTTATATAAAGCTCTGTCCCCTCCTGCTATTAATCTCGCCTTGCCTTTATGCCGATTTAAATCTTAATTATCCTTCAAGTCCTGCTTGGGCAAGGTGCTACTCCAAAAATAAATAAATAAATAAAAATCTGGGGGTGGTACTTTTGTATTACAAATAAGGGGAAGTTTTCCTCTATCTCTGCTTCCATAATGTTTAAAGTTTTAGGTAAATTCCTCCGTAGGGCTACTTGAAAGTAGTTTACTTGCTCTTGGTGCTTATTCATGGCAGAAAGGCTTAGGTGGACGTGTGCTACAGGAGCTAGAAAAATGCTGTTTAAAATAGAAGGTAAAGTGTTAAAATGCTTATTAAAGTCTAAAACAAATGCAGCTTGCTGTAAGCTTGTCTGTGCATAGCACCACCTATGCTGTGGTTATAGGCATATCAACTTTTACCAAGGCACCGAATTAAACATTATGCATGCAATCTAGGTCTATTGCTGTGTATAGAGCACATAAAGGAGCCCCAGGCACAGGGAACTTGTCCTACAAGTTGTTGGAGATCTGGGGACTCACAAGGTTTAGAACAGGTCAGGCAGAAGCTTTGTCAGCTGATCATCAAACATTTGGACAACAGCTCCTCCTCTGCTCCCCTTTCTTTGCCCAGTGATTGCAGAGACCCAACCTGTAAACTACTTCCAAAAAACTAAAGGAAGAGGTGAGGAAAAACAAACATTTTGATTTTAATAAAGCCCATCCCTGGGAGAGATGAACTCCCTAAGATAAGAAGCCTGCTAGCTGTCACAATTCTGAGAAGAAATCCAACAGTAAATAGGGTGACAGTGGAGAGACGGCTCTTGGAGCTTATGGGGGTGGCACACCTAATATTAGCTCAGAAGTGGGGAGTTGGAAACAATCGCAGAGTTTCACATGGAAGAAATGCTCTTTTAGTTGGATAAACTTCTTAGCCAGACCTCTCGATTTCTTATATATTAATTTAAACACCACAGAGGATGAGTGTAGAGGCTTGATGTTAGCTGCTGCTTTTAGGAATGGTTTTCCTTCAGGAAGCACGAGAGATCTGCTTCTTCTAGGAGGCAGATTGTAGCAATATACTGCCACCAACTTTTCTTAATGGTTTTCCATAACACCACAGGAACGACTAACAAGATCAGTCCCAAGATGATTATTGGAGAAGCTCAGGGTTTAACCTTCCTTAAACACGTACCTGTAAAGCGGGATAAATGTGACCCATGAGCTACAGTAGTTAGTCTGATCATTTGCAATCATTATTAATTATCTGGCATCTTTAATGAATCTCTGAAAGTTGGAACATAAAATGAGATGAGATGTAAGATGCTTGATATTAATCAGGTGGCACTGACGTGCACCAGCTCTTCCAAGATTGTGTGGAAGAGATTCAGCTTCTGATCTGAGTACTTTAAGCAGAGTTTTGCTTTTATTCCCATTTGATCATTTATTCTTCCTCTCGCCATTTTGCTCTCCTGCTCCGCTAAGCTTATTGGGAGAAAAAACTAAAATATACCCATTTACATTTCTGACTCATACATAGCCTCCAGTATCTATTCCAAGCCCTTCCAGATGGCTGTGGAAGTGCTGTTGGTGCTGTGCAAGTTACTCGGTACGTGAGTACTGCCATGAAGTTGGGCACAAGGGGCTGCCACTGCCAGCTCCAGAATGCAGACTTTGTTTTCCTTCTTAGGGCAGTTCAGATTCTCTCCATGCTTTTTCACGAGGTATATATAATTTAAGAGCACACCGTTGTTTGTTTCTGCTTATTTTGGTATTCTGTTTTTTCTGACATCAAGGTTTTCAGTTAGGTCTCTGGTGTTCATTTTTGGCTTGAGATACTGGTAGCAAATGGTATTTTTTGACTAAGAAATCCTGTATAGCCATGGTCAAGGCTGATCTTTTCTGTCCAGCTCGCTAACTATTCCTTTTGTTTGGCCAAAGCTCTTTGTCTTGAAGTTGAGAACCTCTGTACTGACCTTTGTTAGTTATTTAGCTTAGCAGTATCACCCTTCTTACCCTAAAATTGTTTTCTTTAAGATGAGGTTTCTAAAGCACCCTGGTTGAAGGGGCAGGCAGAGTAAGAGCAATTACAAGAACTGAGCCTGACCTCTCCAGGAAGCATGAAAACCCTCAGCAAAAAGGTTTTGGGTGGGAGGCAGGCTTTGGAGCTTTTTGTGTCCCTGCTAGCACAGCATGTACAGACCAGCTGATGTTTTCATCAGGTCTTCCTCAGGTTAAAAAAGTAGGGAGAAATCCTGCTTGAAATAAACGCTATTGTGTTACAGTTGCATCCTGGAAACTCTGTGAGGAAGCAGAGCCAAGTACTCTGATGCATGACAAAAATGCCTCGCCATCAGATAGGGTATAATCTAAACGCTCAGTGGCAGTGTTGCTTCCAAGTATTGTCCTGCAGCCTTGTCATTTACTTGATGGTCTCCTTAACATGAAAAACATCTGTGTTGGGAACAGACTAGTCGGCCAGTCCCTGGCGGTGACAAAGCTTTCCCTGCTAATTTTGTCAGATTTGCTGACAGCTTGGTAAACAAACGAGCCCCTCGAATACATAAAGCAAATAATGAGGAGTCATGCTGAAATCACTATTTGTGATGTCTCTGGTACACAACAGAAATGAAGAACCCAGGGCTTTCTTTGTTCATAACATGTAAACCCTAATAAAAAGGGCAAAACAAACAGTTACAGCTTCTTTTTCCTAATCATTATGATTTTTTTGTTGTCCAGGATAACCAAGATGGCTGCTACATCCCAGTTCGCCGGTCGATACAAAAAGGATTTGAGTACAGAAACCATCAGAACAAAAGTTGCTCGCAGAAAATCCATGCTTCAGAAGGAGAACAGACACAAGTTGTTTGAAAAGGGCAGGCAGTTTGGATTGGCAGATGTCAATGTGCAGTTATCGAAAGACAGAGGAGTCTCTCAACGGAATGAGACAAGTGAGATGCGCTCTAAAGAGAACAGCAGTGTGAAACAGAGTACGTAAAGCCTAGTTTTAAAGCTTTTTAAAAATTGTTAAAAATGTCTTTAAGTGAGTTTCGTGATGTTATCCCAGGAACCAAACTGAGGTTCACATCTTAATGTGAAGGAAACGATTTAAAAACAAATGACTGCCAGTTCTTCTAACTGTCAAGCAAATGGTCTGAATACAGCTTTACCTTCCTTTATGGCTCCAGTGGTATGAATTAGCCTTTACTGTGATTTGTCTGCAGCAGACAAAGAAGAAATGCATTTGTCTATTAATATTCAATGAGAAATCTCTTAATGATTGCTCTGTTCAAGAAGTGAATAAACCTGATCTATAATCTCATCTACATATTACTGGTATCTGCCATGTGCTTAAAGCATGCTTAGCAATGGGTAATGCATATTCTAATTTTATTTTTCAAGCTGCTAGTTTCTTTGTGGGAATGGCTAAAACAATGCAGGTAACTTAAGTTTTTAGCAAGGTGATAGATCACATATAAGTCTTCAACTGAAAACTGTAGACATGTGCTTCAGAGTCTTCTACTTGCTGGCCTAGTATGTTCCTCTTGTAACTTGGAAAAAATAAATTTGCAGTTTTCCAACATATTTTCTGATTTTTCTTGGCTGAAAAATTTCTGTGATGCTGTGTAATATTCCTGTCTTCATGTTTGCTTCAGAACAACCTACAGATGCAGCCTCCAAGAGGATCGATGAGCGCAAGGTAATGCTTCAGCGCTATAAAGAAGAAAAGGAACTTCGAAAACTAAAAGAGCAAAGAGAGAAAGCAAAAAAGGGTGTGTTTAAAGTTGGGTTGTATAGACCTACTGCACCTGGATTTCTTTCTCTGGTACCTGAAGATCCTGTGACAGTGAAGCCAAGGGAGAAGGTAATAAGAGTAATATTAAATATCTAAATTAAGTTTATGTACTGTACAGTATTACAATTTCTGTTTATATACAAAACTATGCATGTTATGTGAATTAAACCTTTTATAATATAAATTCTTTATAAATATTTTATAATAAGGAACAATAGGGGAGCATTTTCCTTCTTTTTGTAAACAAAGCAGGAAATAATATAAATGATGTGTTAATTTTTGGTTTTGCGTGTGTTCTCAGTTCAGAAATTACAGCAGTTCATCTGCAAATGAAGTAGCCAAGTTATTTTAGAACTGGTGACTGGTATTTAGTCCATCTGACTAAATTTCTCAAATCACAAACTTGATCCATTTTGACTCAAGTGCACAGACATGTTGCTTCTTATCCTTAAGCTTCTTGCTCACTCCAGCAGTGATGGCAGAGGGAGGAAGGAGTTGTTAACTCTTTGTTTCCTTGGGAATGTTTCCAGGCAGCTCCTGCTTTCTCTGAGAGGATTACTCGGTCAAAGGCCAAGAACCAAGCAGAAAAAGCTGTGATACCAACAACATCTAAGCCTCCTACGGTTTGTCTCTTATATAAACTTAAGTGAATCTTGCAGAAAATGATGTAATTATCCTTTAGACCATAACTCAGAATTGTATTCTGATGTGGAGTGCTGTCTCCAAGCAGGTTTTCCCAAGGAGAATGACAAATTAGGTCAGAAAGCTGTTAACCTTTTTTTTTTTGTTTTGTTTTTGAGCTGTTTTGAGCACTGTGTTGAACTGAACTACAGAGAATTTGTTTAGGTCGGTACAAACCAAAGGGAAGTGTACTGATATCCAGATTCCTTTTTCCATATGTCATATTGACCGGTGTTTGGTCCATCTGACTTTTTCAAATCACAAACTTGATCCATTTTGATTCTTGAGTGCACAGGCACTTAAATAGTCAGCAAGGAATGCAAATAAGAGTGGAGACATTAATGAGTTAAATACTTTTTGGCTTGGAGAACCAGTGAATCTCTCATGAATACAGAAAATGTGCGATGAATGCAGATTATAAAAAGTCAATTCTTTTCCTACATCACATTCTAGCTTTTAAAAGTTGAAGGTAACCCAGCAAATCAACTACATTGTTAAAACTTGTCACAAGTTTTGTATATTTTTCTTCTCTGAGTGAGAAAGAACATTTGTTTTTAAAATTCAACCTAAAAATATTCTTGCCTGTTATGCCACCTTATTTATCTACTTGTTAAAGATGAGAGATTGAGTTACCGATCAGCCCCATTAGTCTGACGTGATGGAGTCTGCACAGTGACAGATCTGGTGCACAAAGCTGTTGAAATCCTAGTTATTTTTGCTAATTTGGCATCTTAATTTCATAAAGACGAAATGATATTCACGTTTTTAAATCTGTAGAGTACTTCATCTCATGTTTTTAAATTCAGCAATAGTGGTCTTGCATACATTATTTTCAACAAGCTGGACATGAAGCTGTTTGTTTCATTAAGGGGAAGATTCTTATATATAAGGGTTTTTGCCTTATGTTTTCCATACTATGGTCAGCAATAAAAATGAGTAAAACCAGTGGCTAAAATTGAAAGACAACATATAGCAGTTGTGCAGATTTCCATTTAATTTCCATTTAAAATTTTAAGGCCTAAAACCCTTATAAATGGAGGTATGTGTTGTTGAGATGCAATTACTGCAGGCATCAGTCATGATTAATCTTTACTGCTCAAAGTTGGAATCACTTCAGTGTTGGCACGCTTTACTGTGAATCTTGGCAGTCTCTTTTGATATTACTTGTACAAAAAAGTAGTTTGAGGAATTTCACCTGCAGTAATCTGTAAAAAGCTATAATTTGAATCTAGCTGTCTTGTCTTATGCAACTTGAATGCATTTGGAAGATTTCCAGTCATAACCGTGTGAAGGGAGAATGGAGTTAATACTGAATCTTTCAGAAAAGCGGCTTTGAAATCACATAAATCACATAATACAAACTAACTTGGGGCAGTAATTAGCACCTACTTTCAAAGTAAACTAAACAGTTTCTTAAATTTTCTTCATTCTTTTTCTGAATTCCTAATTAGATGGATAACTTGTTAACACATGTCTAAAATGAGCTATTTTAGTTATCTTTAACTTCTTTACTTTTTAAAGCTGTTTGTGCCAATTACTTGGCCATTTGTTTTACTGGAGGCTAGGGTAGAAAGATGAGGAAAAGTTGGGCTACTTCATTTCTGGAAATCCAGTGCTTCATAAAATGCAATCTTCTTTTGCAGGTCCGTGCCAACGGGCATAGCGTGCGCCCTACACAAGCAGCAGGATGCAAACAGAAGAGTACAGACAAAATGGCTGAAAAAGGGAAAGGTAGGAAAGTAAAAACACTTCCTACATCTGAATCTGCAAGGGCACTGCCGTTTTATTCTTCTGAGTCGATTGTCATGTTATGGGAGTGAGGAGAGGAACATCTTTGGGAGAGATCCACAGTTCAGTTTTGGATGCAGGGAACAAGGAAGTTTTTAGGATGACCATTCCTACCAACTACAGCAAGGGCAGCTGCTGACAGACTATTGAGCATGTGGCTCTAGGTATTGCATGCAATTGTTGCCTCTGTAGGCTGGGGAAATGAAGTGCAGGATACTTAATGCAGTTCTGGTTACTGATTATTCAGCCTAGCGAAGGGAAAAGAAAAAGAACAGTAAGAATTGTATGACTGCTCACTGCCTCCACAGCTGGACATGTGCAGAGCTTCCTGTTTGTCTAGTTATAAGTACAGTCTTATGTTTTCATATTTTACAACAGTCCCTTCTGTATCTGTCTAGTTGTTGGACTCTCTATGTGATTTAGCATACTTTTATGGAGAAAAGTGTAAAAGAGAAAATTGCCACGTTTGTTTAAGCAAATAGAATACCTTTGATTATGAATTCTTTCTGGTTGCACAGTGATGTCTGTGCCTTAAGTTGATAATGCTAAGTCATGTAGAATACATACGTTAACACATGATATGCCATAATTCAGGGTGAAATGAATTTCATATCGCTAAAGTAATTAAATCAGCAAGCAGCAGATGTCTGCTTAAATAAATTTCATACCTTCAGTGAATATTGAGAAAATCTATTATCAGTGTTTGGTATAACAATTGAAACATTTAATTTTTGAAAAATTATCATCTACTAGACTCAATAATGCTTTTTCTTGAAGCAAGAATATGTATTACATATTACATGTATTTAAACAGTATGAAAATGTTAAGGAAGTGAACATTTGGATAAATCAGATGTTATAGTTATTTATCTAGTAATTTTTTTCCAGCTTGTCAAGCAGTAATTATGTGGCAAGTAGAATGACATTTAAAAATAAAAATAAAAGAAATATCATTAACAACAACCAAGTGGGGATACTAGATTTCAGGCAGATACAGAAAGGCAAAGAATGAAATAAAGAGCTTGTTAATGTTTTTGTGGAAGAGAATGATATTTTTGAAGGAAATAAGGGAATTAGAAACAGTACTAAGACACAGATGACAACTACAAAGATGCGCAATATAGTGTATGAATCTGAGTCCTATTTAATAAACATAATTTGGGCATGACTCAAATTAAAGAATACTTTATTAAATTCACACTCTAGAATACTTCCATGTAATGACCAGAGCATCATAAGGGAAATGTTGAATTTGTCTGATAGCACTGAATATTGAGAAGGGATTCTTAAGCTTTGTATGTTGCATTTAGCACACTGGTACATTGATGTTATCTGAGTCCTGGAAGTACTATTGTGCAACAAAACCATCTTCTGTCAAGATTCTTGATGCCAAGGCTAAGCTGGGCTGTCCATGTTTAGCTCTGTTTGCATGGAACTGACAAAAAAACACCCCTCCTGATGATTCTGGCAAACTAATGCAACTGAGAATTGCTGGTACAACTTTGATTTTTACAAAACTGAAGCTTTGACTTACATTGCTTGAATACAACTCCTTAGAAAGCTTATCTCTGGAATTAATATTTCTCAGTGTTGCAGACTGCAGTCCAGACAGCCCCAAATGTAAGAATCACCAGAGCAGCCGCCTCTGCAGCTAGGCAGGTGCTGAAAACTACTGCTACTGCTGGTAAGTGAGGTGCTAAATATAGTCTTGCTTGTCTAGCTGATACGTAAGTATTTGACAGAGTGAGTGTGCTGTAAAGAGATGTCCTGCCCAGTACTGTGTAAGTGAACAGTGGAAACAACGCTTATGTTTATGTGCTGCTGCTAAACATATTGTCAAATGATATACTGGAGATGGTTTTGTCTCTAATTAGGATCTTGCTTATCTAGGACACTCTTTGCTGTAGAGATGCATATCAGCTTGTTCTGAACTGTCTTTGCTCACTATCCTGGTCTGTAGCTGTCTCTTTGGAAAAGATAGACTAAATCATGCCAAATTGTCATGTAAGAAAAGGATTAAATACACTATCACTTCAAATCTCATCTGGAACTCTATTGCAATATTGAAATCAAGATGTTGAAACTAACATTGGATGGTTTCCTGTAAAATCCATCAGTGTGGAGCATCAATATGCATATGGTAATTACAGACAGAGAACGAAAACAGAACTGGGAAAGATTTGCCAGTTTGGTGCATCACTGTTTAAGGACTTGTGATTAATAAGATCAGGAACAGATACCTCTGGAAGAGCTGAGAGCCTATGTTCTTCAAGTCAGGCATCTTTCTTCATCCATGTTTGTTTACTAAACTAGAGGAAACTTTTAGCAATGTTATCTTGTCCTCAGGGTATTCTCCAAAATGTTTTGCAGCCTTCCATATATATGACAGAAGGCTGAAAGTACAGCTGCAATAGTGTTGGTTTCAATCTTCCTGTGGAAGTTGTAAACGAAAAATGAATTCAAAATCTGAACTCAAATTGACTTAAGTGTTTCTTCAGCCTTTAAGGAAATGAAGCGAACTCTTTTAGTATATGAAAACGTCTGAAAACTAATGGCTTAATGAATCCATTTTCCTCTCCTTGTGATGCAGCTCTTAATAGGATGTTCAATCCTAGTTCAGGTTTTCTTGTGAATGAACTCTTGCAATTAGGCGTCTGCCCTCTAGCCACTTACTCGAGAAGCAAAACAATCTCTCTCTGTCTTTAACCACCAGACTTTTATGTCAATCTTCTGAAAAGATCAGTGAACAGTTGCCTTAATCAGATGCCTTTTGACCTTGTAGAGTTTCTCTCTCTCTAGATAACCAGTCACAGAGAAAGACAGCAAGTGTAGCAAAGCAGAAGAAGGTGACAGTCAAACCTGGTGTCGTGGAGGTAGGTCATTTAATATTTGAAATGGAAAAGCAGTAAAACTGATGTAAGAGTAACAAATGGGTAGTGAAACTGTTGCTTAAATGTGGTTGTACTTGGGCATATAGCTAATAGGAAGTTCACTAACAAACTAGATTTTGGAAAGAAGCTGTGAGTATTTATATTGTCTTATTTTTAAAATTTAAGACCAAATTTGATTTGCTTGTTTGGATGGCCTGTTTATAATCGTCAAGTTTTGGACCATGAATTTAAATTAGAGGTCTTACATAATATCTTAGATGGGATATTTCAACTACTTAAATAGTAATAAAAAAACCTGCTTAGTTTGCTGGTTTTATCTAGTGTCTGTAATTTTGTGCAAATTCATTCCTTTTTGTAACATACTCTGAATGTATCCTTTTGATGCTCAAGTAATAATACAAGACTTTAGAAGCTGAGAATTAAATGCATTTTCAGGCATTGAACCACCAAGAAAGCATATGAAAATATTTTTGTGCAAGATTTATTGTAATTAAAGGTAGTCGCTCTTGTTATAGCACTGACAAAAGGAACTGAACTTTTTTGCCTCAGCATAGAGAACACTTTGAATTTGTCATATCCCTATTTAGGTTGCTAAACAATTTGCTTATGCATTCATGCCCTGACGGTCCTGTGCAAGAATTATCCATGTTTTCTCCTTCCTTACACTGTAATTCCCCTCTCACTCAGTGTCTCCCCCACACCTCCCATCCCCAGTCCTATTTCAGCAACTGCAGCTGTGCTCTAGGATTGTCTTAAAGCTGCTGCAGTCATGCACAAATACTGACAGGAGGTAAAAGGCACTTGCATCCTGGTTCAAGTAAGTACTTCTTTGCAAGCAGGAGTTACTTTGTGCTGCCAGTTTGTAAACCCTTGCTGTAACCTCAGTCATCTTTTCACAAATCTGTTAAAATCTTAATTCAAAGCTTACATTCCAAGCAAGGGTATTTGAAGTATAACAAGATTTCCAACAGACTGAAGATGTATATTTTCTTGAAAAAGAGTCTGAAGTCTTATGGCTGGTTTGAGCTAACAATATCTCAGTGTAGGTATTTCAGAAATGTGTTCTGTGTGATTGTCTAGTCACTCATCTCAGAGGAATGTGGACTCAACTTATTGATTAACTTTTTGTCCTCTTTGAACAACATTCTGTAGTCCTAACTGCACTTGTATTCTCTTTGTTTTGGACTGCATTCCTCAGCTATCAGCTTTTCTTTAGCTTGTTCTTCAGTCTTTGAATAATTACAGTTTATACACGTATCCAACAGACCTAGTTGCATTTGGAGCCAGTAACTCAGCTCTTGAGGAGCTTATCACATTAAAGCATTTTTTTTAACAGTGGGAGCAAGCATTTGTTAATTTTAATTACCACTCTGGTAGGCCAGGTGTTCTGCTACTCTAGCCCCTTCAGTGGATTGTTGCATTCCTTATGGTCAAGTGCTACCCTGCTGCAAAATGTTAAAAGCCAGTTGGGCCTCTGGTGTAAGTCAGGACTTGTGTACATGCATGCTGCTGTAGAAAGCAAATTACCTGAAATTGTTCCTTTCCTGATGGCTTTCAAACAGGCATGTTATAATTCAGCCCATTCCTATACTCATGCTCATTGATTTGATAATATAGTGTTCACTTCGTTTATTTGTGCAGGTAATTCCTTCTGAAAATAAAGAGAATGAAAATGCTCAGCTGGATCCAGTGACGTGTTCAGCATCAGAACTTAAACAGGAACTGACCTCTGAAGAAAAGAACAACTCTGCTCCAGGGAGACCCAGAACGCGTTCCTTTGCACCTCAAAACTTTGTGTTTCAGCCATTAGATGGATTAACAACCTATAAAGTTACACCCATGACTCCTTCTAGAGCAAATGCCTTTTTGACACCTACCGCCTTCTGGGATTTTGAAAAATCTCCAGTGTAAGATCCTTATTTATAATGTCCTAAAATATAAATGGCCTTATAAATATAAGTGAAACTTCGTGGTGCTACAGGAAATACAATCTTTCTGTAGGGAGATTCCACATGTAACAAAGTGTTCTGATGCTGAAACACCTGATCATGGTTGCTACTGTTGCTTAATCAAAAGTGGACATAATATAACAGGAAAGCAAACTATGTAATGCATAATCCTGCCTGTGCTTTAGAAGTAGAGCAGATCCATATATGAGGGACTGTGCCATAGATATCTATGCACAGATGTGTCTATTTTAATACTAGCAGCTCATGTTGTCTGTCATTGAATGGAAGGTAGTCTTCCAAATTTTTCAGTCTTATATGTTTGGCCATGTTGGAGGTCAGTTTCTCAATGTATCTTAAGTCTGAGCATGCCTCTTTTTGTTTTTGTTTCCAGTAATATAGCTGAAAAATCCAGTAAAACTAAATTTTCCTGGGAACAAGAGCCTGATTCAAAAAGTCAGATTTCACCTTTTTTAAAAGACCCTCAAGAGCAGCAAATCACTACAAGTCTGAAAGGAGAACAAGGTACAAAGTTCACATTTAGTTTATCATTTTAATGGTTCTTAGTTTTCACCAAATTCTGAATAAGTGCCTTTAACATTTTTCAGCAAGAGACTCAGATGAGAAGACTTCCATTCAGCGATCAAATGAAACAATTCCTGTCTCTACAGACACGAGAGCACTTGAAACAAAGTCAGATGATATAACAGAGCAAGAGCATGACGTGCCCTACTTCAGGTTTGTGTCTCTTTGTTTTGCTTCACTGTTGTCCCTTCTGAGGTCCTTAACATGAGTAATACAACGTCTTCTAAACAGTTTACAGTGGTTGGTGTCTGTCACCAGCAACCTCAGTAGAAACTCACTCCTGTCTTTCCTCTTGTATTAGTGTAAGTAAAGAATATAAAATCGTGGAGGCTAATGCCTCCTAAGGAACACAAACTTGAAAGCAGTAAAACATAAATTGAATCTCAGCTAGTCAGCAAATTAAAGCAATCTAATGGGTTCTGCTCAAAGATTGCCTAGCTTCGGTGAAAGTGAAAAGATAATAATAAACGGTTATTCTCCAAATGTTCTCCAAAAAATATTTTTCACTATTTATTTTTAGAAAAATTCTTCAGTCTGAGACAGAGAGGCTGATGTCTCAGTGCCTCCAGTGGGATGGAACACTTGAGCTGGACATACCAGAGGATGGTAAGACTGAACTGTAGTAGGCACTGAGAGGGGTGTTATGGTAACCACAGTGACAGAAGAAACTTTGTGTACCTGAGTATATTTGCAAAGTAGCCTGCAGCCCATAGTGAGAGTTGTATTAGAGTTGTGTCTGTCTCAAGACAAAAAGCCATGCTTCATCTCCTAATCTTAAAACTTAAGTATTTGATATGGTAATAGTTGACACTGAAGTGTCTATCACAATAGTTTTTCTGTAAGTTCTAAGTATATTTAAATGCATCAACTTTAAAACTTAGTTTTATTTAAGAATATGGTTAACTTGTAAGTTGTTGTTTATTTGTTTTTTTTTTTTTGCCTTAAAGGCTTTGAGTTGGTAAAGTTTATTTGAAAGAAGCAAGCTTAGAGAAGTTCAGTGGATAGGTATGCTCCAGACTGTATTGCAGGTCTGAACAGTTCAAAATAGTTGAAAAAATAGATTCCAAACTCTTCAAGTACTTATTTACCTCCACTGTGAAATGATGGGTTATTCCAAGTTATGCTCACTTTTGTTTTCTGTTACCATCAGCTAAAGATCTCATTCGCACAACAGTTGGTCAGACAAGACTGCTGATAGCAGAAAGGTTTAAACAGTTTGAAGGACTGGTGGATAACTGTGAATTTAAACGGGGTGAAAAAGAAACAACATGCACAGACTTGGATGGATTTTGGGATATGATTTACTTTCAGGTATGTGCTTGCATGTTAATCTACTAGAATAAATAAGATGGGGGTAATTAACAAGCAATGGATTGGAACTATTCATTTGAAAATCCAAAATCTGTTTTCTTTCAGTATGTTAAAAAAAAAAAAAAGCAGTTCCTTGTTTAACACTTAAATAGTGAATAGTACCTGATGTTATGCTATGGTTTATAAACCTGTTCACCTGTTATCTTGTGGCTGTGGACCTCTTTTTCTGGAATGAAGGCATGTAGGCAGATCTCATTCTGGTTTGGAGTGAGGAGTTGGTCACAATGTCCACTAGGACCAGAAGCTGGGAGCTATTCCTGGAACTCACCTGGAAGTAGTGGTTCTATTCTTCAGTATGCCAATAATGCAGAAACCACAACAACATTTTAGAGGAGAGCTGGGTGATAGAAAACCATCTCTCTAGTGTTTCTGCTGGTTTCAGAAGGAAGTATAACATTCTAAATGCTCAAAATGTCTCAGCAGTTTTTTGTATAGCAGCATTCACCAAAGGAACTTGTAATAAATCCATCTTTGCATTTAATTTAATGCTAGGGTCATATTCATAGATCTTGAATTGCCTGAAGGAAGTATATGGGTTTGACCTGCTTCTTGAACATCAGAGATACTGAGGAGAAAGTTTGTAGAACCAGTAATTTGAAAAAGAGGCTTTTCCTGTGCTTTTACAGTCTGTGGGGGCAGTTTGTTTCCCCTGTGCATCCCCCCCTTTTCCCATAGATAAACATGGAGTGACAGAGCTGCTCACTCTGCCCTACCTTGCATTCATTTTTTGCATCCTCTGCATTTTTGGGGATGATGTAAAGGACTTGTTCCTCCAGTGACAGACCTGCTATGGACAAGCCTTGTATTGGCCTTCCTAGCAAATAAGGCAAAGTGTCTCCATTACAGAGCTGAAGGAAAACAAGGCTGCTGGATTGAGCACCAGTAAGGGAGAAGGTAATGCTGCAGAACTAGTTTGTCTGTAGCCACTGGATGTCACAAGTGCAGACTGCATCAGGAAGCTGTTCAAGACAGAAGCTTAAAAGGGCAAACAAGCTTGCATGAGGCATCTCCTAAACAATGGAAAACTCGAGCATGTTTAGTGTAACAACCTGTGCAATGTGCTCTTTTGCATTCCTTAAATGTGAGCACTGTCGCAGGTTGTAAACCAGCTCTTTGATTATCCCCCAGAATCACAGAACGGTTGGGGCTGGGAGGGACCTCTGGAGGCCATCTGGTCCACCCTCCCTGCTTAAGCAGGGACACACAGAGCAGGCTGCCCAGGATCCCATGTCCAGATGGCTTTTGAAGATCTCCAAGGAGAGAGACTCCACAACTTCTCTGGGTGACCTGTGCCAGTGCTCGATCACCCTCACTGTGAAAAAGTTTTTCCTGATGTCCAGAGGGAATCTTGTTTGTTCCAAACTGTGCCCATTGCATCTTGTCCTGGCACTGGGCACTGCTGAAAAGAGCCTGATTTCATCCTCTTTGCACCCTCCTTTCAAGTATTTAAAGACTGAGATTCCCCTGAGCCTTCTCTTCTCCAGGCTGGACAGTCCCAGCTCTCTTCTCCTCCTAGGAGACACACTCTACATCTTTGTGGACCTTACCTGGACTCTCTCCAGTATGCCCATGTCTCTTGCACTGGGAAGCCCTAAACTGGATGCAGTTCTCCAGGTGCAGCCTCACCAGTGCACAGCAGAGGGGAAGGATTGCCTCCCCCAGCCTGCTGGCAATTCCTTCCCTAATGCAGCCTCATAATACACCCCAAGATTACCACTATATGTATTGTGTCTTGCTAAATCATTTTATACCTCTGCTACTGACTTTAAACTAAAGAAATGAAACCTGGATCTCGTGTATGTTAGCATAACCATTCTGTCAGCTGCATGAGAACATTCCATACTTAGTGTTGGTTGGAGGTTTAGTTTGCTTCTGTATTTAAAGCAAAAGTACCTAAATGCACAATGCTTAAGTTGTTATCTAACTTCAGTAAACATTTTTTTGTAAATCTTGGTAAGTCTTGTGAATTAACCTTGGACTTCTCTGGGATTTCCAATAGATTGAAGATGTGAATAAAAAGTTTGATAATCTGAAGATGCTTCAAGACAATGGGTGGCAACCACTTGATGTCCCAAGCGAAGAAATTGTCAAGGTATGAATAGAGCCTAAAGCATGTCTCCTAAAGCATCAGGATGCAAGTGTGTTGAGGTCTTTAAAATAATTTGTGAGCTACTGCAATAATGAGTACGCTTCTTAAATGCAAGTTCCTTCTAAAGCCTTATTCATCTGTCATCTTTATTTGAACATTAGCATCAACATCTATTCAGTAAAATTCCTCTCGAGGTGCACCCTTTTTTCCTTATCTCCTGTATGCACTTACAGTTGGTGTTTGATATTAGTTGCCTCTTTTGGATGGTAAGATTAAAACTAAGAATTAATGACTTGAAGTCATTGGACTCTTTGCTAGTAAGTCTTACTAGGAAGAATTTGGAACAGAAATTACCTTTCAGATATAAAACTTCCTCTGAGCCACTGGTGTTGGCACTGACTTAACTGATAAAGCTGCTACGGAGGAATTTGGCAGTGCCTCACAGTTTTAAGCACTGAGTGCTGAATTTTATCTGTGTCTTTAAAACAAGATCATGGGTGGTGTTAAACTACTAATTCTCCAAACATAAAGGGATCTGACGCTATCCAAATTAAGTTATTGATTATTGCAAAATCAACTTTAAGCTATTTTATTGACTTTGGTTTAAAATCTGTACCTGTTTCTAATTGAAGATCAAGAATCATATTCACATCGTGTAAACTCTGTACAGTTCCTTGAGACTGCTCAACTAATCATAAAAAAAGATATGGTGGTCGATAAGAAACTCCAGATGCATGAAATCGGAGGAAATGTGGTCTGTGTGAACTGACTATAAATGTCAGAACCATACAGATGATGCAAGACAAAACTTGAGAAATTGAGTGCCAGGAGAGACTCCTCTGGTTGACAAGTGTCTGCCTTGCGGTTACTTTATATTCCTGCCACTAGGAGTCCCTGTATCCCACTGTTCTCAAAAACATTAACTAGAAAGGCTAAAAAAAAGTTGTAAGAAAGTTACAAGACGTATTTCTGAACTGCAGGCTTGGCATGAAAAATACTTTAAATTATCATCAAAACCTGACATTAACCCCCGAATGGCACTCAGTGATATTCTGGAGATGAACGGAGATTTTGTGTCCTGCAATGCTGTTGCCTGCTGCTGTCTGTGTGGCTGGCAGCTATGTAGGTGTTCACATGCAGTTACCTCTGTCTTAAGCTTCCAAATGAGACCTTGACTTTCAATTTCAGAAAAAGACTGTTCCAAATGGGGTGTCCAAACCAAAGCTGGGAGCAGCTGGAAGAACTGCTGCCAGAAACAGACTTGCTGCTGTAAAAGCAGCTATGAGGGACAAAATGAGGAATGATGGAGCTGCTGATTGTACACATCAGAATAAGCTACCAGAGGTAGAAAAAGTGGTTTTTGAAGCAGGATTTTTCAGAATTGAAAGCCCTGTGAAAAACTTTCCAGGTAAGTGGAACATAATCGTGATTTCTGTGACCTGAAAAAAAATTAAGAGATTTGAATCAAGCTCACTAGGAAGGAATTATGGTACTTATACTGGATACAGTTCCTGTGCTGGGCACAATTCATATTTCAACTAATGGTTAGTTACATCAGGAAACCAAAGTAAACTGTTCTATATGATTGTACTGTTTTAAGCAATTATGGCAACATGGAATCCCTGCTTAGACTCAGAGGTAAAAGCGGGCGGTTCATGGTGTTTTTTCTTTTTGGATGTTTAGCAATGGAGTCTTAATCTGAGCTTCAGACTTAGCTGACAACTCATTCAAAGTCAGTGCAGACTGATGTCCTTTATTTGAAAGATGTGAATTGGAATTTTTATGTAGTAAATCTTTCACTACTGTCTTCAGAGCTGAAATACAATATATCTGTGATCAGTATTCATGTTCAACAAAGTTGTAATATATTCCCGTCTGCTATAAAAGCAGTCTAACACTTTTCTTGAGCAGACAATCCAAATACAACCTTATTTTCAGCATCTATCTTACTTAAATCTGTGAAGCTAGTATTTTCAGTAAGCCTTGATTCTTTCAGAGCTGTTCTGCTTCTCCCATATTTATGGTTCATAAGATGACTGGATTTCCCACTTTAGGTAGATTTTCTCTTCACAAGATTAGCGGTCTTTTAGTATGTTTCCTGTTACTAGAGGAGTCCTGAAAAGCTTTGAGCAACTCTGTTTGAACAATTAAAGAATTATATAAACATCAACTATGAATCTGTCTTTTTAATTCTATCAGAATTACCTAATGTGGAATATTGAAATTAATGACAAAGTCTTTCACCATATGTACTTCTTAATAAGAACAGCAAATCTTGTTATTCCAGGTTTTGTGAAGGGATGGTAATTACCAAATTGATTAGTTGGAGTGAAGGTAGCTTTAACTTACAGACCTGCTCTCGTCACCATTTTCAACTTCTGCTTGCAGCGTATATAAGATCATAATATAACATTTTAGAACAACAATTAAGCATAAAAACTAGTGTGCTCCTGGCTAGAATCTTAGCAGTTCCATCTTTTGGAAACTGCAGGGGTAATGAAACATGAAATGCTCTTTTTCAGACTTGCTTTCAAAGAAACCTCATAGATCTTCCCAGCATGCTTCTGAAAATCTGGCGACTCCAAGATCATCCAGCAGAACTTCTCAGAGCAATTCTTCTCTTCTTTGTAACCCTGAGGATACAACTGCAAAACAAACAACACCAGCACTCAAAGGCTTCCACCCAGCACAGAATTTGAATATGCACCAATTTACCACTGGAAAAACTCTCCCTAGTGGTTGTCTTGAACAAAGGTAGACATGTTAGGGCAGCTTTAACTTTGTATAAGTAATTTTCTAGTTTTAATTGGAAAAATGAATACTAAATGCTCATTAAGTGTTACCTTCACAACACCTTCATCCCTACCAAATTGGAAGTCCTTGTGTCTTTTCCTTCCCTCAAGCAAATGTGAAGAGCTTTTGTCCAAATGTAATTTCATTGCTGGGGCAGAAGTTTTATTTTGTGCCTAGAAAGTCTTATATAGCTGGCTAGCGCCAAACCAGTGAGCATAATTGCAGAACTAATTTTAAGATCAGTTGGGAAAGTAAAAAAAATCTTTGTTTTCATTCTTCTCAATCATTTTCATTCTTGTTTTTCTTTCAGCGTTTCCCTAGATGCAGAAGAACCCATTCCTGTTGCTGGCACAGTGGAGGAATCTAAGGTAAGTCATGCATCGTTCATGTCTGTGCTTTAAACAGTTCTCCACTATTAGCCAAAAAAATAATAATACTCATGTGTAAAGTGGTGCACATCTTAAAGTTTGATTATTAATGATCCACATGTGTGAGGAGCTGCATGTTGCAATCAGTACTGCAAATTACTGCCTCCTGTCAGCAGCGGAGGCATAACATGATGCTTCAAGGCTGTCTGCTGTGCCAGCTCGAGTTACCTGAGAAGACCGACTGAGAGGAAACCCCCCTGGAGCTTCTCTGAGGACAGTTGGCTTCTGTGTTCAAAGCTTGTGCATTAGTTTCTCTGTTGTCCTGAGCTGAACTCCTGTCAGAAAATATCCTTCCCCTCAGGATAAGGGTGGCTTGCTGGTTTAATAGTCCTTTTTAGTGGCTTTGGACACTTGGATGTCTGATCAAATATTCATCAAGATGTCTTTTGCATTCTTCAGACTGGTGCTTTTTCCTTCTCAGTGTAGACATCAGCAGGGTCTGCTGCTGCTTTTGTATCTGGGTTCCCAGACTAGAAGTAACAGTATTAGTTAGCTCTCTGTCTTCATGTTGCCATAACAATTAGGCTGTTTCACTGTTTAAAGGTATAGCAAGAGCATTGTTAGCAATACAATTATCAGTGCAGAAGTGGATGACCCGAGATGCTTGCAGACTCCTTTTTTGAGTGGGAAAAAAAAAATCTTTAAACTGGAATGCAGCCCACATAATTTAGGCAATACTGGGCTACTCAGTGCAGGCCAGTGCTTTGGAGAGTTGGTCATTCTTCAGTACCACTCTTTAGAAATGTAGGATCTTAATTTTTATTTGATCTGTTGTTATAAATTGCTCAGTCCCAAAATAGGATTATAATCAAGGTTTACAATTTATTAAAAGAATAGAGGTAAGCAAACAGCGCTGGGTGCGTCGGGAGTCTCCGCTCCACCGAGACGCACACCAGTTACATCCAGTAGCTGATTTTTATGCTCCTAGGCTAATATATATTCATTACTACTTCTGAAAATAACTGGGTTGTTATAATTAGCTTCCGGGATCCAAACCCTTCTACTGGAGCATGCGCATCAGTCTCTGGGGGTCTTTCCTGCTGAAGGCTCCTAATCTTCCTCTCAGTTTTTTTTCTTGTCCTTCCCCTTTGTACTCCTTGGCAGCATGTCAAAAGCTTACACAGTGTCCCCTGCAAGTTGTGTCTTCTAGCAGTCCTTCAGCTTCTTTCTTTCTTCTCCTTAATCTCCTGGCCACCTGGCCAGATATCAGGGGCTTGCTTAGTGTCCCATTCAGAAGCCGTAACAGTTACTAGTTGTTAGCAATTGTTCTGAAACCCCCAAACATCAGAGACTTCAAAGAAAGAGCATACAAACACAAATAGCTCTATTGACACTTCACATGTTGTTAAAACATTCCTCACAGGCCATTCACAGGAACACTCCAGTCACACCTGTAGCAGTGCTAAATCAACCACAAAGAAGGCAAAAAGGCTGTAACTGTTAGGAATAAGAGTTCGGAATAACAAAAGCAAATAGGCTCATGGATTTGAGGAATATTTCTGAAGATTTGATAATTTGACTATAATGAGGGGGAGACTGGGACGCTGGGAGGAAAGGGAAGAAACCACATCTGTGGAAGAATTAAATTGCCAGTGCAGGACCCAGAGACAGATGGAACTGCTCTCTAGTGACACAAATTGTTAAAATATTCCTTTGCAAGGTACGAGAACTATATACATTAACCATTCTGTTTTTCTTAGACTTGTGGTTATACAAGGGTATGTAAGACAGAAGGTCACATTCATCATACCATGCGGCCCTAGCACTGTTCCATACTGACATGAATCAGATGAACATATATCACATGTACATGGCTACAGCAGGCTTTATTCACACATATGCATCATGTACATATGCATCTGCATTTGTTTTTAAATCTTGCTTACAAATTTGCTCCTACCCCTTTTACTTCATCTTTTCCATGTCACCTGAGAAATTGCTTGTTAGTGATGCCACTGTGTAGGGAAACAATCTTTCACAATCAGTACTTCTGATAGTGTTTTTCTTCAGGTAAAGTCTCATTAGGGAACATCCTCAGAATGCTTTTGGCACTTTAAGTTCAAAATCTTTTTCTCATGTGGAAGAACTTCCTTCATGCCCTCTTTCAGATGATATCAACTTTATGCGGGTGTTTGGGAAATAGTCCACGTGAAATATATCAGTGTTAAGCTGTTACCTTTGTTCTGCCTTTCTTTTGTACAGTGACTGGAATTCACACCCCACTCTCTCTCCTGATTTGTCTATAAAATCTATAGGTTAGAAGCATGGATTTGACTTAACACAGATGTGCTGGTTTCTGTAAGCTCACATCCCTTAAATATCCTGGCTACTTTTTACCTTTGTGCTTTCTGCACCAAAAGCTGACAAACTGCCTTTTACAGCAGACAAAACAGAAAATAAAGCTTCCCAGTGTCATTGGAACTGCCTTACGTCCTACTAATTTCACTAAGGCTTTCTTTTTGGCTCCCTGGGAAGCAAATATAGCTGACATCTTAGACTCTCAGAGGATTAGGAACAGTTAATTCATGTTTTTCAGGTGCTGGAAAATTCTAACAGTGAGTTAAAAGTAATGGATGGCATGGAAGAGATGGAACTGTCAGCTCCAGAGCAACAGGGACAAGATATCGTCATGGGCAGCCCAGAGAAGGAGGGTACCTGCACAGAGACTAACTTAGCTCAGCATGGAGAACCAAAAATGCATCAGACAGGTGCGTATCTTAGTGCTGCTTAGTGTAGTCAATGTGGTCATGTTTAATCTCAAGTTTTGATGGTCTAAATATTATTCTTTGCAAGCACTGTCATTGTAGCTTGGTTAATCTAGGCATGCTCATAGCAAAACCTACATTGGCTAGTATGACTTATTCGTGCTTTGCATGTGAGCAAACAGTTCCCTGGTTTTTATTTGTAGTTTCCCCGTGATAAGTGAAGCAGAAAGCTGATATAAAAGGCTTGCAGTAAAAGCAAGTGCAGACCACTTAGTTTTTCCTTCAGTAAACACAGAAAAACAAACTTTTTTCAGCTTTCAGTATCAGACTAACCTTAAGAATATTTTTTTTCAGATGTTTTGTGTCGTGATTTGATATCTGTCGACAGAAGCCCCTTTGATACGGTAAGCTGACCCTTAAGGTTATTTGACTACAAAAATCTGCCTGTTGCAATACTGTTAACCTTTGCTACAGAATCAGTTACTACATGGAATAAATTAAACCCTGGAAAATGATGTTATCGAGTCAGATCATGCAACTTATTCTAATAAATTCAGGCCACAGTTCCTGAATTGCTGTACTGGCTCGCACTCATTCCTTATTGCATGTGTTGAGTGTAGGATGAATTGAGACATTTGTCATGGAAAGAATGATCTGATTTCATTAGATTGATCATATGAATTTCTTGTGGATTTCCTTGTAAATATTTACTAATATAATGAACTGCCTGGCCTTTTCCTTCCAATTCCTTGCTGGAGTTCTCAACACTTATTCTATACCTTTTCTACAGCTTTATCTTACACAGCCAGAAGTAAAATTCACAGGGAAAAGCATTTGTACAAAACCTTCTAAATTGTTAAAAGAACTTGGCTGTACAGCTTCCTTGGTTTTGCATGGAAAAAATTCTCTCTAAAACATAGCTTACTGCTTTAAGTAATGAGTGTCTTCAAAATGTGGACCACCTATTCACTACTTATGTTATGTCTGGAAATAAACTTGCAGAATTCCTTACTTCTTACACTGGTACTCACAGTGGTAAATTACCTTTTCAAAGCAATAGCCGCAGTTCAAAATACCACCTAAAAGCAAGCACATTGCAGTATTTTTACGTCTACTAAATTGCTGTAGTTTTCAGGAAGGGTTTCAGATCTTCTTGGCAGATCTGTGCTTCACGTGTTCTGAACCTGTGATGTGTCTGCAGTATTGACTGAGATGCAAGAGAACCGTGTGCTTCTTCTGCCTTATCAAAAGCAATTTCTGCTCATTTTTGTACTTTGATTGTGTGGCCTTCCAAGCAGGCAGGCACCTGACAGAAGTAAGCAGTTGCCTGTCAGTAATTACCGTTGGTCTGCTGCTCTCGCAGATGCCATTAGGGAGAAGAATTTGCTGTTAGCTTATCTTGTGTTCTTGCAGTTCTGGTTTGTAAAGCAGGTAACTGTGGCTCGGATGCTTACTTCACACTGATTTCTCTCGCAGCCGATGCTGGATGGTGAGCTGCTCTTCACGCCAGTCAAGAACAAAGCCCAGAAGTTTGCAGCAGCTGAAACGTTCAGTGACCTGATTGTATTTTCTCCTCTTCCTCCCTCTGGGGAAAAATGAGTGACTTGAGATGCAAAATGTGTAAGTTGCATAGAAGAAAAATCAGAGGATGTTTAGAATAGGCTGCAACCCATGAACTGTGTTTTGTGATATCAGTAGTATTTTATAATGGAACTTGTTAAAGTATTTCGTAACTGTGTTATGGCGCAGTCATTGAACTATAAATATTGCTGTATAATACTAGAGGTGTTTGCTGGTTATTCCTGCTGTATCCAGTGACCGCATATGCTGACTCCGACCTGAAATACTTCTATTTTTGTATAATTTCATGTATTTCCTGCCTACTTCACATTATCAAACTGTTCATCTCTAAGCTTTTGTCTTGACCTTTGTTACCTCATGAGTTCTTTCTACAGGAGATGGGATAAGGTTTGTCTAACAGATGCTTATGAGAGCAGCTGCACCTCTGCCCTGTTTGTGATGTGAGGGCACCTCTGAGGGGGAGACTCAACCTGTTACCCACCCCAAAGCTCTGTTTTGTATTCAGTCAGTGTTATGAGGGTACTATTGCACCCTTTGGCTCCAGTATTCTGCGCCAACTGTGCTTAATCAGCAGTTGGGACAAGGCTTGATTCATATTATTCTTTCCTGTGGAATTCTTCCTGGTGTTTAACAATCACTTGCTTTGTGACAGTAGAAATTAGAACAAGCATTTCAGGGTCAGATAGCATCTTTTCCTTGCGGTGTGTCAAGTAGGCATTGATTTTTTAGATACTCAGCAGAGAGCTGTGTCCTTAAGTACCTTCAAGCTAAACCCCATTCTCTCATCCCTTTTTCATGTAGAAAGTCTCTTAACCTTTCTTTGAACATCTGGCCTGTTAACATCAGCCTCTCACATCTAGTTCCTTATGCATTCTCTTACCTGAACTGATGTATTTGTGCACAAGGAGCGTGCCAGTTACTGCTATGCAAATATAAAGTGTGTTTATATATATATGAGTACCTCATGTTCTTATATTTTTAAGAAGTACCTGACTGGGCTTCTTCTTGCAATGATGACCTCAGCATAGTACACACATTCTTCCCCTGACCTCTATTTTAAACTAAGCAAATGTAATACAAATCCCTCAGTAGAAAGCATTGCCTTTACAGCTGGGGCTTCTCGTTGGACTGAAGTTTTAACCTGGAAGATGTGTGCTGGTTGCACTGAAATAAATAGAGGAAGCCAACTTGATGTGGTGTTACTGTGCTAGAATGAACTTCCTTCAATACTAACTTCTGTTTTTACAGACAACTACAAAAAGATGGCTCTTCCTGACTTGCCTGCTCTGTTCAGTGCTCAGCACTGTGCAATGAGTAGTGGTAACGAGGGATTTTTGGCATCTGACATATATGCTTAAGCCAATGTTAGTGTCCTGGCCTAGGCGCTTGCATCTGCTGGAAGTCTGAACGCTGTTGTAACTTGGTACCTCCAAGGATAAACAAAGAGACTGTTATAAAAGGGTATGAGGCATCGAAGAGATCCTTGAAGACTTCAGTAGTGGCTCTTGCATTGTTCTTGTTTTGCAGAAAGACTAGAGAATGACTCACAGCAAAGGGAACACACTTTATTACCAGCCTGACTCATGGCGTGAACTTGCCAATAAAATTCCTCCCCACCCTGAAACTGGTCTTGACTGACTGAGAAGTGAGGAGTTGAGAGAAGCAAAAGTCTCATGACCGGTGTGATGCAGTACAGAACGCAAGTACTGCGTGCGTCTCCCTTGAGACAGAAATGTGACCAGGACGTGCTGATTTGGGCCCCCCTCAGCAGCAGCTAGTTGTGATGGCTTCCTTTTTGATGCCAGTGAGAAGATGAAGAGAAGGAAGATGAAAAGAAGGAAGGGGGATGACCGTTCTAGCCACAGTTTAGAGGAGAGATTTTGCTCCCTTCAGGCTTATCTCTGGACCTCCTGAAATACCTTGTTCTGGGCAGATCAGAGGCTCTTGAGTTTTCTGTGTTTTTCCAGTGGTGCCTGGCAGGCAGCCTCACTGGAGTGACACTGCTGTGACTCATGCACAGCCCCCTCACAGCTTCATCTTGCAATCCCTGCCCTTGTGGTTCCCCTGGGGAAAGAACTGAAGTCCTTTGCTATGCATCTTTAATTCCTTTAGTGAGGAAGGAATAACTGCTCCACCTGGCAGAGGAATGGAGGCGAAGATAAGATGGGGTTGATGATTGCTGCCCTAATTCATAGAACTGCTGCCTGTATGTTACAGGCAGCTTTCCTACATACTTCTCTCCTTACGAATCACAAATGGCTCACAGTCATTATCCTCTGGCAAAGAGATTCAATCACTACAGCAGAAATTCAGCTACTTCCACCTTTGAGCTTGGTGGAGGATATTGTCTTTTAGTTTCTTAGCCAAAAACTAATTTTACTTGTGAAAGTATTTTATTGCCTCAAAATATTTGTGTACAGCACCAACCTTACGCCCTGTTATAACCTTATAATGAGTGCTAAGTTTGTGATAAAACTACACCTTCATTATATCATGGTAGTCAGCACGCTGGTGAGAGTGATGTCCCCGTTGATGCACAGCTGGGTGATCTCATTCAGCCGCTTCTCACGGAAGTTGTACTGCATCAAGTGAGCGTCAGTTGACTGCTATCTTGAAGTGATCCCCCTCGCAGAGAATCTGGAGCTGAAATACAAAAGGCCAAATCAGCAACAAAAATCATCATTGGATTTGTCCTAGAAGGAAGTTCTAAGCCCTAATTTTAGCAGGATAGCAGTGACTGAGGGCTGCTACCAGCTGAGCCCAGTCTGGTGACACTCAGCTTGCCAAAACACCACTGACCTTTGCCTTCCTAAAGCCCTGCCCTACTCTTCCTCCTTGGTGTTTTAGCTCACGGTGTCTGTCTCATGACTATGACAGTGTTCTCAAGCAGCAGTATCCTACATTTCGTGCAGTGAGAGCCGAGTTCACTCGTTTTGCAGGAGAAACAGCTTGTGGAGAGAGTTTGGCTGCTATAAAGAATGCCTTACAGAAACCTGCCCTGTGATTGCTGCAGAATGCCAACATAAACAGGGAGGATGTCATAAGAAATAGGAATGAGTTACACCACGGGCACCTGGACCAGCAGGAAGGGGTAAGAAATGTAGGAAAGGTGCCATGAGATCTGCTGCCCTGTGCAGCTGGAGAGGCACACTGGTCATACCCCTGCTCATACCAGTTTACTCATAAGCAGCAGCCTCTGGGACCTAATTTCTTGTGTAAAAGCATCAAGGCCCTTACAGGGAGTCTCGTTACACAGTCCTGATAAAGGCCTCCCAGCACAATGTGGGTGCTGTTGCACATTAAGACTGAATTATTTTATTTTTTTTTGTTACCTTGAAAGGCAGTTCCAGGCTCGAAGGGAAATCTAGGAGCTGATCTATCCTCCTTTCCCCAGTTGTTATGGAACTTTGAATTGCAGACGATGACTCTTCTGTTATCTTCGTTGAAACGGGGATTGAAGTGGAAGGCAACGTCTTCCCCCCTCTTGAAATCCAGTGAAAATCTGCAAAGACAATAACGGATTAGCTGCTTTGCTACAAAAGCCCTGAGCTCTGTTACAGGACTTGCCAAAAGCAGCAGCAAGTGAGCATAAAAAAAAACCAAACACAACCTACAGACCCCATTAGGCCATGAGAGGGCATTTCTTTAACACAATTATTTTGTGTAAGGTTTGATTTTACACAATGCAGGTGTTATTCAGGAACAGAAAGTGAATTCCAGCCCCCCGCTCCATCCTGCAGCACCCTAACCCTGTGGAAACCCCGCACCCGGGGTGCTGGATGCCCCCAGTACCTGTCGGGGTTTGGCTTCACCGTCCCCGTGATGGTTATGAGCAGCCGAGGCATGAGTCCTGCAGGCAGGGGCAGCTCGAAGGGGATTTTCTGGGAGAGAACAGGGACTCGGTGTGAGCAGAACAGCACATCAACGAGCACCAGAATGCTTGTGCTCAGGCAGGGGCTGGGTTTTGGTGCTCCAACACACCAGGACAGCCCAGCGGCACTGTGACTGCGCACGCAGCCTCCCAGAGCCACCCTCCTGGGGTCGCACAGCCCCACATCCCTCCTGTGGCCAAGCAAAATCAGGCAGAGGACAGAGAAACCCTCGAGATATGATGGAGCTGTTACCATTGGAGGAACCATCCCTGGTACCGCTGGTGTTCCTATGGCATGTGGCCCCGGTGCTCCAGGATACTGCCCTGGTTGTCCAGGATGCGGTCCTGGTGGTCCTTGATGTGGCCCTGGTTGTCCATGATGCGGCCCCGGTGCTCCAGGATACGGCCCTGGAGCCCCAGGATATGACCCTGGAGCCCCAGGATATGCCCCTGGTGCTCCAGGATATGCCCCTGGTGCTCCAGGATATGCCCCTGGAGCCCCAGGATATGGCCCTGGAGCCCCAGGATACGGCCCTGGAGCCCCAGGATACGGCCCGGGTGCCGGTTGGTTCCCCCAGGCAGGGGAGGGCCAGCCATGGGGCATGGGGGCGTTGGGGTTGGGGTTGTTGCTGGTGGCCAAGGCGTCAGCGAGCTGCGGACAGAGGGGAAAGGAAGAGGAGGGTGAGGTGGGGCAGGCAGAGTCAGGTGGAGCCCCCCCAGGTCCCAATCCCACCAGAAGTCCCCCCTTTAGTGCAATGGAACAACACCGTGCCCACAGTTTTTAAAGACATGGATACTTACAGAGAAGCCGTCTGCCATAGCCCTAAAATGAAAAACAAAGGACATTTAGGTCTTTTTTTTATTTTTTTTTGACATACACAGCCTGAAAAACAGAGGTCTGGGAGGAGAGTTCCAGCTCACAGTACTGGGAAGTGCATCCTCCTACCGACCTGCCAGGCTGAGCAGACAGCTCGGGCACCTCAGCACGAAACCTGGTAGGGACATGCGGGAGAAATGAGGGCCACCACCCAACCAAAAACAGCTCAAACCAACCCAAACCAACCACCCTCCGGCCACCAGCAGCAGTGGATGTCAGTGCTGCACCACCATCGACCCCACAACAACGCTGCCGGCACCAGCTGGAGGTGGGGAGCCCAGCCCGGGGTCCTGCTTCGGCTCGGCCCCGGGGGGGTCTCGGCTCCTTGCAGCCTCCCCCCGGATTTCACTCTCTGCCCACGGGGAAGCGCCGTGCTCGTGGCAAACCACAGAAGCACCACACCCTCCGAGCACCACACGCAAAGGAGGGCAGAGCTCTGCATGTGACCGACCAGAACGTGCCAGATCTGCTGCATTCACAGGGCCGGAAGATTTATTCCAACCTCAAAACACTTCATAAAAAATAAATCAAGCACGGGGAGCTGCTTTCTGCCTCCAGCACAACCCCTCTGCGGCCAGCCCTTCGCTGCCCCCGGCTCTTCCCTGCACCCACAGCCCTTTTGGGGTGACAGAGGCAGAGGCATTACTCACTTCCCCGTCCCCGTGGCGTGATGCTGGAGGGGATTTCAACACAGGGAAAACTCTCAGAGCAGTCCCTGGGGGAGCAAAGCGGGGAACAGCAGCCACAAAAGCAGCAGGAGCCCAGCCTGCAGCCGGCCTGGGATGCAGGGAGGAGGGCAGGGGGGTCACCTTCCCCCCGAGCACCCCGCTGTCCCCAGTTCACCCAAGGGGGTGACAGTGCTGGTGGCAACGCCAGGCCAGCCGGTAAAAGCCCCTTTACAACTTGTTTTGAGTTTTGTGTTCACAGCCGCAGCGGCTCGGAGCTGAGCTCCTCCTTGTCAAAGAGCGCATTCATAAACAGGGAAAAAAATAAAAAAGGAAGGAAAAAAAAAGGAAAATTCCAAATTGAAAGCAGAGGAGCGACGCTCCCTTTGGAAGAAACATCCAGTTGCACAAGGGGCAGCGCAGACCTGGCTTTAGGATCAGCCGCAGAGCACGAGCTCTGAGGGGCACCAGCGAACCCAAAGCGCCCCAAACCTGCGTGATTCGGGGCCAACCTCGCAGCCAGCACCCAGCAGCAGATGTTTGCGCTGCCCGTACCTTGCAGCTTTTATTTGCCATCTCTTTTTTTTCCAGCCTTTTTGGCTTCCTGCTTTGTGGGGTGAAGGCTCTGCCATCGGCTCTGCCATCAGCTCTGCACAGAGCAGGAGGGAAACCCTCACAGCTGTCCCTTCCCTGCCTCTCCAACCTCAATATTCACCCACCTCCAAGCCTGTGGGGCTGGAGCAGGGCCACACCAGCCCCTCTTACAGCCCCGTAACACCCGTCCCTATAAAACCTCTCCTGGCAGCGGGGGATTTCGTCTGCTCCTGGCCGCTGCCTCCTTTCGAGGCTCAGCCTTCGGCCACGCATCGCCTTGGGCCTCGGCATTGGGAAGCCATTTGGGAACGGGCTTCATTTTTTTATTATTATTATTTTTTAGGGGATTTTAAGGGGGATGAAGGGGAAGCAACACCCAGCGAGGGACGAAGCCACAGCCCCCACACACCCCTTACCCTGCTGGGACGCGAGGCCTCAGCACCCCGCAGCCCCCGCAGCCCCCTTACCTGTCAGCAGCGTGACCGGCCGCTGTCTGTCGGTCTGTCTGTCCGTCTGTCAGCCGCTCTACTTGTCGGTCTGTCTGTCCGTCCTGCCTCCCCTACACCCTGCCCGGCCCAGCCCCAGTCCCAGCCCCGCTTGGGGCGGGGCGGCTGCGACGAGCCCGGCCCCGGGGCGGCCTCGTCCCGTTGAGAAAACGCAGGGGAGCCTCCAAAAACCCTCCCTGCTGGGCTTGTGGGCTTGGGGTCTGCCTCCAGCCCCGCTGTTTCCACCACTTTTTAACCCTTTTTTAAAGTTTTTGACCTCCTGTCTCTCTCAGGAGGCCTCAGCTGGGTGGCGAGGCGCCAGGACCTGTGGCGTGAGGCCGGCCTTGATGGCCTGAGGCTGGCCACCAGCAACACCACTCGTAAAGAACCCAAATTTGTGTTCCCAAAAGCACCTTACTGCTGCCCTGCCAACCCCAAAACCCCTCAGTGCCCTGACACCATCCGGCTGTGCACCCTCACGATGGCTGAACACGGAGCCTGAGGCCTCCGCTTTGCCTCAGGACGGCCACGGAAAGGGCGCTGCCGGCAGCAGCCACAATTTCCCCACACACGGTATTTTTTTCTGCAGGCTAAGGCTGACACATCTGCCACTCGCTCTGACTGGTTTTGTGGTGACACGAAGAAATACTGGGGCTCTGCTCCACTGTATGGTGCTGTTGGTGCCATTACAGACCTAGAAATAACTCCGTAAGGCAGCAGCTCAACTAAACAGCTGAGCTAATGCTGCTGCTGACGCTGAAAAACAAGGGAATAATCTGTCAAGTTTGATTTTTAATGAATTTTAGTATCACTCTTCTGCATTTCATCTCCGCTTATCCAGACTACTGGGCTCTGAAAGAGGGCGGCCTCCTCGCTCCTCTAGGGTTGTACTCTCTCTTTGGGGGTCCTCCTCTTTCCTCCAAGGTCCCAAAAGCCCTGATTTTAGCATCCTTTAGCTCCAAATTTTTTTTTGAGGATTTTTTAGGCAGGTACCAGTGATTTTTGTCTTCCTTGATGAGGCTGTACTATTAACCAGTGACTTTGCTGTATTTTGTTTCTCTTTCTATCCTAAGATTTACCCCTGCATCTTTGGCAAGAGATATTCTCATGAAAAACCTATTTTGCTGTTTTCAGGATTTTGCTCCAAAGCTCCAAACATTTACAAAAGAGGCTTGCCTGTTTTTCCAAGTTCCACTGCATAAACTTTACAGCCTCCAGTTACACAACAGTCACAGAGCGTTACAAAAACATTTAACCAGGAATGAAAACAAGATCCAAAATCTGAGCTTTGGTTAGTTTCTTTATTTCTCTAAACCAGGGAGTGCAGAAGAGGAGTGAACATCCCTGCAGCGTGGCTGGGCTGGGCTCGGAAAGCCCTTTGCACGCAGCTGTATTAAATGCCTGCACTTTGCTTTGCCCCGCTTCACCCGCGTCATCGCCCTGCTACGTGCACCGTCAGACACGTAGGTGTGGCGACTGTCAATTTAAAGTTTTGTCTCTCAGAAAAGAAAAAAAAAAAAGAGTATCTGGTTTTATTGGCACAGATGGAAGCAAATGGCAGCGCAGGAACGTGGCAGCTCTGTCAGATGCCAGTCACCGATCACATCACGCCCTTGCAGCGCTCAAATGTGTCGTGATGTGCTGCCTGGCCACCTGATCTGGCTGCTTTTCCAACGGGGATGAAAGCCTCATTCCTTTCTCAGATATAGGCATATATCCTCACAAGGGTCCTGCTTGCTTTGGAGACTGTGTAACACACAAGCCCAATTTGGCAGAGCAGCCTGTTGACAGACAACAAAAAGCCCAAGGAACAGAGATGGAGGACCCGGGCAGACGGCTCGACCGATCAGATCACGCTGTTTCTTAGCAATATGCCCTCTGACTTGCCCTTCATGGAGGTCAAAAACAGTCCTTGAGCACGATTTGCTTTCCCCAGTTTAAAATTTCCCCGGTTTAAAATGCCCAGCATTTATCTGATAGCAAGGCAATGCCGAGGTGTATTTTATGGCGACCCAGAAGTGAGGCGAGAGGTAAGCTAATGAGCTAAATTCCACCAAGTGCTTAGGTTCAGCCCAGCACTTGAACTAACTCACCCCACCTCTCCTCACTCCGGCTTCCCAAGACACTCTGGCACCACCACGCCATAAGGCAACATAAATTATTAAACGTTTCCCTCCAGGAGCAACCTTGAGAAGCTGCTCTGCGATAGTTTCAAAGTGCTGCAGTCTATTAAATTCTTTTTATCGAAGGGATTGCTTGCAATGGCCTTATAGCAATGTTTACCCAGTGACTAGCGTTGGGTTAATTAACTACACCCCACCACCACCCTGGGCAGCCCGTTCTGGTGCTTGACCACCCTCTCTATGAAGAAATCCAGTCTAAACCTCCTCTGGCACAACCTGAGGCTGCTTTCTCACATCCCATCACCTGAGAAAAGAGAGTGACACCCCCCCCCAACACAGCCTCCTTTCAGGTGGCTGTAGAGAGTGAGGAGGCCTCCCCTCAGCCTCCTTTTCTCCATTAAAAAATAATAAATCTCAGATTTACGCCTGTGGAGAGACAACCATGAGGTGACGAGGATAGAAACTAGGCCAGAGGGGCCACCGGCTCTGTCCCTACATGCAGTATTTGGGCTGCAGATCTGCTTCTGAGGCTGTGCTCAGAGCAAAACCGAGCGGCCCCACTCGGCCACAACCTCCTCCTCCTCCCCACACAACCTCTCCAGACGGGGACAGGAGGTGCAGTAAAATCAGCTCCGGTCACAGGAACAGGACCAAGGTTCTCAGTGAGTGCCACCAACGCCTCCCAGGAGCTGCACCTCCCTGAGATGCCACTTCATCCCTGCATGCCAGGCGATCTCCACCTCTCCCAGCAATAAACAAGGTCATCACAGCTGAAGCACCTGACGGCCTTCACTCCGTGCCTGCCAGGCTCCTGCAATCTCCTCCCAGCACTCCTGAGATCAGCAGGGAATCGAAGGGCCCCACTCCTTCCCCAAGGGTGCATCAGAAACCCCTCCACATGCACCCCCTTTTTGGGGCAAGGTGTAGGGGGGGCTCATTCAGGAGCTTAATGACTCAAATCCCACTAAGCATCACCTTCCTCTTAATTCTAGGGAAAACCTCAGTGCAGAAGAACCTTAAAAACCCGAACTTGACACTGGAGAAAGCAGAAGGAGCCGATGAGGCTGTCGCTGTCAGCAGCACCAGCTGTGCTGAGCACTCGTCTCCCTCAGGCACTTGTCTTCTGCTGCTGCTGCTGCTTAGCAGAAGAAGGGGACATTGGTTTTACCAAGCAGAAGTTTTTAAAAGAATAAGGACATCTGAGAAAGGACAGGAAGGTCTAGTGCCTTGTTCGTGCTGTGCTTCTGCCTTGTTCGTGGTTCCCTGGTGAAGAGGATTTTAAGCTAAATTTGAAATAGGACGAAGGCAAAAGCTCCAAAGGTGCATTTAAAGGGTGCTGGGCAAAAAACTGGTGTCCACAGGCTCCGTGTGGGCAGAAGGTTTAGGAGAACAAGGATGTCAGCCTCCCTCCCTCAAGCAAGAAATAAAAGTAACAGAGGAACGCCAGCACGCGAGTAATTATAGTAACCGGAGCCATTAGCTTGTAACCAAAATTTGGGCTTTATTAGCAGCTAATTAGCACTCAGGGCTTGGGCTTAATGAGCACTGCTTAATGAGAGCATCCAAAACCTCTCACAAGGCACAAGCAGAGAGCCTGTGAGCTTCGGGGCAGGGTTTGGTGGGAGAAGCCGACCGAGTGCAGGCGGCTGTAAGGGAATTTTGGCACAGCAACGGCCGGGGAGGCCAAATCGTCTCCTACCTCCAGCCAGGGCCAGGCGGTGCTCCACGGGTCAGGAGGCTCCCGAGCAGATGGGAATAGCAGGATGGGCCACGCAGAATGGGAAAAAGTGTTAAAAGCATTACGAGGATGTTATGGAAGGGGCTACTTTCACATGGTGACGTGTAGCTGTGATGGAGAAAAGCCCCGCTACCTTCCCTTCCTGACTAAACAGCCCTTCAGCGAATGCACCATTAATTAATCATTGTGCACCTGAGAGGACACACAAGAAGCAGACGAGGCCCTAGGTGATTAGCTCCATAATTAATTAGATGCTTAGGGATGACGTCCCATTATACTTTTCCGTTTAAATGTGAGTCCTTCACTTGGAGCACGGCCCTGCAGAGGGCTGGCACCAACCTCACATGCATGAGCACGTCAGGACTCACTCTTCTTGTCCTGTAGCTGTTATTCTTACAGCTTATCCCTTTATTGGTTTATATGGTTTGAAGCTTTTACACTACTTGTAGTAGTGTAAAATTACAATACCTTTTGTGGGTTAGCTTTCCAGTTTAATTTTATTTTCAAGACAGAATGTTTTAGCTTTTTGAGTTTTTCCCAAAGAAATTAATTCTAGACATGTGTAGGAGCAGTTTTATATTTTATGCATACAAGGGATTGAAGGGATTGAATACTTCATCACAATTCATAGTGGTTCTCCAAATTACATTTTATTAAGAAAAGTTCTTTTATTAAGAAAAGGTTACACATAGACAAGTTCATATAACAAGTGTGGGGGTGTTGCAGAATCTCGTCCGCAGCTGATGGCCCCATCTGCTCCTCTGTAGGACCGTCCCGTAGGATGTTGCTGCGTCTCCAGTGGTGCGTCAAGGAGAGGCGGCCAGGAGCGTGGTATCATGGGCTCGTGTCCATGTCCAGCGCTGAGGCTAGCAGAGAAGCAAAAGCACTAACAGGAGAACCCCTGTGTGTTGTGCCACCCCCCTCCTGGGCCCATCGTGTCACCAGCCCCACTGTGATGTGGCCATGACATCAGTGGGGCTGGTGCCAGCAGCACAATATGGGAAGGGGCTGGGTGTTGACCTTCCGTAGCAAGTGGCCATGGAGTCCAGGGATCTCTCCTGTCGAATGTTTCTGTGTCATGGGCTCGTGTCCATGTCCAGCGCTGAGGCTAGGCAACAAGAGAACCACCCATGTGTAATACCAGGCCTCTCCTGGGCCCACCCTGTCCCCAGCCCCACTGAGATGTGGCCGTGACACCAGTGGGGCTGGTGCCAGCGGCACAATATGGGAAGGGACTGGGAGTTGACCTTCCTTATCATGTGGC